AATGCAGATGCTCTGTCCACAGCTCCATAGACTCTTTTTTGATTTTAGTTTTAATACTCGTAATTAAATTAGTTTCATATAGTTTAATTAAAATTTAATTTTTTTTTTTTCAAAATGTGGAGCAAATAAAATTAAAAATGCTACTATTTATCGATTCTACACAAAAATGACTCATTTTAATGTATATTAATCTCAATAACTAAAAATTATACTTATATTTTAGGTTATTAAGATGGAGGAGGACGTTATCAACTACATTAAATCTGTATGCTGGCTCACGAGCTAGGATGTGCCTCTCAATAATTTAGGAGGATACACAATGGGCCTGTGGCCTAAATGCTCTGAATTAACTCACTTTCCACACGTTACAGATACAGAGAACTACTTGTGTTCACTCAAATAAATCAAATTATATAAAATGCCACATTTTTTTCTACAATTTTCCAAATATTATTTTTTACCAAACACAATTTTATAATTTACATAAAATTGGAAAAAATCTTGTATATAACACGTTACGAAATGTCTTTTTGTGTAACTCGGTATGTTGCGGGACCTCGCTTTTGGCTCGTCCCGCAAATATTCACTCGTTACATAAAATAAGGCATTTCGTAACTGGTTGCATAAATAGCTATTTTATATTAACAGATTTTAAAATAAAATTTTCAGTTGATAACATATTTTTTATTAAATATTGTGTTTTGTTTTTCAATAAAAAAAAAATGGACTTATTGTCAAATATGTTAAGTTTTCTTTGTATATTTATTATTGTATTCAAATATTTTGACTTGTCCTGTACATAAAGGATCAATAAAATATTATTGTTTTCAATTTCTGATACTTGTATTTTTTTCGTATATATGTAGGTGTTTCATTGGGAATTTAATAAAGATATGATTGATTTTTAAATATGTGTGCTATTAGAAATGTTCTCAAAAATATTGTGCCATCACCGCCCACAATTGCTTGTATTGTAACGTGGTTGTTGAAAGCAAATATACCTATGTATTGTTATGTGAATTCCAATAATAAAGATTTTTCTTATCGTGTCCTATTTATTTCGAAATAGGTACCTCAAACGGTTTATATTAAAAAAAGCGTTTATTACATGACATTCACTATTTCTATTCTTATTTTACACGAAATATAAGCCAGAGCAGTTTATAATCGTGTTCATTTTTAATTTCGCGCATTCGATGGTCCGGTAACTACGTCATTTTCCCGTATACTTCCGATGACACACGATACATTAAACAATCCTATGGAAAGTCAAGTATCATTGGATAAAAACTTTAGAACATATATAGTCAGGAAGGAGCATGCCATGTCCGCGTTAATCTAATCGATCTGACGGAAGTGGTAGCCATGTTGTACTATGGATGACTCATTAATCTCGTCATCATATGATAAATGGTTTCTAAAATTGGTTTATAATTTTAGTGATTAAAATTTGTTAATAATTTGAATGTTTTCTATGTTAATTTAAACTTTTACTAAGCGTATGTTTTGTAGACATTTTTAAAAAGTGTTTTAGTATGTATTTAATATTACTGTTAATTTTAAATTTTTCGCGTTAAAAGACAAATAAGACAATATAGTCAGTTGTTAGTCTTGTGGATATAGCAACACAGCTAAAAGTAGCAAGGAATAATCTACATTTCATAAGCAAGTATTTTGTTCTCTCAATTTTCAACCACATTAAAGATTTTTAAATTTTTTAATGTTTTAAATTTGTAAACAAACATGGTAAATGCGTCTGCGATCAACTGTGCTCATAGGCGTAGTCTCATGGTTTATAGGGTATACATACTTTTATTTAAACAATTCTTTTATGCAATTTTAAGATATTTATGTGGTTGTTAAAATGAATAAATTATTGTTCAATTTAGATTTATAAATTGATTGCAAGTAAACAATTTTCAGATTTCTTAAAGGTTCTAGATTTACAAATTATATCAATTAATCCCAGGTAGACAATTTTTAGATTTCCTAAAGATTCTCACCCAGACAGCACACCAAATCCTTTGGATCTCTACTGGACATCCCAATATCCACTGAATGTCCAGTCCATGGTGGATATCTATTTTATATCCATGAAATGTAATTTATAGACATGCAAATGTCCATAAATAATAGTAATTATATAGCAAATTATTAAAAAATTACGTCATTGTGCTCGCCATTGTGGCTAATAGTACCGTTCAGATATTTAAAATTAATTTTTTTAAGGTGTATTCAATATCTCATGGATATCCACTAAATATATCAAAGTCTAGGCGCGAACGCAAACCATAGTGGATATCCACTAGATGTTATTTTTGATTTTGCTTACTAAGTATAGATGGCGATACCACTTTCGCTCGTTGTCATGCTCAACCCGGCGTAATTGAGTTCGATCGAAATTGGTATCCCAATCAGACTCCATTAGAGACTGGAGTCGAGAATTTACATTTATTGCTGAAGAGTCCTAATAAGGATGACTTTCTCCTTAGTGGGCAAAATCAAAGGCAGAGTGTTGAAAATATTTTGAGTGTTGAAAATATTTTTTATCTCTGCTATTTTCTTTCGACGTTATTCAATAATCATTGGTTACTTATGAACCTCTACTAAAGATACCCATAAAATATTTTACTGAATATCCGAATATCTTCTATATCCTGGGATATAGACGGACATTTGGATATCCATATTAGATCCACGGGATATTTCTGATATCCTATGGATATATTGGATATCCACAAAAGATATTCTGTGGATATCTCTGGGATTTGGTGTGTTGTCTGGCCAAAAAACAAAAAGTTATGGCTTGAGTTCATGCAACAAACAAATTGTGAGCCAAAATATCTTAATTTTTTGTGTTCACGCCATTTTAAAGCAGATTGTTTTGATCGAACCTCAAAACCAAGAACAAGACTTCTACCAACAGCTATATACAGTATATAAGTAAATAAATTATTTACTACCTAACTATATCATGTGCCGTTTTTTTTTCGTATAATAGAAGTTTATTGTATGAATGTGATGCACGCTATATATAATTTATTACAAAGTTATTTACAAAAACGAACACAAATAAAATTAATAATATCTCAAGTAAGGAAATAAGTAGCATATCGCATGCCTCAAGATACTGTCTTAGGCCCTATCTTGTTTAATTTTATTTTAAATAATTTGTCGTTTAAATACAGATGGACATATTGTAAGTTTTTCAGACGACACAGTTATTCTGTAAAATGCAGAGAACTGGAATTGATTAAAATTATTAATAGAAACAGATCTTATAAAAATGTTCGAATGGTTTAATTATAAAAACTTACAAACCTTTGATAAAACTTACGTTGTTCCATTATTTAATTACAAAAAGATGGCCTTTTCCTATAGAAACAATAAAAGGTAACGTTCAATAGTTTCATATAAGTATTACAAATGATATCAAATACCTTAAAGTACAAAATTGACTCTCATCATAACTGAACCACTAATCTGTGACTGAACTAAGCATACAAATAATGCGTTGAATGTACATTTAAAAATAATCTATTTTGCACTCATAGAATCATTATTACTTTATAGGATCATTTCTTGGAAAGGTGTTTTACCTGCTTATGTAAAAGTGTCCTGAAAAAAATATTACTAATAATATTATGTAATAAAATGATCAGAAATTCTCTTCGATATTAGAAAGTTTTATATGTACTCCAACAAAAACATCTAAGAAAGAAATATCACAGCGGTGTTTGACCTAAATATAAGTATATAGGATATTTAATTTTTTTAACGCATATCTACAAAACATTTATTTTTTAAATCTTAATAATTTGTAAAATGTAGATTAATAAAGACATTGTCATAATAAAGACGTAAAAAAGTTAATATATATTTTTAATACATTATTGCTTTGATTTTTCAAATGAAATTCCTCTATAAATTATCCCAAAAATATTTTCCTATATTTATCCCACCCAACATGCAATTTTAAAGTAAAATTTATTCACATAATGAAGGTTAATAAAAAAAAAATGCAAACTTCTCACAAGAAAATAGCAATTTGTTAAAACGAAAGAAATCGGTAAATTAGGATAATATGCAAATGAGAATTTATTATTTTCTTTTCTACGCCTCTTTATGAATGAATGAATGAATCCGTTTATTTAGCCATTGCTATTATATACAATTATTTATTTTTTTATTTACATATTTTTTTTTGCTATCTTACATAATATACACAATTGTTTAATTTGATTCTCTAAGATATTTACATAATTTTTTGTTAAACAAATTCAAATTGCTAGAGTCTTTTATTTCTTTTGGCAGATTATTAAAAAGATGTATTCCATTAATTAGCAACGATCCCATTAAGAAAGTTTTATTTGAAAAATTTATGTTGAAATTTTCATCGGATCTTAAATGTCGAGAATGTAAGTGTTGCCGCGTAACTAGTAACTCACTTAGATATTTCGGTGTTAATTGATGCATCATTTTATAGATTACAACGAGGGTTGCCTTTTTAATATTCTGTTCAATAGAAAGCCAATTTAGGGTTTGTAGCATATTTTTGATTGGAGTGTAAATATTACATTTTAGAACAACTCTCATACATTTGTTTTGGAGTACCTGAAGTCTGCTTACTTGTTCTTTATTACATGAAAGTAAAAGTGACATACAAAAGTTAAAGTGTGGATATACAATTGTGTTATAAACAAGATTTCTACTCCATTGAGACAAATTTGAAGCTATTCTTCTAAAGAACCCTATTTTCTTCCCTAATTTCCTACATAAGTAGTCTGCATGACTGTTGAAAGTCAATTGAGGATCTAAAATAACTCCTAGGTATTTAATCGTATATGACAACAGTACGTCACTGGTAGACCGGAAACACTTATCGCCATATTCGTCTAGTTCACTGTCAAAATTAGATACCATCGCGATTCCAAGGTCGTTTAGGATTACTCCTTCCTGACTATATATATTCTAAGGATAAAACACAGATAAAAAAAGAAGAAAAGTTTGGTTAGTTTAAATGTCAAGTTCCATAACCAACCATAATTTTCCATAAGTTTATTTTTATTATGGATATGAATTAAAAAGTGAATAAACCATTTTAAAAATCAACAATAAATAAAAAATGACAATGTATAAACAATCATTTTCACTATTTGGTCGTTGTATTTCACAGTACAATAATTATTTTCGAATTGCTGGTAAATAATGAGTTTTCTCTCATTTTCAATTCTATTAAAAGTAATATATATTTTAAGATTCCCGTAACATAAAAAGGTGGGTATCGCCAACTTTAAAGGAGCTTTATAAGCGCAGAGAAAAAGTAGGACCTGAACCAGAAAGACCTAGATCTAGCTACCTTGAATGGAATTATGAAGCTGAATTATATGCCTTTGGACAACGGCTTGGTGAAGAACTTGATAGAGATTTGTTGAAACAAGCTCTTGTTCAAAGGGAGTATGCTAATTTACAAGAAATACAATCACACGAAAAAGGTAATTGTGTACATTTTAGGTAGAAATAATCTTTATAAATCTTTCATTTCGTTAAACAGAATAATCTGTCTGATAAACCCATGTTGCTCATCATAATAAATGTCTTTTCAGGTAGTAGTTTACAAACAATTATACATAACCATGAGCAGATTCAAGATGGAGAACAAATAATTAGTAATTATTTAAAAAAAGAATTTGATAAGGTATACCCAGAAGATATAGCTAATTCAGTTATAAAATATTTAACTACAGAAGAAATGCTATCACATATAGGCAGCCATATTGGCTTAAAAGATATCATTTTAACAAATGTAAGTTATTTTACTATTCTATTCTCAATATCTAACTTCAAAAAGATTGTTCATTCATAAAATAAAATCACTAAAATCATAGAATTAACTTACATATAACAATCCTTCACAATAAATACTTATATTCTGAATGCTTCACTGAAAGAATCATTTTTTTTTTAGGAATTTCCTGTGTCCAAAAAAACTATAAGTGACACATTCAAAGCAGTAGTATCGGCCTTAAAACAATCTCAGGACTTGCAACGTGCTGAAAATTTTGTCAAAGATTTTGTTTTGAGTCAGCTAAATGGTAAAGATGTAATAGACATTTGGAATCCCAAAGAACCCTATGAATATCTTACAAAATTATTGAAAGAAAGAGGAATTACTTCAGTTGAACCACGGTTATGTAACCAATCTGCTTCTAATACAATATTGGGTTGTTTCCAAGTTGGATTGTATACTGATAAGAAACTTGTTGGAATTGGTAAGTGTAGAACAAAATTAAATACTTTTTCCTTGCCATAAATAACACTTTCTTTATAAAACGGTATGAAAATAAAATATTAAAAAAAATAATTGGGTTCAATTGACTCTTAGGAATGGTTTCTAGGGGGTGGTTTGACTTCGCTATATAAAAAAAGGTTTTCATCCCATATATACCAATTATTTTTTTTTTTTATTTTCTTGTCAATTAATTATTATATTAGCTGCACTGAAACCTATAGGACACTGGAGATCGACCGATTTATGAATATTTCACCATAAAACTTAGGAACAATTGACTGATTAATGGCCCTTTAGCAAAAATTGCTAAGAAATTAAATCAGGTAAACCAAGAGGTTAAGGACAATGTCCCTGACTCGATTTCTGAACAGTCATATTGCTAAATTTTCCATAAAATTACATTTTTGGTAAATTGAGGGAGAGGAGAGGAATGGCATATTATGACAGTTGAGGTTACTATACTGCTGTCATAAGCCAAACCTCCGTAACTGACAAATTACAAATATTTGATTATTTTACCATTCTGATACTGAAGCTTTTTTCTTCTTAAAGAGTAAGCAATTTTCCTGGTAATATTTATTCTATATCTTTTAACCCACAAGACAACACAAAAAATTAAATCAAACTTATTTTTAACTAGTTAAAAGCATTATCCAAAAATTGTCTTTGATTCAACAAATGCAGCTTATATTGGTACTACCCATGAAAATGCTGGCACTAATTTCTTTTATTGCAAATATTTCCATTCTATAGTTTGCGTAGTTATTGTGGTTTAAAAGCATTTAAAAGCACCCTAAAAAAATCTGATGTGTCCAACACATGACTTTCCTATCTAGTTATTATAGGCTTTTTCCAGTTATTTTGTACAACCTATTGCAGCATTTCTATAAATGTTTAGAGGATAAACTAAATATATACATTGTCCACATACATCTACCTCGAAACATTCTTCTATAGATATTCATGGAAAACGAAAATACTGAAAAATTAAAATTTCCTACAATTTTTTCATTACGGTCCATTTTAGAAAAATCATGTATAAACAAAAATTATAGAGATCGATATCGCAAACAACTTTTATTTCAAAAACTTTCATAAAATTCAGAATTTTGCACATTTTGTCAAATTTCTCGAATACGGACCATTTCAAGAAATTTTTACATAAAACAAAAATTATAGATAATAATATTAGAAGTAACTTTTATTTGAACAATTTTTTTCTCCAAACATTAATAACAGATATATTCCATAAAATATAAAAATGGCCTCCCATAAAGTACCCCCCAGATGTTCCGACTATGTCTAAAAACTAATCATTTCACGTCAGGCCGAAATAAACCTTAAGTTTAAAATTTAATGTTTTTTTCTTTATCCGTTTTTGAGTTTTCTTCAAAATTCGAAATTTACACATTTTCTCAAATATCTCGAATACGGTCCATTTTAGAGAAATTATGTATAGAATAAAAATTATAGAGAATTATATTACAAACAACTTGTATTTGAACAATTTTTATAAAAAATTATTTTTTTTACATTTTGTCAAATTTCTCGAATACGGACCATTTTAGGAAAATTTTGCATAGAACAAAAATTATAGATAATTATATTAAAAGTAACTTTTATTTGAAGAATTTTCTTCTCCAAACGTAAATAACAGATATATTCCATGACATATAAAAATGACCACCTATAAAGTACTCCCCCAGATGTTCCGACTCTGCCCAAAATCTAATCAGCTCATTAGACGCTGGAACAAAGCCTAAGTTTGAAATTTGGTGTTTTTCCGTGTATCGGTTCATGAGTTATGCGTTATACACACACAGACAGACATCATCGCGAAAATAGTCAAAACGGATTCAGGAGACCTCAAAACGTAAAAATCCGTCGAAAACTCGAGGTCGAAAAAAATCATGATTCCTATACTTTCCTTATATCTGTATACAGATAGGAAAGTAAAAATTTCTCTCCTGTCCCATTCCAGCCCATGGTCAAACTGAACGCTATTAGAGATGAACTATCTTTTATATCGTTTGGTAGGTTATTATACATAATGAAAACACAAGAAATCGTTAACATACCAAAACTTGACTTTAAATATTAAAAAATATGTCTTTTTTTTAACTTAATTTTTTCCTAGATTTTAAATGCTTTTTCTTAAATTCTTAATAAAAATATAATTTAAATTGTGTTTTTATTTAATATTTGTGTTTTAATTACTTTAAAAAATTCTTAGCAATTGAAATATTTGATATTTTTATTAGTTCAATACCAATATAGGCCGATATGGCACTCTACATATTAGCTGATACTGATATCGGCCAAGAACGCCGATTAGTACATTAAAAATAGTATTTATATTCTTAAAATTTTTAGGTTGGGGTGAAAACATTAAAATTGCCAAAGAAACTGCAGCACTGGATGCATTACAAAAATTGTGTAAATTAAATAAAGTAATAAAAAGTTGAATGAATTAATTAAATTTTTTTTTATTAACCATAACCATCTTGACTTTTCCTTTAAGCAGAATCAGCCGTGTATATGTAATTTTCTCCTATAGTTTGCGTTTTATCCTCATATTATAGTCTGTTGCAATTTATAGTTGAAAATCGTCTCGCTTTACACATGAAGGATGGTTGTGTATTAGCCGGAACAGGGATGGTGCTCCCAAATGGAGGGGAAAAATCATGATAATATTATTTCCTAAGAATGTTTTAAATGAAAACCAACAGCTTTCCTGAAATTATTGAAACTGTCAATCAATTTTACTGGTTTGAATTCTATTAAATGAGGTTAATTTAATGTTTATAACAACAAATTACATGGGTCATCACTTACCAGATAATATTAAGTTACAACAGGGCACCATGATAATAAACAAAAATGTAAAGTTTCTGGGAATGCATCTTGAATGTTGAAACGTTTATGTCAATTCAGTAATAAAGCTTAACTCTGAATGTTACAAATTAAGAGTATTATCAAATTACTTAAATACCAATGAGTCCCATATTAGATATGGTATTATATTTTATGGTTACAGCAGGAGATTCAAATCGGGTGTTTATAGCCCAGAAAAGAGCTTATGGAATTGTAGCAGTTTAGGAGATTTAATTTACTCACCTTTTGTGGAATATTTATACAGGAATTCTTGTTATACTTCTTTAAAAATAGGAATAAATTTGAAATATTTGAATCCCAGAATAAATATACTACAAAAAAACTCTCCTACAACTACGCTATACATAGATTAACTGAAAAAAAGTGTAAGGTATATCTTAAGATTTTTTTAATAAATTGCCTTCTGAAATGAAGTTAATAGATAGTTTATCAGTATTAACAATCGAGACTTACTATAATGATTATATAGAATATCAAATGTAAATGTCAGATAGCAGTAATATTTTCTTCTTTTGGATGACGATTCAAGAATATATATATTGTAACTTTCGTGAAATAAAATCTATTTATTCTAATTATGGATGAATCTGTGTCTGGCTGAATGGCAATGTGCCTATGCAAAAAAAATCTATTAAGTACCATCAGTTCATAAAGAATATAATGGGGAAACGACATTAAACGAGAAAAAATTTCAGTAGTATACACGGGAGTCTAGAAATATAAAACAGATTTTTTCAAAAAGTCTGGCACTGATAAATGCACTATTGCCGCTTCTTACGAAGTAGCGTTAGAAATTGGCCCTTTAAAAAAAAATTGTACCTTGCTTCTCTGTGACACCCTGTATATTGGAAAATATTTTTACAATAGGCGCCCCTTCGAACCGCAAAACCTTTGTATTTGAAATTTTCTTGTAATTTTAAAAACAACCGAGATATTGGATTTCCACACATTAATGGGTCACCCTTTATATTTAACCAATCATATTTTATGTTTCTGAGTACCTAAATATTTATATTTTCCTCCATGAACATACATATACGTAATATTGTTCAGAGTTTTTTGGGAGAACAAATTTAAGCTGAACAAATTTTTTTCGTTGACACGAATACAATACTTCCTCTTAGGATTGGAACGTAGTTTTCCCTTATGGTTATCTAACATCAATATTTGATGACGAATTAAAATAGTAAACGGTAGGTACTGTTTTAAGGTTGGATATTTGCAAAATAATAAGAGGACTGATGTTTGGAACAATTCTATTCTATGGGAGAGATAAAAAGAATGCGCAAGCACGCTCCAACGAATAGCATGTTTTCCTACCTGACGGAGTGCCCCATGAATAGACACGGCCATAAGTAAATGCAAGCAATGGATTACATGGTGTTGGTAGCATAGTCCATTGCAAGATAATCTAGAAAGCGCAATGGTCTGGCAACCTCTTGAAACGTTCGCCAACATGCTGATCAGAGCCGGCTTAGGTTGAGTGTTATTTGTTCAAATGTTAAAGATAATTTTTAAAATGTGATTTCTACAAAGATCCTTTTGCGGTCTAAATTGCTTGTATTAAGATAACGGTATTATTACCAAACACAACTAAAATTATTAAGTATTAATTTAAAAAGAATATGTTTCACTAGATTTATTTTGTGGAAACGTAGGTAAATGAATTTAAAAACGTCTATATTACTAAATCACTTTCACAGTCACTAATTTCATGTTCTGAAATAATATCACTATCATCCAAATTTATTTCAATTTTTTGAATTGAATTACTAAATTTTATATATTTCTCTTCGATTTTTTAACATGTTGAATAGCGTTTTTCCAGTTTTCAACAGTTAAATGCATTTCTTACTACATCAATTACAGAAGAAGTGGACTTAGGAGAAGAGTTATTTGCTCGAGAATAATTTTTTAACTGTGACCATAATAATTCTATGGGGTTCAAAATACAGTGGTAGGGTGGTAAAAAACTTTAATTCGTGTTTTATTGCTACTCTGTCGATAACATATTCAGGTTGAAAATTAACCAAGTGTAAAAGTTCTATTAACTGTTTTTTTTGTGTAGTTTTCTTCAAAAAATATATCATTCTCCATCAGAAAGTCCTGAATCACTGATTTCGTAGAATTGGTATTTGGTTTTTTCGTACCAACCGAGAATAGTACGTTATTTTCATTTAGTTTTGGTAGTAATGTACTCTCAAACCATTTTTCAAAAAGAATACTTTCTATGTCCTGGTGGTAGTCCAAACTACTATCCCGTACATCATTTGCAGACAGCAAGAGAGCTCCTTCTACCCAAACTCCACCACAATGTAAGATACATATTCTTTTACCTCGAGATGGAGGAGTGTCTACATCACACTTTAAACTTCCATCAGTCCAACATTTTTTTATGATGTGAGTGTCGAACCCAGCTTTAGTTGGGTATATCGTGAATACTACCGGTTTCCTTAATCCGCTAGTTAAAATTCACTCCCTTAAATTGAATGTTTTAATCCTACAGGTACCTTACACTTTTATTAGGTACTTTCACTTTAATTACAATGTTATTGAGACAATCTATTTTTCCGAATACGAAAATAGACTTGTCTCAGCGTTTTTTTGAAAAATTATTAATACAATAATTGTTTATCAAACCTTTAGTATTAATGAGAGATTTCAAATACTAAATTTCGATTCAGCAATAATTTTTTCCGATACCTCATAGTCATTAACCTTTTTCATTGCACAATAACTGACAAACATTCTTACGAAATAATATCATGTTTATTCCCCAAACAGAAAACATAAATTTTTAAAGTTCATTTGAGAGCACCGTCCCTGTTTCGGCTAATACACAACCTTCCTTCATGTGTAAAGCGAGACGATTTTCTACTATAAATTTCAACAGACTATAACAAAAATATCAGAATCGCGAAAATGGCTATAGACCGCCCCTATAACATTTACTTAAGTATCTATTCAGCAAAGTTGGTAAAGTCAATAAAGTGAAAACAACTAGCGCGGTTGTTATCCAATACGGATGCACGAATTTGAAATCAATAATAATGATTGGACAAAGAAAATCTGTAGGTAATATGTTTGCGCGAAATGATTACGCGAGCCATAACGGTTTGGAACTACGTTGAGAACGGCAAAGTGTCCTTCAGACCATGATAACAGACACATCGACAATTGGGTAAAAACCCACGCTCTAATGGCGACAAAATTATAAATGTTTTGAGTACGGAATATGTACATAGTGTAAATCATTAATAAATGTAGTGTTCTTCATATAAAATAAACAGTGTTAAATGCAAGTGTGCTTGTTTTTCTCTATCATCGATCGTTAACCCAAAGCCGGCAGCTGGTAAAAACATGGAATACAATTCGCTTCAGAATTATAGCACAATGGAGTCTCTCAAGGGAAGATTCTTACAGGCCTCATCAACAGACATATCCCTTCGATAAGGCTAGAAAAATACCCATAGCCGGTTTATTACTTTCAAATGCATCTAAGTTGAAAAAGTGCAGTTTGCGTTGATTTTCCCCTCCGATACCCATGTTGATTAAAAATTATATTCATTTTTTCTTAACCAGTCCATTAATCTGTTACCTGCATATAAACAACGCACTGCAGTTTATTACTGTTTGTGATTAAATAGTGTTTATAAACTATGTTCGTTTGTTATTTTTCTTTTCGGGGAAGACATTTCACTCAAAAAAGCTTAAATTGAGTTGCTGCGTACCACACACCAAAACAAAATAACTAAAATTATAAACAATTACACACTTCGAGTACTATTCAACGTTTTTCTGTCTACGAGTCTGTATTCTATACTATTAACTCTACCCGTTCTGCTTGATTCTAACCTTTTTTTTTTCTCAGCTCCGTGGACAGACCTGTTGAAGTTAATTGCGTAGTTTTATTGTTTCAACGATTCATTAAATATGTCCGCCATCAGGTTTAAATAAAACAAAACGACGGAGGCTGTTTTATGAATTACATACACACTGTTCATAAAGTACCTACTAATATTATATACTGTTCGCGCTGTAATCTTAAATCCGGACCTGCTTATTCCCTGCTACCGTGCCGGGTATTACGTCACCCGACACCGGTTTGGTGGCGCGGCATTTTTTACTTGTAGGGACAAGATTTATCATTGTTTTAAAAACAGTCGAAAGGTCAACTTACCGTGCGTAGGGATGTTGCGATACCAGTAAAGTATCGGAACCAAAGTATCGATACCGGTATCGGAACGAAAGTACCGATACCGGTATCGGGAAGAGTACAGAACAACTAAAAAAAAGTCATAGGGTACATATCATATCATAAAGTGATCCTACAATATACTTTTTGTTCGTATTGTAAAGTCAAAACTAGTAAAATATTGAAACGAAAGTAGTAGTATCGAAACAAAAGTAGTACCCATATGAGTAAAGCTTAATTTATAACCGCCGTAACGTAACTTAAGAACTTAACGTAAGAAGTTGAAATATTGAATTTACGTATACTTATTTATAATGTTCGTAACGTAACTTAAGAACTTAACGTACCGTAGAAAGTTCACCAACTTTTAACTTAACAACATAACTTAACTTAAGACCTTACGGTTAGCCAATGAGATAATTCTGCGTTCAGCATGTGATAACTGTCAATTATTCTTTTTATTTTTTTTTTATAAATAAATAGAAAAATACCATTTGTAAACTATCATTCTCCTTTTTGATGGACATACATTATCATGAATGATTTGTGTTTATGTTATTGGGGATAAACTATCTATGAGATATGAGTGTAGCTGCATATACCTATAAACATCAAGTCTAGAACTGAAATAAGACAAAACTTTTTTGCTAGGAAAGATTAAATTCTCATTATTGCTCAAAAACAATCAACATCTTCGGTAAACTATTTTGTTTTATTATATTTTTATATTATTGCTTTTAAAGTAGTTAATATATTCTTTCTATATAGCAAAATCATAATTTATAAGTTTTATTTAGAGGTTAAGTACATAGTTTACACTTGTTTATTTCATAAGGTTGTCAATAATTTGATAATCTCTGAAATCAACACGCATGCTCTACTCTTACGTTACGGACATTTATAAATAGACTTTATTTTTATATCTTAGGTTAAGTTAAGTTACGTTACGGTGGTTATAAATTATACTTAAAGCATCGAAAGCAAAGTATCGGGTACTAAAATCCGGGTATCGAAAGAAAAGTATCGATACCAGTATCATATCAGTAGTATCGCAACATCCCTAGGTCAACACAGTTTCTCAAATGTATCATTATATGTTATATCATTTTATATAAAATATACTGTCCTTTATTAGTGATCAATAGTTTTGATAATTTAACATCTACAGTCCACAAATTACATAAACAATAGAAAACTCATATATAAACATATACTGAAGTAGAATAGTTGAAAATTGGATCCTTTGAATAAATACTACACTTAAAATGTATATCAAATTGAGATCTGTTGTTCAGTTTATGTGAAATAATATTTTTATAAATTTAATTTAAATTATTATACAATTTTTTAATTAATAGTTATTTATCTACAAAGGCCCTAAAGTTGATTTTTTTTGGCCGAAACTGGTTAGTTCAAAAAAGATCATACATCCGAGGGACACATATTTTTAGGGGACTGTCTCATCAAGTAGAATCAATATTTTTTTCACATTCTTGTTTTTGAAAAGAGGCTTAAATGCAAAAATTGTTTCAAATTGGTGCCATTTGACTTACAGGTGAGGAAAACCCGGAAAACCTCACCCACCATGATCGAGACGGTAATGCATGGCGATTTTATAATCTGCATGTCATATCAACAGAAATTGAATTTCTATCAATACAGCACACATCAAATCCTAAACCGAACCATGCAATTTAATTGAAAATCCACATGGTCTGGTCTGGGATTCGAAGCGCAGCAGTCTCGGACTCATAAACTTGCCTATAAATGAATATAAGCGCGTTAGACCGCTACACCACCGACCCGATAAATAATTAGACAAATAGAAATAATAAGCAGGTACGTTTAAAAAAATCTATTTTTCAAAAATATCACTTTGGTAAAAAACATTAAAATACAATAAAAAAATAGAAACTGTTGAGTTGTATATATTTCAGAATAAATTAATTTCAATCTCAGTTCTCAGTTATTGATTTCAAAGTCATAAAAAATAATGTGTAACATTAATAATGGAACACAGAACAACTGAAGATTCTCTGATTAAAAATAAACTTTGCCAGTTGTGTACGGCATGGGTAAGTAACACCCTTATCCCTTCTAAATTTTACGCCACTCTCCAAAAACTTTTTGGACAGTGGTGTAAAAGTTAAAGGTGTTTATTATCAATGCCGTACGCCACTGGCAAAGTTTATTTAACTGATTTTTTGCTGATATGTGTATCTTATGACACCAAAAATGTTTGCCGAATTTAGTAAAGTTATACTGAGAAATAAAAAATTATTATAGCCAATAATAATTTTTGAATTTTCAACACCCCTATTTCGGAAACGAGTAACAATTTATTTAATCGTCTAATTTTTATTCAGAGAATCTGCAGTTGCTCTGTGTTCCATTCTTAATGAGACACCCTATATGTTCAATTAGAAATAAATGCCTCTAGTAAATCAAGAACTTTTTAAATAGAGGAGAGGTCACAACATGGGATTCTAATAACTATTGATAATATAAAAATAACAATTAAAATCAAGCGATATAACATGATAATCTATAAAATTTCACTTGGATATTAATTTTCCTAAGGTACGATTTATGTTTCAGTCTGTTGTGAGTCTAGAATTAGTTTACCATCAGGATCTTTAAGGCGAACTCTTCCGTTAGCATATCTAGATTCTTGAGTACCATCAGAGTACACAATTTTTATAGTTCCATCAGGATATTCTCTTTTCTGAAACATAGTTATTAAATCTTAGCTTATGTAAACAATAAAAAACTTGACTTTCATGCAAGTTATTCAAATAATAATCACAAAGCGCTTTTTGAAACTGGTTTTTGACTCAACTTTGACTCCAAATGCGAACCAATTTAATTAGAAGGATAATTTGAGTAAGGCAAAGTACCTAAGACCAATAAGTGTAATGTCTTTCGTGCTCAAGACTTTAAGAGAAACTGCTAGATAGCATTAGAGACGCGATATTGGTACAAAGACCAATACGCCTATAGTGCAGAAAAATCAACAGAAACAACTCTCTATCAATTAGTAAAAAGGGTAGAGAACACACTGGAATACAAGGAGGTAATGTTAGGAGCTTTCTTTCATCAGAACTCTGAAACATAGAGGAATCGAGGACACATGCAACCATCATGGAAGAGACGATAGCAGGTCGGGTTGCGAGAGGATGCCCACAGGGAGAAGTACTGTCTCCACTCCTGTGGAACCTGGTCATGGATGGGCTGCTTAGAACTCTCAAAAATAATGTACATAGAACCCTGGGATATGCCGATGATCTAGTGATCCTGGCGTAGGATAAATACAACACTATAGTTAGAGACCTATGCAAGAGGCTTTAAACATAGTAACAATATAGAAAAGGAAGGACTAAAAATTAGTACCAACAAATGTAGCATAATCGCATTCACGCACAGGAGAAAGTTAGAGGGACTAGAACCACCAAATGAGGTGAAAACGACCAATTAAAGGGGGAGATAAAGTATCTAGACTCAACATTTGGAAAGAATAACAAAAAGCGGAAATATTATTAGTAATGGCAAGACGCTCCGTTGGGGAAAAAAATGAGGACTGAATCCAAGTATGGTATACTGGGCATACAATATGGTGGAAAGCCAATATTAACATACACAGCTTTGGTGTGGTGGCCAAAGACAAAACAAAGAGCGTCAATAACGAGACTAAACAAGATACAAAGACTCGCCTGTCTTGGAATAACGGGGACAATGAGAACATCCTCACAGCAGCAATGGAAGCACTAATAGGCTTGCCACCACTTCACTTTGTGATACAAGGGGAGGCAAGATTAGGTGCTTACAGATTAGGGAACACCTTAGGAAATCTAAACATTAGCCAAGGTCACATAAGTATCACAAGGTTAGTCATAGGGGACGTGCTAAACATGAGAACAGATCACATAACCAAACGTTACACCTTCAATACTCCAGTCGAGGTTTTATTACCAAACTACACTATAAGGAAATCCAGTGCCCAACGACAGGAACATACCTGGTATACATACAAAGACTGCGAAAGGTACTGGGGCTGAGTATTATCAAAAAATCCCAACACCAACTTTAACTATGCAATAGAAGACACGCTTCAGCATTTCAGGCTGAGGTTTACACAATTATTCAATGTACAAGAAAAACAATAAAAGACCTACCTCAAATAAATAGATTCAAATAATGTCAGACAGCCAGAAGGCCCTTAATGCCATATCAAATCAGAAAGTGACGTCGAAACTGGTATGAGATTGCATTGAAGAACTGAGGACACTGGCAGACCTAAATAGAGTAAAACTAGTTTCGGTGCCAGATCATCAAGGGATCGAGATTAATGAAAAGGCTGATGAAATCGTAAAGAGATGGTCAGAAGAAATACCGAAACCAAATATAAACCTTGGAGTACCAAAACGTACAGTTCGAGGTTTCATAAAAGACTTGAGTTCTGAGAAAACAAAATCTATTGGGAGAATATCCCAAAACAAGCACATAGGAAATACTTTATAGGAAGACCATGTTCAAAAAGAACAGGAGAACTACTCTCCATGAGTAAGAATCAGTTGAAAACAATAACAAGACTCATGACTGGACATGCCCCAATAAAGGGACACCTGAACAAAGTAGGCGTATATAATGGATACCTATTGTGTCAACTCTGTCACAAGGAACCCGAAACAGCCAAACACATAATGTACAACTGCGAGGAACTGGATCGCAAAAGACAGGCACTTTTTGGGCCACTTCAGGTTGATCCAAGAACCTATAGAAGACACTAGAGGTGGAGAACTATCGACAGTTTTTAGCGCCATCGAAAACTATCGATAAATCCAAATTTTAAAATTACATAACGGACAAATATCTATTTCATTTTTATGATTTCACCATTCTTTATCGAAAATTTAAAAAGAAAGGTTTTAAATCCGAGGAAAATTCCAAGGCATCTTTGTTTAAAAAAAAACACATGAATAATTTTCATACGACAATCTCTGGAATCTCAGGATAAACCTCAACCAGCAATTCCTTTTTTTACCAAAAAAGAAAACTGATTTTATTTTAGTAAAAAATAAAGTCGAGGAAAAGTAAAAAAGCATATTTGGAACGAAGAAACTCGTCTGTGGATATATATCCACTCTTATTTTAGAACACAAAATTAGTATGATAGTTTTAAATATTACTTATTATGTATTAGGTAAATCAAGAATTGATACCAGATACCCCTGCCAGAACTTTTCAAAAATTAATTGTTTATACCTGCATGTTCTGCAGAATCGCAAAGAATATTTAGTACCTCAGAAGATATCATTTTAGACAAGTATTTAAAAATTAAGGCAAAAAACGTCAATTAGTGATCTTTCAAAATAAATTTTTACTTAATATTTATTTTAAAACTGTTTTTAATAAAACTCAATAACATTTTTATTGTGAAGAAACTATCGATAGTGATTCTATCAACAATTATCAATGGTGGCGGCTATCGATAGTTCTCCACCTCTAGAACTTATACAAGGAGCTAAGGTGACAGAGTGGGTACTATAAATTAATATGGGTCAAATACATTAGGCCATTAGGCTTCAGTGTTGTCAAAGACTAAGTCAGACGAGGCCAGAGAAAACTTATTCAATAATAATCACAAATAACTTTTTGAAACTGGCCTCCTGGACTCCAAATGCGAACCAATTTAATTATAAAGATAATTTGAGTATGGCAATGTATGCCCTATATAAAATTGATATTTTATACAAACCTTAAATTTTTCATTGTGTGTCTCTATCTGACCATTACACAAATATATAATTTTTTCGTCACTTGTAGTAACCATTTTGGATCCATCTGGATAGTTTACCTCTTCAGTTCCCCCAGGAAATCTGTTCAACCGTGTCCCATCTGAAGTGATAACTTCTATTGTACCATCAGGAAACTTTTTTTCTTTTTGACCACTAAAAAAATGTTTACCTTGGTTTACTCCATAAATATAAAAATTGCATACATTAATTTAACAATGTAACATTTACTAAAATGTGAATTGTAATTTTTACTTGCTTTGAAAACTCTACTAATTCTACTCCGTCTCCAAATTTAGTAAGCCACACGTCTTTCGACATGAAATAATATTTTTTAATATTTTTAATTAAATTCGTTTCCTTAATATCTCCATTAGAATATCGAATATAAATGTATTTTCCATCGGGAGAAATTATTTTACTACTTCCATTGGCGTATTTAATCTCCTGTGATCCATCTGGGAAATCTTTTTCTGATAAAACTATTGTATCTGAAATGATAGATTCAACTGAACCACCAAATAACTATAAATTCCTGTATTGTAACTATTTTAAATGTTTATAGTACAGGATGAAAGTTTAGATGTATTGGTGATATACTCGTAGGGTGGCCCAATTAAAACAGTCCATCTGAAATATTTTTCTAGAACTTTTTTTGAAAAATCCCCGAGAGTAGTAAATTTTAATTTCAAGGGGGGCTTTTTTTGATCTTTAATTCATGGATGAAGATTCATCCCCCTAAACGGGGTGGTAACCCCTTCAAGAATACTAAATGGCACGAGGGGTCAAGTGACACATCATGTTAAAGGTATTTCAATTCTTTTTTCAAACATGCTGACATATTTTTTTCTGTGTTAAAATTGTCACTGAAATAAATCGAAACAGTTTCCAAAGGTTTAATTAATCAAATGTTTAAATTGCGACCCATATACTTCCATGCAGTAATAAAGTCTTTGTTCAACATGTTCCCGAACATTTCGAAGCATTTCAGGGGTTATTTCTCCACATCCTTACACTATTCGGTGGCGAAGATCTTCTAAAGATGTAGAGTTCGTCTTATAAAACAACACTTTTTAAATAAACCCACAAGAAAAAGTCCAATGGTGATAGATCTGGCAATCTTGGGGTCTATTCAATGAAACCTCTTCTACCAATCCAGTGTTGGGGAAAATGTTAATTTAAAAAGTCACGTACAGTAGCTGCATAGTGTGGCAGGGCGCCATCCTGTTGAAAAAATCACATCACTTTCTGCGATATGATCGTCGTTTTCGATAGATAGAGATAGATAGAGATAGATATAGATAGATAGAGATAGATAGAGATAGATAGAGATAGATAGATAGAGATAGAGAGAGAGAGGGAATATGCGTTTATTGTCTAAGATAAAATCTTGTTGACAAACAAATAAGTATACAATACATTAGAAGTCTAAGAACTCTAATACACATATACATTTAAAATACAGATATAAACATTACATAATAAAAATATAGTTTTTCAGGTATCGCTTTGATTAAACATATGTGAAAGAAATTATCAAGGTGAGTCATCGTTAAAATATTCTGTTAAGTCATAGTATGCTTTGCAAGCTAGTCGTTCCTGAAGTTTTTTCCTAAAAGATTTAGAACAACTTTAATTTTTTATGGCAATAGGGAGTTTATTATACATTTTGATGCCATTATAGATAAGCGAGTCCCTAACTGGGGTAGATTTAGGAGTAAGCAGGTATAAATTGATTGCATTTCGCCCTGTAAGCAGATCTGTTCTCATATATTAAGCAAATAGTCTTTAACAGATATAAAGAAGTTAAAGTTAATATTTTGTATTTGAGAAAAAGTGGTTTGGAAGAACAAAGGCTTTGTACCTGACACATATACCGTACGCATATTTACACATCCTCCTATATGACGGCACCGGAGTGCTGAAACCCGTTCGCCTTTGTAGCCTACAAGTACGCTACAAAAGCTCATTGATTTAGACACCTATACAAATTTTATGTTATGCGAGACTTTACTTTTCAATTTTAGCTGTGTCCAGGCCGTTGGCGGCCGCCACCCTACGAGAAGTCGTTGCTTCGTTTTCTTCTTGTATATTTTCTTTTGTTTTAATCCCAAAACACTTCAAATGCGTCATTTGAATGACATCATGTCTATTAACGGCATTTTAGTACACGACCGTTTAACGGCAGTTTAAGTACAGCCATTGTTTCATAGAATACAGATAAGCTTGCTTACTGATTCCAGCAATAAGAGAGGCCTCATGGAAAGGCGAACAGATTTCAGCACTCCGGTGCCGTCATATAGGAGGATGTGTAAATATGCATACCGTACAGCACGTTTTTAAAGTAAAAATACACTATGGAAGCGCTTTGCTGCAGGAGCCCCAAAACTGAATTCCATATATTAGATTCTATCAGTGCAAAATAAACATTCCTTGCTGAAGTGAATTCTAGCACTTTGCATGTAGATCTGAGAGCAAAACAGCCAGATGATACCGTTTTATTTAAAATTTCAATACGGTTCTTAAATTTCAAGTCGGTATCTATATTCAGCCCTAGAAATTTAATTCTATTATCACTTGTAGTAAATCGCTTCCTAAATGTAGCTCTGGAAGTAAACATTTAAAGGTTAACAATTTAGATTTGGAGAGATTTATACTGGAAGAGCGACTAGTTCTGACTAGTTGATTCCTTCCTTCAAGGCAAGATTCAATTCACTTCAGAGCCCCATCTCCAACTCCATAACAGGAAAGTTTTTGCAGCACTACCCTGTGATTTACAAAATCGAATGCCTTAGGTAGATCACAGAATATTACTGCCACCTTCTCACCTATATTAATATTATTGTAGATTATCTCTAGGCAATTAAATATGTCATCTGAAGTATTAGTTTTACTCTTAAAGCCAAACTGTTTATTGCTTATTATGTTGTTGAAACTAAAAAAACTTGTTAGATGAAACTATTATTTTACCTAATGTGGGAATAAGAGAAATGGGTCTAAAGTTGGAAGGATCTTTCTTATTATCGCTTTTATGGATGGGTATTACAACGCTGGTTTTTAAGAAATTTGGAAATATTTCGTCATGAAAGCTATTATTAATTAATGAAGTTAGTGTGGACAGTGCAGAATCAGGTATATTTTCAAAAAATTTTGTTGATAACTCATCATAACCTGCAGCGTTTTGATTTTTTATTGAATGTAATGCTACTTTTAACTCTTTTAAGGTGGTGTTATAAAAGACACAGAGGGTGGTAACATCAATTTCCTTGAGAAAATAGGATCTTGTTTAGAGTTCACTTTTTGCGTTAAATTGTGAGCAATATTACAATAAAATGAGTTGAAACAATCGGGATCTACAGAGGACTGCAATGTTTTGGTTTGGTGTTTCCCCCTTAATTCGTTGACAATGGTCCATATCTCCTTTGCTATGTTTGCTGAATTTTCTAAACTAGAATGGTAATACATATCTTTTGCTCTCTTTATAACTGCTCGATAAATCTTTCTGTAATTATTAAAGTAGTAAATTTATTTATTTATTTATTATACGGAATAACCCCATTAAAGAAATTTATACAATTTACAATATAAAAAGGCAGGCAGAAAAATACTATTACTATAACATTACTAAAACAAAGTACAAAAGTGAGTTTTTACAGTAATTAATTAAGGTGAATTTAAATATACGTTAAATATAAGTTAAGGAACATGTATCACATTTTTACAATTGGTTTTACAATTTGGCTAATCTCATATTAAAAATATCTAAATTAAGATTATTCAACATAGACAAATATCTGTCAATAGGACTGTTGACGCCATAGCTCGTTCTATGAAACGGTATATTAAATGTTAATGGATATCTCAGTCCAAGGTAATAAGGAACATTTAGGCTAATCCCGCTCAAAAGAGAAGGACAGTCTATAATTCCATTTAAAATTTTGAATAAAAATACTAAGCCAAAATATGTCTCATCTTTCCCTTAAAGGAGGCAAATTTAATTGACTTTCTATAGCACTATAATCAGCACTATAATAGCACTTTTAACTGCACATACTCTCAAACATTTGTGTTGTACCCTTTCCAAAGTATCAGAATGAATTTGAAAAAATGGTGATCACACAATTGAGCCATACTCAAGCACGGATCTAACTAACGAGCAGTAGACCATTCTGGTGACATCAGTGGAAAAGTACTTACAATTTCTTAAAACAAATCCTAACATTTTTGATCCTTTAATGGAGATTGAGTTTATATGTTCAACAAATGCTAGTTTTTCATCAAAAATGACACCCAGATCTTTTACTGTTGATTTGTATTCAAGTTGGTGATCATTAATAAAATAGTTTGTTGCTATCCTAACAGCGTTACGGGAAAAACCTATATAGCAACATTTATTTTCGTTTAAGTACAGTTTGTTTTTATTTGCACCACTCTACTAAGCGATTCAAATCCTCCTGAAGGAGTTCTTGATCACAAATGTTTTCTACTGTTCTCCAAAACTTGAGATCGTCAGCAAACTTAGCACATTGGCTGTACACAAAACAACCAACAATATCATTCACAAAAATGTTAAAAAGAAGAGGTGAGCTATGGCCCCCTTGAGGTAACATTAATTGTATCCGAGTAGTAAAAACCTATTTTTACCCTTTGAATACGATCAGTCAATGAGCTTTCCCACCACAAAACAAAGCCTAAGTTGAAGCTAACTGAAAGCAACTTACTTAACAAAATATTGTGATCTACTCGATCGAAGGCTTTTGAAAAGTCTGTGTAGATCGAGTCGGTTTGTTTTTTGTATTCCATGTCTTGAAGAACATTTAATTAATAGGTTGTTAAGTTTGAAACAGTTGATCTGTTCTGGGACCATGTTGTTCCTGATAGATTAAGCCTTTACATTGCCAAGTCAGTTGTTTACTAACTAGCCAATCAAATAATTTTGGTATAGCAGATTGTATACAGACACTTTTGAAAATAGGAACAATATTGCTTACTTTCCAGATCTCAGGAAAAATAGAACATTCCAACGATTTGTTAAATAGCAAAAATAAGGTTACAACAATTATGCAAACACATTTCTTTAATAAAAAGTTAGGAATACCATCTGGACCTGATGTTAACTTATTTGGAATATTTAAAATTTCATTGAAGATGTCAGATTTTGATATTACATTACTCCTTATATTGTTGCTTAAGCTCTCGTCTCTAGTTACATCATCAGTATTATCACTAATAGTGTATACAGTTTGAAAGAAGTCCCTAAATAGATTTGCAATATCTTGACCACATACAGCCTCTTAATAATAATAATAATAATAATATTTATTTACCAAATAATTACATATTATGTAAGGTTAACAATGTAAAATATAAGCCATATTAGGAAAAATAAATATGATGCCATAGAACATGAAACTGGCCAAATTGTGGTTAGAGCGTTTGTCGTTTATAAACGTCCAGACAGATTTAGGATCTTCTATCAATTTCGCATCTAGACCCCTAATATAATTATTAAAACAAATGTCAGAAAGCCTCTTATATTCTGATAAATATAAATAAAAGAACCAGATCAGGCTTTAAGTAAATTGAGGTAAGACTCACCCATCAAGTTACCAGGTAGAATAAAGAAACCAACAATATTAGTGCCCAATATCCCAGCCCATACATTCAACTTTTCGGGATATGGTGAATGCTGTTCTCTCATAATTCGTGGATTCAAATCACTCCAGTATTTTCAATTATGTCTGTTGACGTTACCATTAAGAAAGAACGTGCATTCGTCAGAAAAGCATGTAGAATATAAAAAATAAAGATTGTTTAAAATTCTTTCAATCATCTCCTCACAAAATTGTATACGGCGATCTGGATCATCTTCATTGAGTTTTTGCACGAGATGAATCTTATAGGGATGGAATCGATACTTTTTTAAATTATCTAAAGACTACTACGTGGAATTCTTGAAGTTGCTGCTACTTTTCTGGTGCTTGAAGTAGGATCTAGTTCAACATGACCCAAAATTGCAACCTGTGCAGCCTCCTTATACTAACATATAGTGTGTTGCCTTTTGCAGACAGCACAAATACGTCCATTGGACGTCCATTCGATATACAATTTTGGATGTCTGGGCGTCATTCCTTGCACGCCTTGTTAGTACCATTGTGTTTCCTTTCATGTTTTTTGTTTGCAACGAATCCAGTCTCCATGAAATTAGTTATTACATTTACTACATAGGGATGGCCCGAGATTCTTACTAGGGGGTCGATTCTTTTTGACATTTTCCTACATATTAAAAAGCGTCACCAAATTCCTATAGGAAAAGGTTCCTACAAGTCGAGAATCGGCACCCAGGATGCTTTTCATTAAAAATTCTTGCAGTTTCCCGGGCCCTTTTATTGTTGCTAAAATAGAGTGCGACAATTTCAATTCGTTCTGCTGTGGTGTAAACCATGATTTGGATCGTTTGCTTCAAGATAGCCGATAATAACAAATAAGCAACAATACTAAACAATATTTGTGATTAGTGTAAAATCAGAATGCAACTACCTGTAAAACCGTAAATATAAATCAGTCACATTATCAAGACTTCGATGATAAAAACTTAATGTTTTGCAGTTGAGTTATTCGATTTTATTTCTTTTTTATCTGTTTATTTCACCGACACTCCCAACAGGTGTTTTAATTTTAAAACAACAAAAAAAAAAATTCAGCGTGTTTGAAAGGAGAATTAACATACCTTTAAAATTATGTACCACTTGACCCCTCATGTCATTAACAGCCGTATGCATAGTCGATCGCCAGCGACTCGCCAGAGATTCATTTCGGCGTTTCGCCAGCGATTCGCTGGCGATCCGCCGGCGAAAGCCCAAAAAGGTGGCGTCTCGCCGGAGATTGTCACCGGAATGTCATTTCACGCAAGTTTTAATTTTCTTTTATAGGGATTATCACCGGTATCTCTCGCATTTTATTCAAGATTTATTTCTTGCGTGAAATGACATTCCGGTGACAATCTCCGGCGAGTCGCCAGCTTTTTGGGCTTTCGCCGGCGGATCGCCAGCGAATCGCTGGCGATACGCCGAAATGAATCTCTGGCGAGTCGCTGGCAATCGACTATGCATACGGCTGTTAGTATTCTTAAAGGGATTGTCTCACCGTTCAATGGGATGAACCTACATCCGTGAATTAAAGATCAAAAGAAGTCCCCCTTGAAATCAAAATCGACCAGTCTAGGGATTTCCAAAAAAAAAAAAAACTTCTGGTAGGAATATATTTGAGGTGAACTGTTTTAATTGGGCCACTCTTTATGATAAATAGTTCACTTATATTGAAAATTTTCAATACAGCAATTACCTTTCCTCGATTCATTTGCACTTCTCATACAATTTTCGCTTTCGGTGCTTAATCCAAAAGCAGATTCATACCGTTTTTCCAAATCAGAGAGTAGATGTTTATTATTACTATAAATTACTTCAATTTCCTTCTCATTTTCTGTTAAACTATTTTTATTCTCTTCTATACTTGGAATATTCGCCGTTTTATTTAACTAAAAAAAAAATACATATCAGTAATTATTTTTTAATTAATTCACAATATCTATAATAATTTATATTTTGGATTAATAAATAAATAAAACTTCTAAGTCACTTAAGTGTACATAAAAAAAAAATGATTCACGGTTACACAGCCTTATCCAAAACTGAATAGGCTTTCATTTAATATCCTTTACCTATCTAACGTTTTATTTTCATATTTTAAATATTCATTAAAATTAAATTTTACCTGAACATCCAATTCTTTTTCTATTCTTTCTTTTACATCTCCCATACTTTTTCGCCTACATTTCTTTTGTTGTTTAAGTTTTCCAATTTCTGAATTTTGAGATATTTCAGGATTTTTCATTAATTTGGTTTCTTCTGTTAGTCTGACAAAATATAACCTGTGTCATCTTAGCTCCTAGCCAGCCAGCTCCAAAACCAGCCAGAGCTCAAAGCGCCAGCGGTCGAAAAATATTTTTTACGACAATAATAATTATTCGTTCTAAATTTTAGTTTACACCTTCAGAATAATGTTAATTATTTTCATTAACCCTTATAGAATTATATTAAGGAATTAAAGGGATGAAATTTCAATATTTTTGGTGCTGAAAAATTTTTTTTTCTTAAATTTTATCAAGCCAATCGATAGATAATACAAATACAAACAACTTTCCATTATTCCATTTTGAATTCTATACATGAAATAAGGATTTTAGAGAGGGGTTGATATTTCATTATTTTTGAAGCTGGGAAAAATTTTGTGCTTTTCTTTAATTTTATTACGCCAATCGATAGATAATACAAATACAAACAACTTTTCTTAATTCCATTTTGAATGCTATATATGAAATAAGGATTTTAGAGAGGGGTTGATTCATTATTTTTGGAGCTGGAAAAAATTTTGTTATTTCTTTAATTTTATTACGCCAATTACAAATAAATATTATTATCTATCGATTGGCGTAATAAGATTAAAGAAAAAACAAAATTTGTTCCAGCTCCAAAAATAATGAAATAGCAACCCTCTCTAAAATCCTTATATCATATATAGCATTCAAAATGGAATAAAGAAAAGTTGTTTATATTTATATTATCTATCGATTAGCGTAATAAAATTAAAGAAAAAATTAAATTTTTTCCAGCTCCAAAAATAATGAAATATCAACCCCTTTCTAAAATTCTTATTTCATAAATAGCATTCAAAATGGAATAAGGAAAAGTTATTTTTATTTGTAGTATCTACCGATTGGCGTAATAAAACAAGTGTAAATTAAAAATTTAAAAAAACCGACTTCAAAAACGTGCGGATGCCATCACCACATCTTAACAAAATTTATATGGGATCACCCCTGAGGTACCCCCTTACTGACAAAAAAAGAATCATATAATTCGGACAAGGTGGTAAAGCATTATCGCTAAACATACATAAAAAATGAAGAGTTTGAGGATTTTCTCATGGACCCAATTTTTAGATTTTGACCAAATTCATATGGGACCACCCCTGAAGTATCCCCTTTCTAACAAAAAAAGAATCATATAAATCGGACAAGGTGGTAAAGCATTATCGCTAAACATACATCAAAAATGAAGAGTTTGAGGATTTTCTCATGGACCCAATTATTAGATTTTGACTAAATTTATATGGGACCACCCCTGAAGTACCCCCTTTCTAACAAAAAAAAGAATCATTGAAATCGGACACCGTGTTAAAGAATAATCGCTGAACATACATCAAAAATGAAGAGTTTGAGGATTTTCTCATGGACCCAATTATTAGATTTTGACTAAATTTATATGGGACCACCCCTGAAGTACCCCCTTTCTAACAAAAAAAGAATAATTGAAATCGGACACCGTGTTAAAGAATAATCGCTGTACATAAAAAAAAAAAAATATCGCGACGAATTGAATAACCTCCTCCTTTTTTGAAGTCGGTTAATTAAAGAAAAAAGAAAAATTTTTCCAGCTCCAAAAATAATGAAATATCAACACCTCTCTAAAATCCTTATTTCATATATAGCATTCAAAATGGAATAAAGAAAAGTTGTTTGTATTTGTATTATCTATCGAATGGCGTAATAAAATTAAAGAAAAAAATTTTTCAGCACCAAAAATATTGAAATTTCATCCCTTTAATTCCTTAATATAATTCTATAAGGGTTAATGAAAATAATTAACATTATTCTGAAGGTGTAGTAATCTTTAAACTAAAATTTAGAACGAATAATTATAGTCGTAAAAAATATTTTTCGACCGCTGGCGCTTTGAGCTCCGGCTGGTTTTGGAGCTGGCTTGCTAGGAGCTAACATGACACAGGTCAAAATATATTAATTTAATATTAGCCTGCCAAAAATGATGTAATTTATGAATACAAGATGTGGCTAGAATAAACTGACTAATCGTTCTGCAGACACTGTGAGGGCGTCGAGGTCAAACATAACATGAGCGTGCCACGTGACGTCTCCACTTATTTGAGCTATGGCCTTCATTCGAAGTATTACTACTCCGAAAATATGTGCATGTGTTGAAGGAGAGCAACGCGTTGCTGTAAAATTCCTTGTAAATCTTGGAAAATCCGCCCCAGAAACGTATGATTTTTTGAAAAATTAATATGAAGATGAGTATTTATCACGCACTCATGTCTTTGAGTGATAACGACGGACGAGAAGTAATCTCAGATGATTCGTGGCCAGGACAATCTTGTACCTCAAAAACAGACAACATTTAAAATATCGATGAAAAGGTCGGTTAAATATTTGGGCTGTTGCTGAATCGGTAGGAATAAAAAAGAAAGTGTTAGACAGATTTTAACAAAACAAAGTCATGGTTTCTTCATGTGGACAATGCTGCAGTCCTCACAGCACTTTCTGTCAAGAGGCTATTGGCCAAGTATTTAGATCCCTGTATTAGAACATATACCCTAACTACCGGATCTCGCCTCATATGACGATTTTCATTACCAAAGGTCAAATCAGTACTAAAAGGAACGATATTTGGGACAGTAGAGCTGTTACAAGAAAAGTGGAAAAAATTAACATGTTTTCGAAAAATAATTAACAACACTGCTATGACCAATGGGAGTTTTCACATTTGCCGACACAACACTCATAGACGATATCTGCAGATTCGAAATTTTGTGTAAACAAATAATAATAATAAAACATTTATTGTCCAATTTTAACACAAAAAAGAAGAGAATATATACAGGTTGAATCCTAAGTTGATACTTTTTAGAAAAAAAACTCAATAATAACAAAGATGAAGAATTAATAAATTTAAATCCGGGACTGAACATGTGTACGAAAAATTAAACAAATTAATATGTCTGTTTATCTGTTTTTTACGAAATGAATCACGCATATTGTAATGCCTGTCCTCATTTCGTTTGGTATGTCAGTAATATAATTATCTCTTCAGTATGGTAAATTAAAAATTAAGTGTGTTTAAAAGAACACATTTTAAATAATATTTTTTGGGGAATTGTATATCAGGTGGGATAAATCAAAGTAAAGTGCGGACAAATGCGCGAAAAACAATTGTATTCCTTTCATGTTGAACTGGAACTTGAACATTTATCTCACAGAGTTAATTTTTGTGAATAGTTCTTACAACGCATAAAAGTTATAGTAATACAGGACCGTACTTGATACATTTTAGAATTAATTATAGCAAGTCTTTTTTTTAAGTCATTTAAAATATTTATGTACATTCAAGAGTACAAATGGCTAGAACTTGTTCAGTTGTGAATTGTTTCATACCTGATCTTCCATCAGTGCCAGAGTGATGAAATAGTATATAGTAAGATAACGGACAGAAAAGGGGAAGAAAACTATTTGAATATGTTTATGCGGTTAAGACAAAGAATGAGGAATGAGGTACACGAAAGTGAAAGAAAGAAGAAAAGAACAATATGGAAGCGAGAATGTATTGTTGGTGTAACAGAATAAACTTGTATTGTTTTTACTTTAAGTTGTATTAATGAATGATCAGTTCCATATAAATTATTGATGCAGATTGTTGCATTATAGGTAGATTATTTTTTGAAACCAGTTTTATAAAATGTTGGCAACCAATCTTAGACGTTAATTTATCGTGCAGATATCAGGACATGTTTGTATTAAAAAGTTTATGTTATAAACAGGCAAGATGTAGAAATCTTCTATTATACATATTTAACCATAGTCCACCGGAATTAGACACAAAATTACCCTGAAATGAAAATGTTTAGTACCTCATAGAGACGGCAAAAATATGAAGTTTGACAAAAAGTGTATAGATAGATAGATATTTATTGATGTAAAATAAAAATAAATATTTTACATGTGTCAATGTTAAACATACAGACTCCACCATGTTCACGAGAATTCCTTACATAACTTAAAACCCGGAAACACGGCAAACTCCAGTTCATCGTGTATAAGCCAAACCTCTACAAGAATAAGAATATCTACCTTAAGTTTTTGTACCAACAATTGCATTATATTAAATTTATTACGAATACTCCTTACATTAATATAGAAAATATTAAGAGTAGCCAAATTTTTGGAGCCAACCTCTTTATAATGTGATCCTTTAACGGCATAAAAGTTGCTACCCTGTACATGTGAGCTTACATCGACTGTTTCAGTAGCTAATCTTTTTGAAAATCTGAAATCCCCACATCTAAAAAATCAATATGGGTCTGATTAGGATTGGTCATGCCTAAACTAAAACTATTTTCTGTATGTGAATCATATGGACTAATAGGTACCGTGGGACTCTTTTCAACATCATATGTATCTATTTCATTTATTCTAAAAACTTCTGGTTCATTAGGTTTAATATAAATTAAATTTTGATGTTCAATAAATGGAAAGTCTATTGCACTCTTTATGAAAAGAGCTATCTTATATTTGTTCATTTTATAACCCCCTTGTTACAGATATCCAAGTAGAAGACATTTTGGCTCCAATACTGGTTGAAAGAATTAATATAACTGCACAGTTTTGAATTAAATTTAAATACACGGTTAATATTATTTTTATTTATTTTTGGCGTCGAAAGTAATATTAAATTGGTATATTGCTTTAATTTAAAATTTAAGAATCTCATACTTGGATATTTGTCAAGCAGGAAATCATTTGCGCCGCCCATGACAATAACATAATCCTTAAAACTAAATTCTTTTACCAACGTCTCAATATTTTCTATCACTTGGCCTAAAGTTGCTCCAGGTTTAGTAATTTACAAAATTTGGACATCTTTAAACTGTTTTCTTAGTGCCATGCCTCCGAAGGATGCACAATGAGGCTTCACAAGTGCTGTGGAGCAACCCACCCTACAGATACAGAGAAGCCTTATCCTGTTTTAGATGTACCCTTAGGTTGAAAATGAGTGGGATAACCTAATCGCCATCAACAGCAACCCAGATGGATATATAGATGTACCCTTAACTGCCACTGTATATTTCAAGGGAAGGTGGGATGAAACAAGAAGCTGAAGTTACCATGGAACTTTTAAGTTACCCTGACAACACCATAGCAAACAAATACTTGACTATGACTAGACAGAATCCTCGAACATGTCCTCTAAGATTGTCTGATGCTCAGCTTTATTAAAAGATTTTTAAAAAAAAAGCGCCTCTCGGTGAAGTTAACTACATCAAATATATAGGCTGGCTGACGAGCTAAAAGGATGCCTATCAATTTAGGACGATGCACAATGGACCTAGGAGGCGGCCGTGCCATGGGACAATCCACCCTCCACACGTTACATATACAGATTAGATGTACGCTTGACCGCCATTGTTTATTTCGTCTTTTGCGTCTCTAATATAACAATTACAATTTGTTAATTGCCGCCATGTCACTCGCTCGATCTGGTACTTATTAAAACATTTGATAGGAATAATAATAATAATAATAATAATAAATGTTAATAAACCTGTTTAGATTTTTGTTAATTTGTTGTAACATTTTAGATTCTGTGTTTCTATGGACTTTTTGACTGGCACTTAATTTGGCGTTTTCTTTTTGCAACTTTTCCACCGAAGATTTGAGTTCAGTTTTTTCCTTTTCAAGCAATTTTATTTGATTTCGCAATCTGGCTTGAGTAGTTCCATTTTTTGTTTCTTTTAATTTCATGAGCTCCTTGAGATCCGTAAGTTCCTTTTTTAAAGTTTCATTTTCGTCACGATCTTTTTTTGATGGACGTGATTCCTTGAGGTACCTAAATATAAATAAGTAAAACTTTTAAACAATACAAATCAAGGTATTTTTTCTCTAAACTCTTAACCCTTTAACCCCGGGGCTGGCAAAAATGCGTAAAATGCGTAAAATGACACATATGAAGGACTATTTAGAAACGACAAGTACACGAATGTCTATAAGGTGATCAACAAGCTATAATTTATTTGTTGAAGAAAATTGAAGTACAATGAAAAGTTTTTTTATTGACATTCGTTTCGGAAATGTGTGAAATAACGAATTCCTACTAAGTTTTTTAAAAGAAAATGGGTTTATATCAATAAAATGAACTGAAGCAGAAATTGATACTTTTGTTAGAATCTAATGACGAATCTCACATTCCAACACTCCGGAACGCAGTATAGAATACACTTAATCCCTGTTTGTGAGGCTTCTCCCGGTGCGAAGGGTTTAAAGTATCTAACGATCTCATTTATGCATAAAGGATTAAAAAAATGGTTTTTCGCGAATATCTAGTCTCCTCTCTAATGATTTTAAGATCTTAAAAGTGTACTGATAGAAAACATAAATTTCCAAAAAGGCTGCTCTATGATTTAATGACATAGTTCAAGTATTTTTACTACATGTTATGCTCTAGTCAGTCTAGAGTGAAAAAAAAATCATAAAATAGGTATTAAAAAAAAGATATGTAAAATGAAGATCACACAAGGTAATTGTTTTTTAGAGATAACGATTTTTCTTAAGCATCTTTAGATCATGATACTATTACTCGAGAAGATAAACCCACGCGCATGCGATCAGCCCATCTTTATCGCACGCCTGACGTTACTGGGAGACTACCCGACTCAGCAACAGCCAGTTCTATACGGCACAAAGCGGTTTTGCGTGTATTACTGATTATTTAATTTTGTTTTCTTGGTTTGTTGGGTTTTAGAAGTAAACGTGCGTAAAGCTTTTTATATGTTATATTTAAAAACATTGTTTTAAACATTTACTATGGTATACACTGTGCAGTAGTGGGTTGTTCAAACAATAACAACCAAAAACGTACTGCTGCAAATTGAATCAATACTTCCAAATTTCTGCTGCTATTTAACTTTTAAGACGATTTATTACTTGTTTATCCAAACATTTTTAATTTTTACCCCTCCTTTTTTACATTCATCCGTAATTTTTATAAAAATATTAAATTGATTGTAAAATGAAAATGATTTTTTTTTTCAAATATTTTGAATTTTTACCCCTTTCCCTTTATACCCCTACCTGTATTTTTTTTATTAAATCTCTAAATGAATTTTAAAATTAAAATAGTACGAGACTACTCGATTTTTTAAATATTTTAAATTTTTACCCCTCACCTTTTTACTCTTTTTCTAATTATCTATTAAAATATTAAACGGATTATAAAATCAAAATGTCCATAGCCAAAAACCTATAAAACGACATATTTCTCGATTTTTTACGAAAAATTGCAATTTTTTACCATTTTCCCCGAAATTTCACCCCCTTCCCCTTTACGAATTTTACTCAAAAATATTCCAATCCGACCCCTAATGGAATAACACCTATCTATAGCGCAATTGCTTTAAAAGTTATGGTGAATACCGATAGACAGAAATTTTCTTTTTTGCTCGTAATACTTTTTGTACACGTTTTGGGATATTTTAAGATGATTAGGCAAGCCAAAAAATATTTAGTTTAATAATATATTAATATTATAAAAATAATATATCAATATTGGGTTTAATAATAAATAAACATAAAATATTGATTAAAACCGCTCTAGCGTAATGCTTTTCCATGACCACCAGATGGACGTCATGCGCAAACGTGGTCGAAATTGGATCGTCAAGTGGGCTTATCTTCTCGAGTAATAGTATCATGTCTGTAGATCAATATTTAGCATTATTTGTCTTTAACCATATATTTGTCTACCAAACGTGGTTAGGTATCCAATCAAATCCTGATGGAATTAAGGATAGATGCTACCGAGGAGTCATCCACTAGTCGCATTACTGGTACAAATTCATTTGCATTACGCTGCAGTACTCTGTGTTACACTGTAGTACTCTGCATTATGCTGCATTACCCTGAATTACGCTGCAGTACTCTGGCAATACTCTGAATTACCCTGCAGTACTCTCGCATTACTCTGAATTACGCTGAATTACCTTGCATTAACTCATTTTTCTATTGAAGGGATGTAAAAACAAACTGGTACTAGAAGCTATCGCGTAAGTACATAAAGTTATAAAAACTGTGGCATTTTTTAAGGTCTTAAGACGCTGAATATAGACTGAGATAGAGATAATCTTTTATAACAGCTTTTATAACCATTCACCATTCGGTTATACAACACAATTTTTATCAGGGGTTAACAAAATGTAATTTTTATAAAATAACTTAATGCATCATCCAATAAATTTTAAGTACTCATATAGGGTTCTTGCGAAAGTTCTTGAAAACGACGTCAAAAGTTAAATCAGCTACTGTGCCAAAATTAATTTTTGTATAGTTTATTCTGGCGTGCTCAAACGATATCGATGTTTTAAGAGCCTAACACTGATCTGTGGCGGCTAATGCCGAGAGACACAGGGTCACGCGACCCCCCAATTATCAAAGAAAGAAAATAATGAAAAAGATTTAACAAAAACTTAAGTCTATTTAAGTTGAAATCATATGTAAAACTTTATAAAAAGTTTTGCATGGCCCAAAACTTAAAATGCAACCATAAGATATTAATTTTTTAAGCCCATATACGAGGTTTGTCAAAAAATATGAATTTTACTCAAGAGTAAAGTACCTTATTTTTTACAATACAGAAGAATGTTATAAAGTAATCAGTCATTTAACATAAAAATTCAGGTTAGATGATTATTTATGTTTTACATTATAAATTATTTGTGGTTATAAATTAAATTGGCTAGTTGCATATTTGAATATAACTTTTAATTCAAAATAACTTTATAACATTCTCCTGCATTGTAAAAATATAGGTACTTTACACATGAGTAAAATTCATATTTTTTGATAAACCTCGTATACGGATTAAAACATTTGATATTTGATGGTTGAATTTTAAGTTTTGCACCATGCAAAACTTTTTAACAAGAATAAATTTTTTTACAAAACCAATAATAAAAAAGTTTTCCACGAGTAGTTGTCAAGTTACCATAGGGACACTTGTCATTGTAACAACTAAACAAAAACTCAAAACACGAATTGAAAAAATGCATACTTGCCAAATTATAGATGGTATTGTAACGTTTAATTTATTTATAGTTTATTTAACACACACTATTTACAATTTATTTATTTATTTAAAACACACTATTTACAATGTATCTATTTAAAACACACTATTTCCAATTTATTTATGAAGTACTAATTAATTTAAATAATACTTGGGCACTATAATAACTCACAATTCTAATTTATTTATTACAATTTATCTTTTTTGTCCACTTAAATTCAGTCTACTCGTCCGTCGACAACTCGCGCTATTTATACAAAGCTCAGCTCTGTGCGAGTAGTTTCTAGACGATGTCGAATGTCCCAGAATACCACTTCTATGACTCAACGGTCACGTACCGCTTTTTCTGGTAGTTTCGAGAAGTGATGTTTGCCTCAGCGCCAGACTTCCGCGGGCAAGGTGTAAACAAAGCACAGGGTAGGCTTTTGTGCGACAGTATAATCTAACTTTCGTTTAGCTGAAAGACATTTTTTTTCATGCAAGCCACCTACTACCTTGCATGAGAATTGCCTTCTACCTACTACTTTCATTTCATATTGAAATTATATTGTACTAAGTAATTAAAACGGTTGTAATGTTTAATTTTTTTTAATAATAATACTTTTTAGATAGAAACTTGTAAGCACACTGTAAAGTCCAAAATATTTTTTTTAATTTAATATAAGCATTGGCCTATCGTGAAATTAGTTACATTTAAGATGATATAACTCGGATTGGACAATTGAGATGAGCCGTAATGAAGAGAAATGTTCTCCTTAAAAATATCTTTCAATTGGTATATAACTTATCCTTATTGGGGGTGGGGCAATTTTCCATACATTTCCGCCCATTGTTTTTTGCTTTTGCATTACGAAACATTACTCTGAATTACGTGGTATTACGCAGAATGCAGAGGAAATTTGCATTACTGGTACAAATTTCCAACTAGTGGATAACCCCTTGGATGCTACAAAATAATTTATCAGAACTAAAAAAACCTCTAAATCTCATATTGCCTTTTGAAAATGATCTGCAACAGTTCAAAAAAGTTGTTTTTTATCTTTTCTTAAGTAGTAGGCACTTGTGCACAGACCTGATCTTTGGGAACTTTTTACAATCTACTTCTAACACCAAGAAGAAGAGTTTAAAGAAAAAATACCTTGAGTTACCTATTGTGACATTGACTCATATATGGACTAGAAAAAAAATCTTACATATCAATTAATGCCTTTTCTCTAGCAGATTTTACTTTTGCTGTTTCCAACTCTTCTTGTAAATCTTCTATGTCTTTTTCATACTTCTCCTTTACATACTGCAATTCCTTATAGAGTTGATCACGTTTTGATTCTAATTCCTTTGCAAAATCACACAATTTCGCCTTTTCAGCCTATAATATATTATGAGGAATAGTTTTGAAATTTTTCTATTAAAATAATATAAAAATATTTTATTTGTTTCAAATTATTACTGCACCAACATAAAAAGGCTTAGTGTATGAATTAGAGAAACTTAACATTACAATATAATAGGAATCTTCATTGTTAAAAAATTACTACAGTAATAAGTATTAAGTTAAAATGAGGTAATAAAGGATAATAATTTTTTCCCAAACATTTGTGACCAATTAAGCGTAAAATACAAGAATCAGTTTGTATACTTACTGTAATATTAGGTAGGTCCTTTTCCAATTTTTCTATTTTATTTCTAAGTTGAACGCACCCAAAACATTCATCAAATTGTGTTTGGGTACCAGCTGATTTTTCTGCAAAGCTAGTATTGACCCCAGCATCTGTTTTATCCTGTCTCTCCAGTGTGTTTTCAAATTCAGTATAGAAACTGGAAGGAGATTGAGCCCCACTATTACAGTTAGACCATTTTTCACCATCATCTTCAGAAAAAGTAGTTTCAGGACTAGATTTCTTTATGGAACTATCTTTGATAATTTCAAGTTACAAACATGAAAATAAAAATGTTTGTAAATAAAGTTGGTATGTGGAAATCAGTTTAAAAAAAAATCAAAACTTTTTCTCTAAGTAGGTTTTTAAATCTTAAAGCACTCTTGTTGAACATAAAAAATTCTAGGTAAGGAGTAAAAAAATATCGATATAATATTAAATGTCATTCCTAGAAATCTAAGCAACCAATTTTAAAATATGGTATGAAAGGAATGTTTACAATTTTTTTTATAAAAAAGTCAAATTACACATAGAAAATAACAAATGTACTACCTGTGATACATATATTCTGATTTTTCTGAGAGATCAGTAGGTTTTGTAGAATTTTTGTTAGAACTTCTGAATTCTGTTGTTTTGATGAATCGTTTATCTGTTGGCCCTTTTTTTTATTAGGCGTACTGGATAGCAACTTCATAATACTAGAATTGTTCGATGAAAAACTACTGTGTGCAACTTTTTCTTCCAACATCTCAAATAAATGCAATTCTCTTTCTGATTGATTATGATCAAAATTTGTATAATCATTGCTAAAACAATTTTAATGCTTACAAATGCAATTTTTTTTTAAATAAACTTATAAATTAGTTTTAATTAAATACCTAAAATCATTAAGAAGGGCCAGCAATTTTAATTTTCTAAAAAATTACTGGTTAATACTGCATACTGGCAGTAGACCAGGTAGATCTAAACATATCTGTTTGTAGTTCACTTGTAAGGGGTTTTCTCGCCACAGAGAAAACGGTTCCTTACGAATGACGCTGGTTACGGGCGGTTCTCGAGCGCCAGATTTTTGATGATGGTTTACTCCACAAACTTTCGAAACGGCGTCGAAAGTACTCGGGTAGCTACAGATGGAGATGAAAAATTCCAGGGGTCAAAGGTCACTTAGACACAGGTAATAGTAGGCCACAAGTAACGGGCTTTAATCGTTGCTTGGGCTCATACAGAATTTATCACTAGCTGAAATATAAGGGGTAAATAAAGTAGGGAACTATTAACCAGTAATACGGCAAGTTAACATTGACACATATATTGTGAATAACTATTTACAACATAAAAATAATTTATCTATTTCAACGCCCACCCCAGTTGTGGTGATAGTCAATATAACCCTGAATAAAAAAAAAGAAACAAAACGGACGGTATTGAATCGCGACTAGTCTCAATCAGACGTCAAAATTGAATTAAAATAAAATGTATGTTTCGGTCGCAGAGAAAAAAAAATCATTGACTTGGCTATTTACTCGGTAATTAACTGTTTAACTGTGGTATCGGGAATTAAACTAAAATGTAGGTATTTCACTATTTAGGCAAGGAAAAATTAGCTAAACGGTCAAAGAGTGCGAGGAGACAGGGACGCGAAAGAATTACTTATAGTAAATATACGGAAAGAAAATAAAAATAAATTTATACCCGGGGTAGCCTATTATCCCAGAATGAGCTGATCGTCATCACGAGTCCGCTCAGACAGGGTAATGAAGCTTTCAGAAAAGGACAGGATGCTATTTAAGATTATTCAAATATACGGTAAAAGAATAAACAAACTATTAAAAGAGGGAAAACGTCTCCTCGAAAACTCCGTTTACAAATATTCCCAACATAATTACAACGCGGCACTTACTAAACAAAAGTATTTATCAATAAAATCAAATTTAATTCCCGATTTATCCTACCAAAAAGAAAAAAAAATAATTTCCTAATACAGACTAACGATCAAAAGTCTAAATCCCGGTTTTACAATATTACAGAATCAAATCCTATCATTTATTATTATTTAAATCAAATTCTATTCCTTTTAAAGAAAGGGTATTATATTTGCCAAGAAATAAATTCAAATATTAATGAAATCAAATTAAATCTTTTAACTAAACACTGAATGAAAATATTCCTATTCCTAGAAGCTAATTCGGTTTTTAAAATGAAATACGGTCTCAATATAAAAAGTAAAAAGCGGATCGAGGTTTTTTTACCTAACGGATTTGTAAATACCAGAAAAAAATTATCGGCGGTGATTTGATTTGTGCTGCGGCTTATTAGTCTCGACTGGTAGCAATCGAATATTTTCTCGAACAGATAATTTTAATAGCATCTCGGGTCTCGTTCAACTACTGAATCCCTTTCCTCATCAGAAACCCCACCTACGCTCAGACCCACCGCGCACGATACTCGATCGGCGTTGGCGCATGTAAATCAACTTAGAACCAACAGTTCAATCGTGTTTAATATTTATTAAAAATGAAAATAAACTGATTGAGGAAAAATTGACTTCATTACACACTTGATCAGAATAAAATTAAAATGTCCCAGGCAGAAATAACAGCAACACAGCAAAAGAAGAATTAAAGAAAAAAGTGATTATCTCATACTCTACCAGTTAAAGCAAGATAGCCAGGTTAAATTTACATGGAACTAGATCAGAGGTTCCCAATCTTTTCTGGACCGCCACCATCTTTAGAAGAAAAAAAATTTCCAACGCCCCTCCAAATCATAAAACATGTGACAAAAAATTACTTTTTACAGAAACTAAAGAAAAAACAAGTGGTAATATTATCGGTACCTTATTTATCTGCTTATTTACTTATTAAAAGTCAGAAAGCAGATATTAATAAAATGACAATCAAATGTACAATAGAATTGTTTATTAAAGTTTTAAAAACAAACATAAAATCAATAAGAAATAAAAAAAAAAAAAGAAATAGGATAAGCACAATTAATAGTAAATAAAAAAATGAGACAGTGGAGTTTTGACAAATTGTTGTCAGGTTTCAATGCTGACAATAAATAATACAATGTACAGGGTTTTTCATTATATTTTGAACACTACTTTTTTTTTTTTTAATTTGGTGTCATCGGCGTCGACTACTACGGCCATTAGCCTCGTGTTCTGTGACCACTACTTATTTTCATTATTCTTGTGAACACAAAAAAGTTTCAAGTAAAAGCTTTGTTGTTTTACCTTAACTTTTTCGGCCACAGTATAACCCATTACAAGCAATCAACTGACAACTTTTAATTAACAAACAACTGTTTTACTTGGAAACATCATTTTCATAGCCATCTATGTGTTACGCTTTCATAGTGCAATAAGTCACTAAATAATTAAAATATTATATATTTGTAATCAGGAAATGCAAGTCTACTTAAAATGAAAAAAATATATAGGATGTCCCATTAAAAGAATGAAATTATATTTTGTGTTGGAGGCGCGTTGTCTATACAATTGTGCCAGTTATTACATTTTTAGTTGGTACAAGTAAAACAACAAAGCTTTTACTTAAAACTTTTTTTTGTGTTTGCAATAATAATGAATATAAGTAGCGGTCAAAATATAATGAAAAACCCTGTACAGCAAGTACCTTTGGTACAGCTTGTTTCAAATTCACTATGAAACCCTTATGACCTCTTGTCATTGCTGGAGCACCAGGCAGTAGGTATTTTTTTTGTCATCGGCATCGACAACTAAGGCCATTAGCCTCATGTTCTGTGTAGGCTTTGTTACTGTTTCCCATCGCCACTTTAGAAACAGCACTGTTAATTAGAACCCAACAGTGAATGGTCGAGTGGGGAATCCTACCAAGGCATCATAATTAATTTTAAACAATTAAATTAAAAACAATAGGATTCGAACCTGGGACCCTTGGATCCACAGGCAGAGACTCTACCACTGAGCCACCCACCCCTTTTTTGCATGGTATTAATAGTATGAGAGCCCACTGCAAATTTCGACCGTCATCTGATAACGAAATGAAATATGCTCCAAAGGCATGTAAGAACATTGTACTTTACCAAATTACACCTGTGCCAATCCCTATCCTGAGCAAAGTGGTTAAAAAAATTATTTTATGTTCAAAAAATCACATAAGACATGACAGCGACAATTGTGTTTTCCCTGAAAATTACAATCATTGTGAATCTAGCTTTTAAACATGAATTACTAATATTTTTACCTACCTTTTAAACCGTGTTTATGTATGAAAGGAAGAAGGATGGCATTGTATAAACCATTTGCAGAGATGATCAATAATAATTATAAACTCTTGTTAGACAATTATTTTAGACCATAATCATAGTAGTTTTTTGTCGTTTCTATGGCAACCTGTAAAAATGAATCACAACAATAGGCATACAAATAAATTTTTAAATCGACAAACATTGATTTATATTTTTAATTATTTTTATCTACTAATTGTGGATAGATGTTTTTGTGCGATGTTAAGAGGAAGAAAATGTTTCCCTTTAACGATATATATCAAGATATATTTGAATGTTATTTTCTGGAAAACTTTAAGGGCAAACAAAATTAGCGCTGTCATGCCTTATGTGATTTTTTTAATATAAAATAATTTTTTTAAGCCACTTTGCTCAGGATTGGGATTGGCACAGGTGCCATTTGGTAAAGTAAAATGTTTTTCCATGCTTTTGGGGTATATTTCATTTCGTTATCAGATGACGGTAAAAATATGCAGTGGGCTCTTGGGCTATAAATATAGATTCTCCCTTTGTACCAATTTCCAAATTTTTAGCAAGTAATACCTCTTGATACATTTTTTCTTCTTTTATAAACCGAACGTATGATAAGAATAGAGCTTCGTTATTTAGCAGAGTTGATTCATTGAGTTGAATTGAAAATTTGCACATGTTTAAGTGTTCACATAATAATATTTCAACATATTTTGTCAAAGGTTTAATATAGTTGGCTGTTTTAAATATTGCTTTTCCAGTCCTTGAAAATAGCATAACTTTCTTTTTAAAAGTAGATTCAGACATTTTGAAATGCAAATTAATTTTTCAACAGAATTATAGATCTAGAAATAATATATCACCACTATTTATCAAGGCAAAGCACATTACAATAACAAAACATTTCTAGAGTTATCCCTTTTATAGATTTGACTTTATGCACATGTTTGCTCTAGTCATTTCAAGTTTCCACATTCTTGTTGGATGCATGAACTGCGTATTTGTGTGAATGTTTTAACAAATAGATAAAATATTTATTCATGGAAACAGGTATTGTATTGTATTTTATTATATTAATTTCCTAAATAGATACCCTCTAGGCACACAATATTTCAAAATATTTTAAAAACATTTTTTTTAAATATTCAAAAAGATTTATTTTAAATGTTTATTAACTGTATTTTATACATTTTTTTTTTATTTGAAAAATAAATATTTTTATATTTTGGTGGTGATAAGGTAGGCATTCGCCCCTCTTGATTGCCTAACACCTACCATTCGCCTCTGGATCTGCTACCACTCCCATAGAAAGTTCCAGGGCCCACTGGGAGGGCGGTATTGCTCCCCTTGGGAACCTATGAACTAGATGAACGCCCTAACAGAACCGGATACTAATCTGAGTTTAAGTTCAAGAGTATAGGTGATATGAAGCTGATAAGCTAGCTCAAAAAGAAGGCTATGCTATAAATAGCCCTGAATCATTATGTAATGTCACAAAGTAATTAAAAAAGTAGTGGATGTGAAGTTCATATAAGGAGTATAGTAAAAGTTAAGTGCATGAGAAATATTAGAGTAGGTGATGAAAGGATATTTAACAGTACATTGTAGGAAGTTTAGACAATCTTGATTCTGGTTGTAGGTTTTGAACCTCTATTTTAATGGTTTCACACTGTTTTAAATGTGAGATCTCTTGTCTTCAGCTGAAAACTGTTATCTGTAAGGTGTGAAGGTCTAGAATCAAGGAATTGTAGAATTAACAAGCATAATATATGAGCATCATAGGCAATATAGGAAAAAACAACTGTGGATATACTCTGATAGTAACTAGATTATAGCATGTGATAGAAAACACCAAACACAAGAATGTAAGGATAGCATTAATAAATTTACAAAGGTAAAAGTGGGAAAGGCTCTTAGTTAACAATCTAAACTAATACAGGGTCGTTGATTCTGCAATATCTGCTATGTGAAAAATATTATCATGTGAAAGCTATTACTGTCTATAGTTTGAATGTTGGCACATAACAGTGTTTTATTATTTAATTTATAAAATCAATGGATCAGATATTACCAACTGATACACGAACGTAAATATAGCTGTAATACAACCAAACCTAAAATAGGCCATAAACAGCACAGCAGATATTGCCCAATCAATGACAAATAATACATCTTTAAAAATACAAATAATGAAACTTCTCAATGTTTTCCAATTTTAAATGAATCTCAGACTTACACTTCTCTATCCAGCCTAGAATTACTTAATTCGCAGAACTGTTCAATGTTTTCTAAATTTTTAAATACAGGAAAACTAGGTGCATTTTCATTTACTTTACTCCAAGAAGCCTTACATTTAATAGTCACTTCAGGCACTTTTAAAGGTGTTAATTTATTTTGATTTTGTTCGGCTTCCTCTTTTTGTTTACTTATTTTCAGTTCATTTGAAACACTTTTTTCGGGCATAAAAAGTGCTTGCTTTTTAGTTTTTGAAGATACTCTTGGGCTTACATTAAATCTGGCCAAACCTGAGCCTTTTTTCAAGAATGGTTGTTTGGGTTTCACTGATAATTTATTGGGGTGATCTTCAGCAAGTTTTTCCTCTAACAATTCATTGAATGGTTTAACGGGTAAAATAGCTTTATTATCCCAATCAATTTGGTTGTCATTAGTAAGAGATATTTTTTCATTTAAATTTGAATCGCTCAATGGTGTGACTTCATCTAAGGAATCCAAATCGGTGGTGTTTGTTAAATTTAGACATTTTTTCTTCTGTAGTAGATTATCATAATTTCCTTGCCATAATTTCAGTTCTTGTAGTCTTACTAAATACGGTGAAGATATTAATGACATGATCACTATGACTTTCGCATGTTAACAGGTGAAATGGGTGAAATAAAATAATGAAAAAAATTTTGATTGAAAATTGATGGAAAATTGAAATTTCGAACTATTTTAGAATCTAGGCAACAAACTCTTGAGAGTCTCGGGCACGCCTCGGATTTACGATCTGTTACGAGTACGGATTTTTTAAACACAAAACATCAAAATGCGACAAACGGTCATGCTCTATGGTTCATGCGACTAGAGGTCATGCAGCGTACGTGCAACGTTGCCAATTGTTAAAATTTTATAATAATTTTCAACCAGAGTAATAATAGTTTACTCGACGATGAAGATTTTTTTTCCAAAATAACCTAAATGAAACGTATTGGTATTGTAAATTAATAAATATAATAAATGGAAATAAGGAATGACGCCCAGACATCCAAAATTGTATATCGAATGGACGTCCAATGGACGTATTTGTGCTGTCTGCAAAAGGCAACACACTAGGTATATGTTAGCATAAGGAGGCTGCACAGGTTGCAATTTTGGGTCATGTTGAACTGGATCCAGTGGATCCTGCTTCAAGCACCGGAAAAGTAGCAGCAACTTCAGAAATTCCACGCGTAGTAGTCTTTAGAGAATTTAAAAAAAAGCATCGATTCCACCCCTATAAAATTCATCTCGTGCAAGAACTCAACAAAGATGATCCAGATCGCCGTATACAATTTTGTGAGGAGATGGTTGAAACAATTTTAAACAATCCTAATTTTTTATATTCTACATGCTTTTTTAACGATTGCACATTCTTTCTTAATGGTTACGTCAACAGACATAACTGCAGAATAAAATGAGAAAAATCAAACATGTTTGTGAAAATCCACCATATTTGATTTTTCTCATTTTAACAATATATGGGTTTTCATTATAAGTAAAGGCCGAAACAATCGAAGATAATTGCAGATACTTGAGTGATTTGAATCCACGAATTATGAGAATAAACAGCATTCACAATATCCAGAAAAGTTGAATGTATGGGCTGGAATTTTGAACAATAATATTGTTGGTCCTTTTTTAATACTTGTTAACTTGACGGATGAGTCTTATACCTCAATTTGCTTGAAGAATGAGTCAATTTGAACATTTTGATTAATTAAAACTTGTTTGAAAATTTTTTTCTTTGATTTATTTCACCGAGACTTCCAACAGGTGTTTTACATTAATTTTAATACAGAACAAAAAATATGTCACCATGTTTGAAAAGAGAATTGAAAAACCTTTAAAATGATTTGTCACTTTGACCCTTCGTGTGTCATTTAGTGTTTTTGAAGTGGTTTCCACCCCGTTCGCGGGATGAACTTCATGATTTAAAGATCAAAAGTCCTTGGGTCCACCCTGTATGTAAATTTCTTAGAATTTCGTTTGCCTCCTACAAAATTAACCAATACAAAATCACCATTTTCATTTCGTTAATGTGCTTTAGAGGCTTCAATTTTTCTATATCTTGGTCTCCTTTATCTTCTTCACTATTCCAGGTTGAATCATTTGATTTTGCCTATTTCACATCATCATCTTCACTGGACTAGTCTAATTCTAGTTTCTTCAGATTTTTATTTTCTTGTAATTTATTTTTACTTTCCCTTTGAATTTTTCTGTTGAGCTTTTCCCTTATTTCCTTGCGATCCTTTTCTAGCATCTTTTTCTTTTGTATTCCTGCCATAGTTCTGAAGTTATAACTAGAGGTATTTTTTCCTTTTTCATCTTTTTAACATCTTCTGTTTTTTCTCATGCAATAAAACAAGGCTTTTTAAATATTGGCTTCTCTGAAGTTTTGCTAGCTGTGATGCTTGATTACTAAGAGGAATTTGTATTTTCTTTTCTAGAACTTTTTTTGTAGTGTTGAATGAACTACAATTTCATCCATTATATTGGCAGATGCTTCGTATAAGTTATGGAGTTAGAATTTACAGGATGTTGTTTTTCTGGAGTTACTATAATGTTTGAAATATTAGAAGCATTATCAGTCGCCCTGGTCATTATAATATTTCACTGTCATCTCTTTTTCTTTCATATTCTTCCTCGTCCCTATCACCTTAAGTTGTATATATAGATTCACATTTCAAATACATTTTTTGCCAAAATACAAATAATGCTATCTTTGTGTTTTTTAAATTTATCCAATATGTCATATCAGTGTAGTCAATCAATCCATTACCAGCTCCTGATATTATATTGCAAATGTTGTTTTGTAATGGTAAAAACGGATGTGGGAGCTGCTTGTAGACATCGGAAAAGTGGCTTATATTGTAGTGTAGCATGTTCACAGTGAATAGAATATAGTTGTTTCAATGCTCCCCTATTATATTCAAATAAATGAAGTCGAAGAAAATATTTAATATGTATAAAAATGTAAACTGTTTCAATAAAAAAAAAGATATTTTATTAATAATTGTCTTCTTTTATTTAATTTTCCATCATTTACAACTTTTACCGATTACTATATACTATTTGAATTATTGCAATTATCATTTATTTTATTTTTTAAATCAAAAGATCATAGTTTTAAATTGGTAAAACTTTTGTATATATATTAGTAGCAAAATATTACATTTTTAATTTTTAAATGTCATTCACTGCAGCTGAAGTTCTAGATTTTCATGTTTTTACCGCCCCAGGCTCTCCACTAAAGTATCTTAAAATAATTAGTTCAAAATTCTATTACAAATAAATTAGTAGGTGTGACAACACTGTAGCGTGTTTTTCTACTTACACAGCTCGGGAAAATTAATTTGAATCGTGAATATTCGCCACCTAAAGTTGTGTGTTCTGTGTTACTCGGCATCATCGATGCTCGGCTAAACAGTACGGTGTTTGTCACAATATATCCCCTATAGTAGTGCATCTCACTTGTTAAAGAGTTGGCACTAAGTTTGCAGCGCAAGAATGCGTCTGTGTCTGGCCGCTCAACTAACTCGATATGGCGGTAAATTCAAATATAATTTAAAGGCGAAATTTAAATTTCCCGCCAAAATTGTAAATTTTCAGCCGCGGAATGGCGGGAATTTTTAAATATATTCATTCTGCAATAATTATTGAGAAGTATATTGCATGTTCGATTAAACGAGCTGTAAATCCAGCTAAAAATAATACTAATTCTTTTATTATTAGCTATTACAATAAGAGCAGCATTTGGATTAACAACACATTTAAAAGAACATGTAATATACTTTTCAATTTTACCTAAATCACTTATTTTTTACCTATAGAGGTTAGATCTGAAAAAAAATTGGCTCTGGTAAAAAAACAAAAAATTGTATAAAGTATTTTATTTGAAAAATTATAAAACTTATTTAATATATTTTAAAGACGAAGATAACTCTAGCCATATCCATTTTACTGAAAAAAAAAAGAAACTATTAAATGAAATCATTTAGTTATTAAGAGATGTTTGTGATAATACAGTGGCAGCTATCGAATGTTGTACAATACGTTTTGCTAATGTCCAAGTAAAAACTACAAAGAGTTAGCATTAGTGGGAGAAGGAATAGAATACTATGAACGTAGCCAGCCGGCTACGTGGGGATGCATCACACCGTGTGCCTGTTCATATTACACAGCACACAAGGCAACATTCATATTATTCGTTTCCTGATCGAACTAATGTGCTAACTCTTTAGTTTTATTTTCGATTGTAGCCAAGCGTATTGGAAAGTGTTCATTAGCCGATACTGTATATAAATGCTAAAATCAATAAGTGAAATAAAAAAATTTAGTTTAAATGGACATCTACTTCGAAAAAAGTAAATTATTATACTTGAATTTTAAAGGCTGTTGCCACTGGAAAACTATTATCTAGGGCTTGGATGACAGCCATAGGACTCCCTCCTTGAATCGTGTCCATAGGAAAGCATAAGATCATAGTTAAATTATAATATTAAGAGGGTAGGTATTAACTGAAAAATTATTACAAACTTACCTCAAAATTGGCACCTACATTAAAAGAAGGGAAAACGGAAACATAAAATTGTTATACTTGAATTTTAAAGGCTTTTCCCACTGGAAAAGTATTATCTAGGGCGCAGACCCTTGGATGACAGCCATAGATAGCAATCCCTCCTCGATTCCTCTTTTTCTGAGTTTGTTGTACGTTTTGTTTCCCATATTAAATAAGAAAGCACTTAATACAACAACACAAATCACAATAAATATCGCTGAAACAAAATTAATATTAAATTTCGTAGAAGAAAAAATCAAAAAATTATCACTTGTCAACACTGACACTTCACGCTTCACTTATAAAAACTCAACGCTAAAGAATGAAAGATGATTCGAAATAGAAATTATTAACTGGTATCTCTTTCTTTTATAAGTATCTAAACAAAGAGAAGGAGTGGGAGTGAGTAACGCTCCGATCAGATTGTTTTGCATTCGTCGTCAACCAATGAACGTGCCGAAGTCAAAAATCAATAACGATACTAGCGCCATGAGACCTGTGTCTGGCCGCAGCGTAACTCAAAGCCATTTCTTGAATCCCAGTTACATTACTATAGGGGATATATTGTGGTGTTTGTCGCACGCTACATATTAGGCATTCCAACGACCTGTCAAACAATAGGTGCCAGTGGGAAATTCTTGTATATCTAAGGAGGTAGCGACATAGTCTTGCATCTTGGACGCTATTTTTATTCGAAATTGTAATCGCCAAGCCTGCTAATTTATGAATAAATATATAAGCGGGTTTTTTAAATATTATTTTTATTGTGTTTGGCATAAAATATTTAAATGTAATCCATTATTCATGATTTTACGTATAGTAGATAGAATACATCGTATGTCGCAACCCTTAGATATGTCAAACCTTCCCACTGGCAATTCATTTGTTTGGAATGCCTAATTCTTAACCAATAATCAATATGTACTCACCTATGCTGTCAAAAGTACATGTTGATGATTGGTTAAGGAAAGTGAGCGCGCGACAGACATCGTTCTGTGTTCTGTATATACCGCTTTAGTGCAGGCTAGGGGATCTTTAATAGGGAAATGCTTACTCGTGTTGTAGTACTGTGCACCACCCATAGATGGCGCTACTTACACAAAGTTTGCTCATTGCATTCGTCGAGCAGATTCAGAGTGTATTCAGAGCAGGTTCAGAGTAACGCAAGTGTACGCAAGTTGTTATTTAAAACTTTCAACAGCTAAAAAAACGCTATTAATGGTAATGGTTGATTTGTTTTATTAGGTTAGTTTTTCTAAGATAATTTTTAAAGCTTTAAACATATATAATTATGGTGCGAATTCGTCCTTGTGCTGATCCAGATTGTCAGGATAAAGTTAGTCGCAGGTAAGGAATACATTTACAATTTTATTTCTTTACAAGTAAAAACTTCTTTTTGTATTTTATTCTTAAATACTTTGCCAAATTTTAAGAGCATATATTATTACTTAAAATTACCCAATTTGTGAAATAAATTTCCAAAATAATGCGGGTAACCTAATGTTTTCTAGGAAAAATTAAAAATCTTAACCTAACTTTTATCATTTTCTATACAATTTCAGTAACTAGATAAAATATGTGAATATTAAGAAGATTGAAATAAATAGTGTTATTAGTATTTTTTTAGAATTATACAATATGTAATGGATACTTTATAGTAGATACCTATATACAATTTTTTTTCCGAATTCAAAATGAGCTACTTTTCAAACATACCAATAATTGTATATTTTATATTGTGCGACTCTTATTATTTTTTGCTCCATATACTGTGACCTACCTCACCTAGGTATCTTCACAATTTATTGATTCCAATTAATAAAAGTTGCATTCTTACTAAATTCAAATTCCTTCATTTTATTGAAAAATCTTCTATGATATATTTTTAAGAAATGCCGATTCATTCTCACTAGCTAATAAATTAATAGCTCAGCTGAATTGACTCAAAACAAAAATAATAAAATTGAACTTTATATTTTTTAACTGATACTCTTCTTCATTTTTTACATGAAAACGAATCAGCAAACACTGCAATAGGAAGTGACAAGTACACCCAACAGCAGCCAGAGCCAACTTTCCCCAGGAACTTTCGCTACAACTTCTACTGGATACAACCATGGGTGAACTTCGCAATAGTTTTATATTCATATTTCTTTATTATTGTGTACTGTAATAAGAATTCGTGCAATTTTAATTCTAATAATAAAAAATATATGGTTATAATCGTGTTTTACTTCATAATAAGATGTATTTTTTGTTCCATTAATCCAAAATTATAATTTTTCGTTTTCTTTTTAACTTAAAATATTTCAAATTTTATCTATCACAGAACATAACCCAATGGATTATATCCATCTAAGTATGTTGAGTGAAGAATAAAATGTTTGAATCATTTTAAGTAAAAAAGAACGAAAAATTATAATTTTGAAAATTTAGTAGTGGTTTATTAGAAAGGCCGAGTTTGAAAAACCCGCGTTCATTGACCCCTACCGCCATCTATATAATAAATCTTGAACAAATTTTCAATTATTAGTTATCTTCTTTTTTTTTAACTCAACTATTTGCAACCGCTACGGATGGCGCTGAAAGATGAGTAAAATTTTTCACTGTTGAGTGGCCCATCTTTAAAGGGTATGGTCTGTGCTTTAGTGTGCCAACCGCCGTTAACGGTTAAATAAGTGTTTTGATTTATTTTAAATTTTGAAAATAAAATATGGCCGCGAATAGTGAAAGAGTGAGACCTAAATTAAGCAAAAAATCTAAAATTAAAGTAGAAAACAAGCCGTTCTATGATAGCGATGAAGAAATAGGTTGGGGAAGAAAATTAACCTTAAAAGAGGTGAAAGCAAGGTTAAATAAACCTCAATTCCCCGTGCCTCAATTAGTATTAGATCCACATGCTAGGTATAGTACTCCTTCTTTCAAACAAACAAATTTTGTTTCTTCAGAATCTCATATAGAAAACGAAATGGAGCAGATTAATAAGGACGATTCAATTCCTGCGATATCCGAATATTTAACTGCTTCAGAAGAAGGTAATTCGGTATGTGCAACAAATTATTTATCAGTTGTGGAACCCAATGTCGAGAAAAGCTCTGTATATCTTTCTACAATCGATATTGAAGAATCGGATAATAATTTAGTTGATACCCGTTTAAATTTTGTCAAAAAAGCACTGAATACTACTGTGGATGATATAGAAAATGAGTATCATACTTTTGAAACTACAGTAAGTTCATCCATCGAAAGTACTGATAGTAGTATTTCTATATCGAAAAATGATTTGGTAATCCTAATATCAAGTGATGAAGATGAACTGGAATCTCAAGATTTTAGTTTTGAAATGAAAAGAGAACAGTTGAGTTGTGTTACAGAAGAAGGTGAAGACAAAAGCAATAGCTTTAGCAGCCAGAAAGACTTCACTACAGGAAATGATGCCTATAGCACAAAGAATTGTAGAACAGATGAAGGCAAGTATTTATTAAAATTATATAATTTGAGGGTACATAATGAAAACCTTTGGGTCTATGGTATACATTTTATTTACTTTATTTTAAACACCAATATAAAAATGTATATATAGAACTTTTCTCTCTCACTTTATGTGTGTGGTGTTAATACACTGTGACAAAAGATCAGCAGCGCCGGAAACGATGTGTTTCAAGAAAATTTGTTTCATAGGTTTGATAGCAAATTTTTCGCTCTACAATTTTGCACTTATCAAATTTTCCACCAAAGTGGGTGGTTTTTATGTCAAATGCATAAAACCAATAAAACCCCAAAATATATAAATTTGTTTTTTTTTGCTTGCTCTAGCGGCAATATATGAAATTTTACAAAAAAATGTATAGGGACATAATCCATAGAAAAATTGTATGTTCTTCAAAAAAAAGTCTAGTGAAATTGCATCATTTTTGAGTAAAAACGCCGAAAAATGTATATACTTACAGGGTTTTTCTAAATTCATGTGACAAAATTCAGAAGGTGATTGCTCCTATGAAATTAAGATGGGTCTTTCCTATAACAAAATTTCCTCAGTCCACTCCTTTCCGAGATATCACCCTTAAAAGGTGGTGACTAAAATTGAGTTTTTTTTTTTCTAAAATTTCAGTAAAGCTAGAAACTTGAAATTTTGTAATTTTTGTGCATTCACAAAGGACTAACCACGGGTATTTTTTCAATATTCCTGTTACATTATGGGGGGGGGGGGTGAAATTAACAACCCTTATGTTATGTTGGGAATGGGGTGTCAATTCAATGCCACCTAAAAGATCTATTGTGCCCCCTTCTGTCGCCAATGCACCAAGCAAATGTCTCAACGCCTATAACAACCCTTCCAATCCTATTTTCTCAAGGAAGTGTAGGATTTGAAATGGCTTCAAGTTAGGTAAATCTCCCTCTTCTATTTGATATCCTCCTAGATATAGTGCCCTTGGATTCTGGACTTTATTTACTTTATTTCAAATCAAAACTTTTTTTCGAGATGAAGTTTTATGAAATAAAATTATAACTTGAAATCCTTGTTTTATTTAAAAATTTTGTTTATTCCTAATTTTTTTCCCAAAACCAATAGCTGCAGAGAAAAAAAAATAAACACCATAATAATTTCATAAAACTTTATCTCGAAAAAAAGTTTTGATATGAAATATAAAGTAAGGGTTGCTAATTTGACCCCCTATAATGTAACAGGAATATTGAAAAAATACATATGGTTAGTCCTTTGCGAGTGCACAAAAATTACAGAATTTCAAGTTTCTAGCTTTACTGAAATTTTAGAAAAAAAAATAATAACTCAATTTTAGTCACCACCTCTTAAGGGTGATATCTCAGAAAGGGGTGGGCTGAGGAAATTTTGTTATAGGAAATACCCATCTTAATTTCATACGAGCAATCGCCTTCTGAATTTTGTCACATGAATTTAGAATATACATTTTTCGGCGTTTTTACTCAAAAATGATGCAACTTCGCCTTGACACCTAATTCTGGTGGACTCATTTAGCCTCATCTCATTACCCCGTTATATCCCTGAACCCAAGTTAAGTATTTTCCTCATTTAGCTCATTCAGTTTCAGTTTATCTTTTAATGATTTAGGGTTGGCAGGTACAGGTTTTTTTGCACCTAGGTTTTAATCCTAAAAGTTCTAAAAATTTTAGGTTTTTTTGAGATAAATATTAAGAATTTTTATCAATCAACTATCAGGAAAAAGTGTATATATAAAAACAAATACAAATATTTTAACTAACTTTGTTACCACTGGAACTTCTTGATATTGATATTAATGATAGTGACAATTAAAAAAAAACTATACCTAATATCATTTATTGATTTTTATATAATACTATCTGTTGCCATTGGCTTTGCTCGCGACTCTGCTCGCATGTAGTTGTGTTATTAATATAAAAAAAATATGACTTCCTTTTTTATTAATTTTTATTAGTTTTATTTTAGGGTGTTTTCTTGTTTGATGTCAATGGCATTGAATCAATTTTTGATATTGATGGCTGGACACTTATTACAATTTGGGGGAGGACTGCATATTTAATGTGGTATAAATTGCATTACTACCAATATCTGGGAGTGCTTTATTGTTTGTTGCTGAAATCCATCTTCCCATCTTTTGAAAACATGCTTAAAATTGGAAGGTGTTGAAAAATAAATCTAGATTCTAGATGAATCAAAATTCAATACACCTTCAAATACAATAGCCATTTTAATTTCTCTGAGTTTGAAGTTTTAACGAGCTGACAACTGACATGACATTTCGATAAGAACGCCATCCCGTTAATTGGAGTGGTACTAAATTACCAACCTCATGTTTTTCCATTTGAGTTACCAGCCCCTGATTATGACCATAAACTGATATCATAGTGAAATAATAATACTCTCCCTAATTTACCCCCATATGAGTGAATTTTAACCCCAAAAGGTAAGCTTGTCTGGGGAAGGGACGGCTATTATTATTTGCCATGGAGTAATGACTGGTGTCATTGTATATATAGAAATACTTGTAAGTCCTTTGTCGAAAGAATATCATATTTCAAGTGCATTTTCTTGCACCCTACAGAACATTTACTTCAGAAAAGAAGTACTTATCCATAATTATATTTCAGCAATGTATAGAGAGTGAAAAGTTTAACTGGAACAAATTCTGTAACTTAATAAATAATGGTTTGTCACAAATTCCTTAAGCATGTCAATTAGGCATACTGTTTATTTTTAACTGGGGGGTTGCAGCAACCCCCAATTTTTTTTTTTTTTAAATGGAAGGGATGTTTGATTGATTTATTATTTAATTTAATACTTTCTCAATTACAAATACTTTTTATTAGCAAAGGAAATGTTTACTGAAACTAAATACAGTATAACTTCGATAGTTTGGACAGTCGCTAGACCGGGCACTGCTGTGATTTGGGCATTTTGACAATTTTGCCTCTGAAACAGCGAAAACATCACAAAATGGGCTGTGGGAGAAGACGAGTTTGTTGTTGATTTAACTGAAGAACAGCTTATCCAGGATGCAGTAGGGAGCAATATTGAAAATACAAATGAATCTTCTGAATCAGAAGGTGAAACATGCAGATGCTGTAAAAGCGTTCTCACTAGCTCTCAGGTGGACTGAGGAGAATAATCTTCCCCTTGAAGATGTATTGCTTTTGAGAAGGCTCAAAAACAAAGCAACTAATGTAGATGCATCGAAAAAGGTCCAAACTACAATTAATAAGTTTTCAAAAAATTAGAAGATTTGCAAATTGCATATTTTACTTAGGAATTGTGTACACTTTTGTTTTAGGTATTTTTTGAGAAGTATTGTTTTTTTTTTGTTTTATTTTATGAGAATTGTAATTTTTTTGGTTGTGATTAATAAACCTTATTTTTGATCATTTTTAAGTTGTTTTATTAATTTATTAATTCAAATTACTCCAGTAATCCGGACGCCTCAATAGTCCGGGCATGCCCCGGAACGATATCTGCCCGGACTACTGAAGTTATATTGTACTCTCATCTGGAGTTACATAAGCCGCCCGGGTAACAAAAGCCATTTCGAAGGATAAATTTAAAATGCTTATATTGGCAACACTGTTTAGCGTTTGCAAGTTTTTTTGATGGTTTGATTTGGTAATTTAAAGAATTTTTCGCCATTCATCATTAAATCCTTTGAGTTTGTAAAGGTAAGTTTATGTAAATATTTTAATTTTGAGATTACTTTTAATAAAATTTCATAACCTTCATAACTTTAAGGAGATCCTTTCGCCACCAATGATAAATAAAAAATAATAGATTATGACTAAAATTAATTTTTTTCTAATAGTTGAAGTCCTTATTTATCTAATAGTGAATTTTTAACTGTACCTTACCGTGCAAATTTTTGAGAAAAGAAAATTAAAAAAATGTGAGTTTTTGTACAGTGTCTTACGAGAAAGTAAGACCTCAATAACAATTTTCGAATTATACTATTATTTATTGATTAGATGGAGTAGAAAAAAAACTAAAAATAAGGTTTTTGAAATATTAGTTTTTGTTTTTTACAATAAAATATATAGGTTACCGTGGAATTTATTGAGAAATTAATATTGAAGTTCGCGCGCTACGCAACGTTGCCAAATGTTTTGACTCAATTTTAAGCTAGGTTACTTGAAAATTTTTGTGATTTTTTAATATTAATTTCTCAATAAATTCCAAGGTAACCTATATATTTTATTGTAAAAAAAACCTAAATATTTTAAACACCTTATTTTTAGTTTTTTTCTACTCCAGCTAATCAATAAATAATAGTATAATTCGAGAATTGTTGTTGAGGTCTTACTTTCTCGTAAGACACGGTAAGGTATAGTTAAAAGTTCACTATTAGATAAATAAGGACTTCAACTATTAGAAAATTAATTTTAGTCATAATCTAATATTTTTTATTTAACATTGGTGGTGAAAGGACCTACTTGATCGAGCTAAAAAAGCAAAAAAAAACACGTTTCTAGTAGGGGAAGCCCCCTTTAATTTTTAATTTAGTTTTAATTTGTTGTTATAGCGGCAACAGAAATACACATTCTGTGAAAATTTCAACTATCTACCTATTACGGATCATAAAATACAGCCCGCTGACAGACAGGCGAACAGCGGAGGCTTAGTAATAGGACCCCGTTGGTTAGCATTCCGGTATGAAACCTTAAAAACGAGAGTATCACTTATTTTCTATAAATTAGTTAGTACTTACAATTAACGTGTAGGCCCAACTTTTCATTTTTATGTTAAAGTAAATTAATAAAGGTTTTAGGTAGGGGCAGGTGTACAGATAGAGAATACTTGAAAGAAGTCACACATTTTAAAACATATGTTGAAATGATTCCGTCATTTGACATATTCTTATCTTTTCCGTCCTGTATCGTTGGCGTTACTCGGAATTGCTTTAAAGTTGTGACGCCGATGGTAGTGGGATTTTGAAAATTAATGGAATTGGCAGATATATTTTGAGAAGATTGATTGAGGGTTGTAGAATTGTCAGTTGGGACTTTTCGAGAAGTTAATATTGTTTAACGCCGCACCGTTGTGCCGGTCGGAGTGGGGGTGTTAGGTTTTTTTTTTTTTTTTTCGTTACAGTGTTACGGAATTTCTTGATTCGGTCTCCGCGCTCAAAGCCCGCGATAAAAGCTATGCAACAGCTTCAAAAATTAACCTACCCCTCCATTATAAAAACAGTTGGGGGTTGCTGCAACCCTCCAGATAATTAAAAAAAATAAAGAAACTTCTTTGTAATATGCCCCATTGAAAGTAAAAATTGATGTATTTCATGAATTTTGTAATAAATTTTGATTTATTAAGTTTCAGAATTTGTTCCAGTTAAACTTTCCACTCTGTATAAATATTCACTAATTATGTTATGGTGTCAAAACGACTAAACTTTTTGTTAAAATATATATATTTTTGCAGGTACTGCTTGGGGCAAATCTAGTTTTTATGCAAGAAATTCTAAACCTGCTATAGACGAATTGGATATTTCATCTGCAAGTGCATTAAATACTACACTAGATAGAATGAATGCAATTTTAGGAGAAAATTTATCATTGAATGAAAATGCAAACAGTGAAGATGAAGAAGAAGTAAATAAGAATTCCTTAACTGTACCACAAACATGTAACCTAATATCAGGATCATTTTTGCATTTACCTACATCTCTTAAATTCAATACAGCTGATAAACATTGTTCTCCAGAAAGACCCTACAACACCCCTTCTAAAACAACTAAACCAATTAAATTGACTCCCAAAAATACACCTATAAGTAAAAGTAACATACCTATTTTTAAAAAATCTCCTGACTTTAGGATGCCAGATTTGCCTAATAAACCTAAAACTTTAAACAGATCCAAAGTAAATTACAAAGATATTGTAAGTCCTGTTCGGATGTACATAAAGTACAGTCCAAAACCTGTTTTACAACAAACTGTACATGCCAAAGATAAGCCTTATTCTAAATTTAACCATTCTCCTAGAGTATTAGAAGCAGGAAACCAAATGGATAGCTTAGCTATACCTAATGTTGTATACAAACCTTCCAAAAAACAAATATTTGCTTTAGATGAAACAACTAATTTTCCTTTTTCGTTAGATAAAATGATTAAAAAATCATCTGTAGTAAAACATGAAAGGCATCCATTAAGACCAAATTGTTATCAAGATGAAACGTTAGATCCCGAAGCAGAACTTACAAAAAGTTTTCTGTCTGATTGTAGTAATTTAAGTGGAATAGAGAATATTTCTATTTTGCATAAAAAAACGGCTTTGAGAAAATGAGTAGAGATTTTAAAAGGTTAACATTTTTTATAATAGACTGAAAATATGTAGTAATTTATTAAGAGCAAACCGGACCTGCAAAAAACAATTTTCACCTCTATCTGTCTATGTTTTGTTCCGCCCTGACCGCCCACAAGTTTAAATATTTCCTTTATAATAGTATACTGGCGCTATTGAAGTTAACAAATAGGCTTTGTAAGAGAATCATATTTTAAAACATGTCTATAGTATTATAATTATTATTCTTGCCACTTGATGGTGTAAAATTATATAGGCGTATTATATTTTCGAGGCGTTTTAACTATTTATTAAATATTTGTGTTTTACACTAAAATATCTTTAAAATAATTAGTTGGATGTTAAATATCTATTGGTTATTGATTCAAAATTCTATTACAAATAAATTAGTTGGTATAAAAACACTGTAGCGTGTTTGTCCTACTTACACAGCCCGGGAAAATTAATTTGAATCGCCAATATTCGCCACCTAAAGTTGTGTGTTCTGTGCGTTACTCGGCATCATCGATGCTCAGCATACCCAGAACGGTGTCTGTCGCATGCTGCACTTAACCAATAATCAACATGTACTCACCTATGCTGTCAAAAGTACATGTTGAGGATTGGTTAAGGAAAGTGAGTGCGCGACAGACACTGTTCTGTATATGCCGCTTTAGTGTGCTAACCGTTAAACGGTTAACCATTAAATGAGTAAATAGACCTCAATTCCCCATGCCTCGATTAGTATCAGATGCACGCGGTAGGTATAGAACTCCTTCATTGAAACAAACAAATTTTGTTTCTTCAGAAACTCAAAGTAGAGAAAACGAAATGGAGCAAATTAATAGGAACGATTCAATTCCTGTGATATCCGAATATTTAACTGCTTCAGAAGAAGGTAATTCTTCAGTATGTGCAACAAATTACCTATCGGTTGTGAACCCAATACCGAGAAAAGCTCTGTATATCTTTCTACTATCGATATTGAAGAATCAGAAAATAATTTAGTTGATACTTGTTTAAATTTTCTCCAAAAAGCACCGAATACTACTGTGGATGATATAGAAAATGAGTACCATACTTTTGAAACTACAGTAAGTTCATCCATAGAAAGTACTGATAGTAATATTTCTACATCGAAAAATGATTTGGTAATCCTAATATCAAGTAATGAAGATGAACTGGAATCTTAAGATTATAGTTTTGAAATGAAAAGAGAACTGTTGAGTTGTACAGGGTGCGGCAAAATGATAGGTACTATTTGGGATGTCAATAAAAAACAAACCACATAAAGCAACATTTTTTTTTTTAATATTATTGAAATCTACATTTCATGCCATTTAGGAACGTTATTTTTTAAAAATGATATTTTTTAAATAACGGCCATTATTGTCGATGCACTCTTGTACGTTTTCACGGAAGCACGTCATTACCCGATGGATCCTTGGGAATTGCGGCAATTTCTTGTCTTATGGCTGCCTTTAATTCTTCCAAAGTCCGAGGACGATGTGTAAAAACTCTCGATTTGAGGTAACCCCAAAGAAAAAAGTTGCAAGGCGACAAATCAGGCGAACGCGGCGGCCAGCAGAGATCACCTCGTAAAGACACCACTTTGGGAACATTTCTTGAAGAAGATTAAATGAACGACGCGTGGTGTGCAATTTAGCACCATCCTGCTGGAACCAAAGATTTTCTCGTTGATTAACGTTCAACTCGTTAACTTTTGGACGTCGGAAATTGTTAAGCATATCAAAATATTTATCTCTGTTGACTGTTACCGTTATTCCATCTTCTTCCAAAAAGTAAGGACCCCACACGCCGAACTCAGATATTGCACACCAGACAGTAACCTTAGGACTGTGAAGTGGTCGCTCGTGAAGTTCCTGTGGATTATTTGCCGACCAATAACGAAAATTTTGCTTATTTACAGAACCTGATGGGTGAAAGTGAGCTTCATCGCTAGACATAGATACAGCGCCTCAGGGAATGTTTTGAAGAATATCCCAACATGAATTTGTACGGTTTCAAAATCTCTTTCACTTAATTCCTGCAGTACCATCATTTTGTACGGATGCATTTGGAGTGAGTTGTGTAAAATTCTTCGAACATTTCTATCAGAAATTCCCAAAGCAGCTGCATGCTTACGAGCTGAACGTTTTGTTTACCTAACGCGACCGCGTGCACAGTGTTGCCGGTTTTACAAACGGAGCAACTACTATTTGAAATCCTGCCTACCTTTTTGCCGCACCCTGTATTACGGAAGAATGTGAAGAAAAAAGCAGTAACTTTAGCAATGAGAAAGAATCCACTACAGGAGGTGATGCGTATGATAGCATTGAAAACTATAGTAGAAGCACAAAGAATTGTAGAACAGATGAAGGCAGAGGTGTTTTTTTCCTTGGGATCTAAACAATGTACGATAAAGTCTCCTGTTAAGAGTAACTTAGTTAAAATTTTTATGTATGCTATTTGGAGAATATTGGACATTATGAGCATAAAATGATAATATCCTAGTGAAATAATAATCTCCCTAATTCACCCCTTATGAGTGGATTTTAACTCCATAAGGTGAGTTTGTGAGGGCAAGAGGCGGGTATTATTATTATTATTATTATTAGCCATGGCATAATGATTGGTGTCATTGTATAATATCTAGAAATACTTGTAAGTCCTTTGTCAAAAAAATATATTTCAAGTACAAGAACCTACAACACCCCTTTTAAAACAACTAAAACGATTAAATTGACTCCCAAAAATACATCTACAAGTAAAAGTAACATACCTATTATTAAAAAAATCTCCTGAATTTAGGATGCAAGATTTGCCAAATAAACCTAAAATTTTAACGAAATCAAAAGTAAATTATAAAGATATTGTAAGTCCTGTTCGAATGTACATAAAGTACAGTCCAAAACCTGTTTTACAACAAACTGTACATGCTAAAGATAAGCCTTATCTAAATTTAACCACTCTCCTAGAGTATTAGAAGCAGGAAATCAAATGGATAGCATAGCTATACCTAATGTTGTATACAAACCTTCTAAAAAACAAATGTTTGCTTTAGATGAAACTTTAATTTTCCTTTTTCTTTAGATAAAATTATTTGTACGTCGCAGCGTTGAGCGTTGCCTTGCGTCTTGGCGGAGTGAAAGGCATTTATTACGAAGGGTGTCGTTAGGGGTATTATGAAGGAAATATTTAGGTAGGTTTATGGGCGTCAGGCGTCGGGAAGTATAGCGGTGAGACGTTATAGACTTCGGGAGGTAGGTCGTCGGGACGTAGGGAAGTAGAGCAACGGGACGTTGAGCGTCGGAACATGAAAGCGTTCGGGAGATAGGACGTTGGGACGTCGATAGGAGGAAAGGTGGATAAAAAAGGATGGTAGATGTATATCGTGCCTTGAGAAATTCTTGGAATTTTGTGTCGAAATCGGTGTCTTAATATTCGAAACTGCCTTAAGATGACCGCGTTAACTGTTTTAGTGATTATTACTTATTGAAAGGAGTTGTTTTATAAAATTCATAACTTTTTACAGAGTTTTTTCCTTTGAAATTCTATCAGTTAACCAGGTTTCAGTTATCCCCAAAACATTAATTCATACTTACTTATAGTAGGATTAAATGATCGTCTATTAACTTGTCCTATTTTGATTTTTTTTGCAATTGCCATTAAAAATTGTCGAAAATTCAATTGGTCGAAAGTTCAAATGATCTAAAATTTAATTAGTCGAAAGTAAAATAGATCGAAAAGTACAAGAGAAAAGTAGAAAATTTTTACACAAATCGAAAAAAAAGAGAAAGACTAATTTATCTAACCTGTGCGCCCTGTAGCCTACGCGGGTTGCTTTGCCAACAAATTATACATAAAATGAGAAAAATAAAAAATTATTTTACCTAACCTGTACGGACTGGAGCAATTTTAACTTTTACTGGTTAGGTAACTTTTAAAATTATTTTATGTATAATGAAAGATTTTATGATATTAATGGAGGAAGTCGCTTTTCTAAGTTTGCATATTTTTTGCAAAATTAGATGCAGTTTATCGTAACTTTTTCCATCCATCTAGATGTTGTTTTACCATAATTGGTTTCAGTGGTCTTTTTCATTCAGTTTCAAATTTACTTAACTAAGTTAAACATTTCAATGCAAATGTTTATTGAAGTCAATTTCGTTTTTCCCTGATGGAAACCATGTCAATTATGAAACAAAATGGGGTATGTTGTTCGCCTTTTAAAATTTGTTAAAAAAACTTGTTAACTATTCTCGATCCAGAAATGGTGTCATTTTCAAAATAAAATTTAAATTAATAGTACCTTTAGTTAATCATCATTCTAGTGAAATAATTGCACTGTTTCAAATCATATTTCTTACCCGTTTTCTGTTATATACTCTAATGTAGTATTAAATGCCAGATCTGTAGTATTGCAGGTAATACTTTTTTTAGTGCTGTCGAATTCTGCATTAGTTTTTGAGTGGGCCTTCATTTTAACGGTAGTAGAAGTTCTATAAAAATGAATTTAGTTCAAAAATGTAAAAAGAATTGAACACGTTAACCATAAGTTCTGTTAAATGAAGAACATTAACCTGACATTTTTATGAGAATCTTAACTTTTGTAGAGAAAAAGGTGCGAAAACTTCTCATTTGATATTTAAAAAATCAAAATCTGTAAAATTTTGTAGGTTTAATTAACACAGTTTGAGCGAGAAAACTTTTCCCAAAATTCGGAGAAATAAAAACAAATAAATAGGTCTGTCCTTAAAATGATTAGTACAATTGGATTACTATCTTACATTTCACATAAATCAGAAATAATGGCTCTGGAAGTATCAGCAGTTTTATGGGTGTCCGGTTTGCTCTTAAAATGGTTATAATAGACTGAAAATATTTAACATTCTATTAAAATAACTCATTCTTTTTTTTGATTGATTGATTTTTATAATTTGAAATTTTCCTGTGATAAAAAGTCATAGAAATAAAGGTATAATTTGTAAATAGTATTTGTATGATAAAAAATGTATTAGTATGAATGTATTTTTCTTATCCATAGTAATTTTGGGATTTTATTTATTCAATTGACAATCTCAAAATATGATTATATGGATTAAACAATGATTTCTGCTTTAATATGGAAAACAGTTATAATGGAATAGCACAAATGAAAGAACTAAAAAAAAATGTAGGAAATGGGAAGTCTGCTAAACTGGAGATTTAATTTTTTTTAGTAATTTTTTGACATATAAATAGGTTTTATAGCTAACATTTAGATAATTTTACATTTACTTTGCAATTTTAAAATAATTTCTTGAAACTAAATGAATAATTGAGACGTTGACTTCAAAAACAGCATAAGTCCAAAAAATTCGTTTTGAGAGAATAGGAAACCAAACAGTTTACCTTGATTCACGTTCAACTTACTAGCCAAATAAGTATTTAGATACATTTTTAGGAGTCTAACGGTTTTCACTTGTTATTATCTGGTTTAACACTTTCGCTGCCCATGATGTTCATTAACGTCATGGTAGTTATTTCCCCTATGCCCATGACGTTTTGTAATGTCATTTGAAGATGTATGCTTCGATGAATGTAGACAAGCCACTATGCAATGAATTGTCTTTATAACCCCGTAGGCATGTGAAAACGTTCTTAAATTAGTGCATTATGAATTTGGTTTGGATATTATGTTTGTGAATTTAATATAGAAAGGCTTTAACAGGTTCTAATTAAATGATGTACATAATTGCTCGATATTTTAATTTGTTGCATAGACATGCAATTAAGTCTTTGAAAAACACATAATTTTGGATATACTGTGTGTTACGCTTTTGCTTGGTAAGTAAAAATATATATTAAATAGAACACTGTATTTTATCTCAGTTTTAAAATTCTTAGGGAATACTGTATTAAATCCTAGAATATATTTAAAAAATATTACAGGTTTGCCAAGCAATTAATTTTTTGTGATATAAAATGATACAGACCCCAAATACTATCAGAATTTAAGTAGCTTATCTTAAAGATACAAAGACATTTTTAAGTTGTACGATCTTATTTTAAAATTATTCCTAAGTATACAGGAAAGTTCATAAATAAGTGGTGGAAAAACTTATACTATTTTAAAATAAAACCCCCTTGTATAAATTTATTTGTTGTCACATCGTCAAACAATTTTAATAAGACTTAACGTTTCTAAAAATGTTTTCACTTTGCATTCATTTGCTATGTTGTATATAGGGTGTGTCAAAATGCAAGATTACGATTTTCCTTTTTTTTTTTTCAAATGAAATGCCACGTATGTTACACCACAAATTTAATTAACTAATAGTTTCTTTACTTTTTATTTTGTTTGGCATTCTTGAGCCTAAACTGATTTTTAAATGTTATTTACAATGGTTCATATTGTAATGTCGAAGGAATAGAAAACCATTCACTAATTCTGACAAATTGATTACCAAAAATTACATTAGCATTTTACCCTAAATTAGTCCATATTTTCAAAAACCAATTAGATAAATATGAAAAAATTATGTCAATTTTCATGGTAAAACCGTTTTTAAGAAAAAATTTGTTTGGGAATAGAATGCCAAACAAAATAAAAAAAAAATAAGGAAATTAACTTATAAATTGGTGATATAAAACACAGAATATATTTGAAAAAATTGAGAATATTGTAACCTTAAGTCTAGACAAATAAATGAAAATGTTAAACATTTTTAGAAGAGTTTAGTCTATTAAAATTATAAAACGATGTGAAAACAACCAAATCTGTAAGGCGTAACTACCTATAGGGTGTTTGGTTTAAAAGACGATCTGTTTGATTTTCCCCTCATTTATAGACCACCATGTATATTTAAAAATAATTGTAAACTATGGTCGTACAACTTTTATATTAAACATTTCTTCATATCTCCAATAATAAAATACCTATTGATGTATAATGTATATGTATAATTAAAACACTGTATAAACTGAACCAATTCTTTTATCACAGCTTGGTCCTTATACGTTGAAAAATATTCTAGTGATAAATACAGTATTACTGTGAAACTCTTAAACTGAAAAATACAGGGTGTTCCATTTAAAAACATGTTTTTACTTTCCTGACAAAAGCGTATATCCAAAAACGTTTTTAAATTATATTTTTTTAAACATTAGAAATTTGAAATTGAGATATGAAACCATAAAAAAAAACTTTGATTTTAAACGAGAATAGTACGGTGCCAAAGGTTAAAAATTTCTAGTACGCCAATTGATAGCATTGAAAATTTAAAGCAAAGGATTCGTTATGAGTAAAAATTTTATTTTTATTTATGTCATTGGAAAGGGTTTGGAACAAGCTTTCAATTGATGTATCACTTGCCATATGATTTCATTTAAAACTATCTTCCAAACGGCTCCCGTCCGCCATTTTTAATGATTAAGTCATCTAATATCATTAAAAAAGGTAGTATACATTCCTTAGTTCAGTTTCTCAAAATTTCAAATTTCTAACTTTCTAATAAAAGACCCGCGCTATATGTTGTTTTTACCAGAATTAGAGTGACATGTTATTTTTACCAGAAACAGACCTGTTGCACGTGCTGGAATTAACTTGTTTCTATGATTAATTAGTTATAAATCTGTTACTTTTGCATTCCATATTTCTGTATATTTTTCTTTTTCGACTTCCTGTTAGGCCAATTGGTTTGCCCCGTATCTTTATTTTTAACTATATTAATTTTTTATAATGTCGATGTGTCAACAACAACGAATCAACTAAATTAATTGAGAACGGAATACACAGTACAAGGTTATAACGTTTCAATAACATATGTAAATGCTGTTTTTAATATAAACAACTATAAATCAGCACAAGAACATTTTTGCAAGAACTGCTTAAACCATCAAATAGCTTCTAAAATAATCTACTTGATGCCACTAAGATCTCAGGTTTGATAATTTTGGACTTGTGCTGTTTTTGAAATCAACCCCTCAATTTTTTGGTGCCCGTATTCGTTTACCAATCGAGAATCAAGAACATGATGTCACTTGGGAACTAACCCAACCAGTATAGAAGTGTTTGCACCATGACTAATTAAGTCAACTATACCTAATACCTACCTCTTATGTATGTCATGAACATTGTTATAAAATTTTAAACCTTGTATCTAACATTCTGGGGTCTATTCTGTAACAATTCCTTTATATTTAACGGCCTTTAAAAATATTGGCGGCCTTATAAATATTTTCGTATTCGTTAATTTACTTTTGTCATTATTTAAACAGATTTCTTTTAGATAGTCCTCTAATGTATTTTAAAGATCCGTTTAAATAATGACATAAGTAAAGAAGAAAATATTTTTAAAGGTCGTTAAATATAAAGGAATTGTTACAGAATAGACCCCTCTAACGGATTAGAAATGCAACTAATTAAAATATTAATCCTGAATAATTTTCTATAGGTATCATTTTATTTGTAGATTGTGGGGAAAAAATATTTCAATAAACATCTTGCAATTGGTATTTACATCAATTTTTAATCCTAGATACAATAAAACGTATTTTCAGGTGCTTTTGCTGCTTAGGGATTAAAAGTACTATAAATTAATACCAAACAACCAAAAATACAGTACAAAGTACAATAACGTAAACACTAATAACCTTGCACTGACATCGTCATTGCTTTATTATTAGAGTACCCTTAAGTGGTTTTTATAATATTTAGTATTTTTTTTATTTTTCGTATAAACTACGGGACTGAAGTGTCTTTTTATCCATCGACGAATTGTAGCTCTGCCTCCGTTAGGGCTACAAACTTTTTGCTTCTGAATAAATAGTGCCACTTCAGTCCCTTACTGTATACTATTTTCATCACCCAGTCGTTAAAATACTTGATTTTTGTTCTTTTTTTACGTTGAAGAATGATTTATTACATATTAATTATAATTACATCTATTTTTAGAAGGTACTATATCATTGTGTCATAATTTTCCTTGAAAAGCATCATAATGATGTACGCCCGGTAGATACCCCTTTTTTGAGTCGAATTGAGACATATTGGGATTTTTTTAGAGCTTCTTCAAAAGGAAGCCAAATTTTTTGCTTCTCTTATGGTATCCCATTATAGCTGACTTATTGTTTAATGTATTTTTAATCATTTTAAGTTTGAACGTTTGTATATTTCTTGTAATTAAACTATTTTTTATATTATTGACGTTTTTATACTATTAGATTATATTTTTAGAAACCATTTTTATACTCTATATTATTTATTGTTAAATTAGTTTTTTATACTCTGTAAATTAAAGTACTTAAGAACTCATTTAATATTGTTTTTATTACTAGTATATTATGTCATTATAAGAATGAGTAGAAGGGGAACTTTTTCTAAACAAAAATTAAAAATGCAAAGTTCGTCCCGAGATATCGACCAAAAATTCTATATATGGGTATGATGGAAGTTCTGGAATTAGTATTGCAACAGAGGTGCATACAGTTAAAAAAGTTACATTGTATTCTTTCACATCATGTTTAACACTGAAAATGACTTTAATAAATGATACAAGAAATAATAGACTTTCGGAATGTTTTTCATTTTTAAAAATTTACTTAAAGCGTTTCCGAGATACAGTCTCCTACAAATGACGGCAACGCAAACAAAGCAAGCATTTTTGAAAAGTAAAAATAATTTACTTTATTACATTATTTAATCTCACAATTTTATTCAATTTGTAATGTGGGCAAATAATAATTATTAGCCTTAGGTGACAGTTTTCATAGATGTAGGTCATCAATTTCAGTGTCGTATATTTTACATAAATTTAATTACTCTTTCAATTATTGATATTTTTTTAAAATGCAGTTTTGTTATATTCTAGGACAGTCTAAATTATAATCTGTTTTAATATTAGTCGCGTCAAATTAGCATGAAAAAAGTGAAAATGGACAGCTTTTTGCGGAGAGGTCCGATTGAGATGCGGTTTTCTGCAAAATGTTCAGGAAACCGTCTGTAACAAAAGGAATATCTAACCTCTGTACGCTCGCAAATTCTTAATTGTTTATTTAACGAATGAGGCAAGAGTGTTGATGAATATGTGGCAAATGTCACACACGGTTCAACGAAAATGTTCTCTCGGGGGTTTCGAGGTCCCTCTTTATTACTTTGGTGTCAGATTTATTATTTATTGCTAAATTGTTATAACTTGGCTAATTAACAAATGAAAAACTCAACCCCCGAAATCACTAGAGAACCGGAATTTTTTCCAGCATTTCTGGCTTGTTAAGGCGAACCATCGGCACAATATTTTTGCAAACATAATTGTTTATTGTTCGATTGTTGCCACCTCGCTAATTAACAAATTAATAACTCGACTTCCGGAATCGTTAGAAAACCAGATTTTTTTGCAATAACTCTGTGATCATAGGAAGAACCATCGGCACAAGGTTGTTGCACGTAAATATTTATGTTTTAATTGTTGCAACCTGGCTAATTAACAAATTAATATCTCAACCCCCGAAATCACTAGAGAACCAGAATTACAAAAATCTTGTGCCGATGGTTCGCCATAACAAGCCAGAAATGCTGGAAAAAATTCCAGTTCTCTAGTGATTTCAGGGGTTGAGTTTTTCATTTGTTAATTAGCCAAGTTACAACAATTTAGCAATAAATAATCAATCTGACACCAAAGTGATAAAGAGGGACCTCGAAACCCCCCGAGTGAACAGTTTTCAGACATTTTCCTTGAACCGTGTGACATTTGCAACATATTCATCAACACTCTAACAAAAATACCTCATTTGTTAAATAAACTGGTTAAATTCTACAATTTCACCAGTAAAAACATCAACAGATAAAGATTTTCATATACCTTCAACCATAGATATCTTGCTCGGAGCAGATCTCTATTATAACTTAATTAAGCCAGGCATTCATAAACTAGGTCTAGGATTGCCTACCCTAGTCAATACTCATTTTGGGTGGATTATAGCAGGTAATTTTCCTGGTTCACCCCAACCACACAAATATTCTCATCATGTACAGTTCCCCAGGAAGGATCTAAAAATCAGAGTACAGTTCGTGCGGGCACAAAATTGTTGTCTGGTACTAATCACATTCATTTTGCAACCCCCACATTTGAAGTAAATTTAGAGGGTGGAAGCGGTTCATCAAATCAATCATCAACCTTTTCGGGTGGGTTTGACGACCCCTTGATCAGCCCTTCATCAAACACACGTTTTTCAAACAATCATTCACACACCCCTAACGCACAAAAGGTGCTTGGTGGTGATCAATCAAACTTCAGCCCCTATTCCTGATCAAGAGTCAGAGGATAGTAGCGGTTTTTCAAATCATCTTTTATATCAACAATCAACCTTTTCGGGTGGGTTTGACGACCCCTTGATCGGCCCTTCATCAAACATACTTATTTCAAACATCCCCAACGCACAAGAGGTGCTTGGTGGTGATCAATCAAACATTTCAACCCCTATTCCTGATCAAGAGTCAGAGGATAGTAGCGGTTTTTCAAATCATCTTTTATATCAACAATCAACCTTTTCGGGTGGGTTTGACGACCCCTTGATCGGCCCTTCATCAAACATACTTATTTCAAACATTAACTCAAACATCCCCAACGCACAAGAGGTGCTTGGTGGTGATCAATCAAACATTTCAACCCCTATTCCTGATCAAGAGTCAGAGGATAGTAGCGGTTTTTCAAATCAAACTTCACATCACTCATCAAACATTCATTCTAACAGTTCGGACACAGAAACCAAACTTGTGTATGATACCAGTCAACACCAAATTTCAAATCCCAGCTCAGCAAAAGAAGCTGAAATTAGCTTACATTTTTCACAACATGTTCCAAACGTTTCTTCTCATGATGTCAAATTGGATAATCCCTTCAACCTTCTATTTGACAACAACGTTGCTTTGCACATTGCAAATCAGGGTCAAATTGACAACCCTTTCAAACTTTTAATACAAAATAACGTAGAGAAATCACCTACTACCACGCCACTGTCCACTGACCAGCTTTTGGAGCGGTTCTGGATACAGGAGGAAGTGGAAAACAAAATGGTTTTATCTGAGGATGACCAACTAGCTGAACAAATTTTCAAAAATACAACCATCCAGTTACCAAATGGTAAATTTCAAGTCAACTTGCCGCTGAAGAATGAATTGGCTTATATTCAATTAGGAGATTCTTTTCAAATAGCAAAGCATCGTTTTTTGTCATTAGAACGTAAACTTCACAAAAACCCTCAACTTTTCGCAGAATATAAAAAATTCATCGATGAATACTTGCATCTCAATCATGGTCACATCATACCACTTCAATTAAAAACTATAAACAACGAACAGAAATATTTTGCACCACATCTTTGTGTCATTCGTGATCAAAGTGTTTCCACCAAGTTCAGAGTTGTGTTCGATTTCTCTTGTCAAACCACATCTAAACTGTCATTAAACGACATTTTGTTAACAGGGCCTCGGGTCCAACCTGAGCTGGTTGATATCCTACTTAGATTCCGCACATTTAACTATGTTTTGACAGCTGATATCCAGAAGATGTACAGGCAAATAGTAATGAACCCTGCACACAATTTTTTGCAAAATATATTATGGCGAAATTCACCAACCGAACCACTCCAATGCATTGAGTTAACATCTGTTAGTTTTGGGCAAAAGAGTGCTCCTTACGTTGCTTGTCGTGTTTTAAACGAAATTGCTTTTCAAAACCCACATCGGGCTCTGGCTCATCAAGCCCTCCTTGAACAAACTTATGTCGACGACATTTTAGCTGGTGCAAATACCATCGAGTTTTGGAACCGATGGAAAGTCGATTACCTTAACAGGTTACAGAACAGGCCCAAATGATTTAGTATTGTTAAGGGAAGATGACACCCCTCCATTAAAGTGGCCTTTGGCAAGGATATTGGAGTTAATCCCTGGAAAGGATGGCAAATCTCGCTCAGTGCGCATCAAAACCCAAGATGGAGTCTACGTGAGACCAATTGTTAAATTGTCCCTTGTGCCCAACACAGAGCTTTAGATTTTAAGTTAGGTACCTACTTTCGCATAAGGTTGTTAAATACGCAGTTGGATTAGGTCGAATCCAAATGCTCCACGAAAGGAAACGCTAGGATCTTGATCTGGGATAGATTCGCGAGTGACCTGGTCAATAACCTTGCGCCATTTTTCCTTTATTTTTTCTTACTTATTATTTATCAACTTGGTTTTCGTTTTATGAATCTGTCATATGTTTGAAATCATGCGTGGCTTGCGCAACAAACACCTGAGAAACTAAACTTTGTTGTTCATACATCGTGTCAGTGCGATAACACTGGCTGGTCCTTCGAGTTTTTCCAAGATATTTTTATCATTGTTATTCATTTAATTTGTCATCATTCAATGTTGTTTTCCTTTGTGTTGCTCGCGCCAGTATGGTTAAATTCTACAATTTCACCAGTAAAAACATCAACAAATTAATATTTTACACCTACTAAATAAATAAACAATTCTCAAATAGTTCGACTGCTTTTTACCCTAATATAATGTGAAGTCATAAAACTATAAATAGCATTTTTCTCAGAATAACGAACGTCGAACACCTGTGTTTTTAAGTGCACAGCTGTGCATTGAAACAAAATGAGTGTCCGGCGCATAGTGAACGAAGCACAAATGACGTATTTCATTATGTCATGATGTTTTCATTGGTTGAAACCGAATAGGTGCGTGAACTATGCCCCGGACACTCAGTTCGTCCCAACAGTATATATTAAGGTGCGCTCGACGCGAGCAGTTCAGTTGTATGTTTGCCATCATTCAGTAGTTGTCTTAGTGCCACAAACGAGTTCAGTTGTCTTATTGCCACCAAAGAGTTCAGTTGTTTTTTTGCCATCATCGCTCACAGTTGTCTTTGCCAGGTGCTTCTGCCGACGGCACGTTACTTTCTACATTTTTACAAGCATTTAATGCATTTTATTTTCTGGTGAAAGTTATATCTTCTACAATTATTATGGCATAAGAAATTCTATAAACAAATGTTTTCAAGTTGGTAACTAAAAAATCAACTGTATTAGTTAATCAAATTGTGATGAACTAAAATTGTAAATATTTAAAAGTGTTTAGTGAAGATAAGAAAATTATTATATCTAAATGGAATCAACCACTATGTATTTACTTCAGTGAAAATAGTAAATTAAAAACACTTCTTTTTCTACTACCTATGACTCGTTAGTTATTTCTACAAAAGAACCCAATTCTTCTAACACCAGCGACATATGCTACAGAACATTTTTACCAAAGAAATATTCGGAAGTAACACCGGTATTTTTTCATAACAATTAAGAATTTGCGAGCGTACAGATGTTAGATATACCTTTTGTTATAGATGTTTCCTGAACATTTTGCAGGAAACCGCATTTCAATCGAATCTCTCCGCAAAAAGTTGCAAGTAAAATGCTAATTTGACGCGACTATATCTACATGTAATTTAATAAAACCCTGTACGTTCAAAATGTGGACGCAAAATTGAGAGTAAAATTCATCACTTGTTAAAGCCAATGTATAGTGTCACATAGCTTTTGAATATTGCAGTTTTTTTTTTTTTTTGTAAAAACCCTATTTTTCATATTTTAGTAATTATCTCAATAACAAGTAGTGAGATACATTCAAACTTGCACTCTAGCGATAGATAGTGTACCAGTGGGTAACATTAAGGATTAATTTTGGGATTAAAAGATAAAACCAATGAATATTTGTTTTATTTTTTAAAATATAAAAATAATTCTATGTACAAAACGAAAGGCATTCCTAAAAAAAATAATAGAAATTATACTAGTAATACTAAAAAATCTTAAAGCCAGGGATGCCAAGCTGGATCCATTCGACAAAGATTATCATGACTATTTGCAGCAGCCACCAATGTGGCAACCTAGAAAACAAATATAATTATTACACAGTAATAATAAGACACAAATAATTGTTTTGTTCCTTTCTTTTTTAATATAATTGAACTTTTCTTATACCCTTAGTTTTGAAATGAATATGAATGATTTGTAAATGTCACTGAACGTCATAATAAAAAAATCTAATTTTCATTACAATTAATTTTCGCTATTACAAAAATCAGTGTCAGAAAAATCAAGGAGTAAAAAAATCTTCGTCTTTCTTTGTTAAACTTACTTTGCTTTCTGTACCCTCAAAGTGTGCCAAACTTGTAAGTCTATTGGAAATGGACGTCACAGCTTTGTTCACCATATTGATGATCTGTTCAGCAGCATCGTTCATTTTTTCTTGATTTGTCAAGTCCTCTGGCTTTTTAGCTCTTGATAACATCATTTCATCTCTAATTATAGGTTTGAGTATTGATAATACCTAGATACATTTCGAATGGATCAGAATAGAATACTAAGAACTACATCAAGTTGTTTAATCATTTATTAAACACTGTTGTGGGTTTTAATATTTTATAACAACCAAAGGATCTTGTACTTTTTACATTGATTTTAGGTACTGTCAGAATTTGTACAAACGTTATTTTTCAAGTCTTCAAAGGCAAATTTCTTATGGACCCCAAGTTTTCAGCTCTATAGAGGTGTTAGGAGTCAAAAGTAAGGAGTACAGAATTAATATTTTCATATAATCTTAATTTTTCTTGTTTTTTCCATAACACTTTTGTCTGTTACACTTGTATATAGTTTGTTTATGCACTTTTCAAAATAAATCGGAGTGTTCAAAATATTATGACTACTGAAATATGGTGCATTTTTCATGTGTATTATTTTAGTTGGAATATGACTTCTAATCATGTTTTTTTTCCTTCATACTAGATATAAGTAATACAGGGTGTGATAGAGCTACATAAACAACTAGTAATTACAAAAATCCATTTAATGAAAACCTTGGTATACCTAAAATACTGCATAAAAAGTCTTGAAACAAATGCAATTGGGCTCGTAATATAATCAGAGACCTCTATAACTAAGTAAATCCCGTTCTACGCCTACTTGAATTTATCAATAATTCTACTAACTCTGACTTGCGTGCGGTCCATGGAAGCGGGGGAAGCACCGCTTCCCTACACTTTGAGATTTAAAAATAAATATTTTTCAGTTTACAATGCATAGAAAATAATATTAAATTAGATACTATATTTTCTCTGAAACATTACGTAAACTTCGTAAATGTACTAACAATTCATTGGTGTAATGTGTAAACGCACGCACCACCCATGAGAAAATTAATTGTGTAAACGCACAGACAACCATATACTTCGAGTCCGTCGGCGGAAGCGCGTCTTGAAATAGCCGAATCATCTTGCAATTGATTTCGCTTCGTGCTATTGACCCTGCTTTGCAGCGACAGTAGTCACAGTCTGTTTGGACACGTGAAATACGCTCGAGAGGCAGCGATTTTTACGTCGCCTTACGCACATTGCAATTCGCACCGGGAATCGACGTGTGAGGAAAATCGTACACTTCAGGTAGATTTCGGATGGTTTTTCGTAGTTGTTTTTCTTTTTAAAATGGAGGAACTATGCAATGTGCCTGAGAACAATAATAATGTGGTAAATTGTGTCTGTATTGTGTGCTCTTTATTGAAAAAAAGGCTTTTTAAGTAGAAATTTTGAAGAGAAAACGGACATTATTAATTCTAGTAGACTAAAGGATCCTATCAATTTAGAGGCGAAAGTAGAAAAGTCAGCAAAGAAATTTACCAGGCATTTTCACGTAGGGTTCTATGAAAAGTATGAATGGTTAACCGGCTGCAAAACTTTGAAGAAATTGTTTTGCTGGCCTTGCCTACTTTTTAATATAGCCAAAAAAAAACACATTGGAACTCAGTCGGTATTACAGACAGAATAATTTTCACAAAAGTGGTAAACGACATGTAAATAGCAAATCTCATATAAATGCTATAATTAAAGAAAAAACATTCGGGACCTATCGCATTGAACATAGTTTGGACAGTCATTTAAAAATAAGCAACAAAATTCACAATGAAAGGGTAAAAAAAAATAGGGACGTCTTACAACGATTAATAGATGTAACTTGTTTCCTGGGAGAGCATTAACTAAGTTTTAGGGGTCACAATGAAGAAAGTGGATCCGCCAATCGAGGAAATTACATGGACCTTCTAAGTTTTTTGGCAAAATACGATGATACCCTAACAAATCATTTTATTGATTCGACGACTTTCCGAGGTACCTCAAACAGAATCCAAAATGAATTAATTAAATACACTGCCGACGTTGTGATGGATCACATCAAAAGTAAAATTAAAAAAGCACCTATTGTATCAATTGCGCTTGATGAAACCACAGATGTAGCAAACTTAAGTCAATTATCCATTGTTGTGCGATATGTATTGGATGGCATTTCTCAAGGGCGATTCTTAGGATTTTTGGACGTCACTAGCGAACGAACTGCAGATACATTGTTTAAAATTGTTTGTGACATTATTTCAAGTTTAGAATATGGTTCTAAGCTTGTTGCCCAGAGCTACGATGGTGCTGCTGTAATGGCTGGCCATTTAGGAGGCCTTCAAGCTAAAATGAAAGCAAAGTTTAAACATGCAATTTTCTTTCACTTTATAGCACGTAGACTTAATATGGTTTTATCGCGAAGCATGGATAATATTAAAGATTGCAAAATTTTCTTTTCGACGCTTAATGGTTTGGCTTCCTTCTTTTCAAAGTCATCGAAAAGAACTCGCGCTTTGGACATTCACGTTCAAAAAAAGGTTTCCAAAAGTTGCTCCGACGCGATGAAACTACAATGGACGTTTAGTGCAAACAGTGTTTCAATACCGTGATTCTTTGATATACTTTTTTCAAGACGTTTGGGATAATAAAGAAACATGGGATGCTGAAACTGTTACTGCCGCTAAAGGGTATTTGCATTGGCTCAAACAAAACCTTAATTTCAATTTTTTGCTCAACATTTTTGCAGAGATTTTTCCTTTTACTGACATTTTATTCGACATTTTACAGACAAAGTCAAATGACATTGGCTTTAGCATTAAACAAATTGATGATTTTAAAAATAAAAGGAATAGTTTGAACACTTTTGGAATAAGACTTAAAACATTGGCTTATAACCTGAAAGAAAGAGAATTAGAATTGATAATGTCGGCGACAGAGAGATCTCCTATCGTCGATTATACGTCGAAATTTTTGATAATATTTTACAACAAATGAACTCTCGATTTCAAAACTTTAACGAATTAAAATTTGTTGAATTGTGCAATTTTAGTAACTACGATTCATCAAAATTTCCATCGGAAGCTTTTAATTCACTAAAATTAAATTTTTTCAATATTCCAGCATTGAAGTCCCAGTTAAGTGTTGTTTATGAAACAACTGAAATTAGTGTTAAATTTTCTTATAACAACTGGTTTAAATAAGTCCTTTTGTGAAGTCGTCAAGTTGTGTGAATTAGTATTAACCATCCTAGCCACAAGTGCGTCAATTGAGCGAAGTTTTTCAGCTTGTTAAACAGTTATCAGAAAATCCAAAATTTTACGACGATGTTATAGACAAATTTGCAGCCATTGAGGATAGGCGAATAGATCTTAAGTATAAATAAATGTCAACTGTGCGAAAAATGCTGGAAAAAAAAATAATAAAAAAACTTAAAGCAAGATTTTGACAAGATGGTGAATGCACCGCGAAAAAATTTCGTCTGCGGCGCTGTGCTTACTGGCCTGCTGTATTTTTATACAATCGCTTCCCCTTCCAAAAAATGTCACCGCACGCCACTGCAACTAAATTGTTATGATAGGGTTAACAGCCAGTGATGTTACCTTTGCAATTTCAGACATTTTATTTTACATTATAGTTTCTTCTTCTTTTTGGGGCTATGTTATTAAGAACAATTTTAAAAGTTTGTTCTTAGGAATTTTTTGATAGTAGGCATTGTATTTTTGCAAGAAAACTTTCTATGGGTTACATGTCATTTTTAAGGTACAATGAAATTCAAATACTGGGTATTACTGTTCATGCAAGACTGTTTTAAGAACTATAGGCGTATGTATGCTCATATTTCAAGTGTTTTTTGGAACCTGGGATATACACGATTCGAAAGTAAAGTATCCTTCAAGTGTTTTATTAACGACTATTTTAGTTACTGCTGAAAGATTAGTCAGATTTTGATGGATTGTAAATAGTTAATGAATGCAATATAACAGTTTTTTTAAAATACAGTTGCTTTTATATTAATTTATAATTTAGAAGTATAAAAATCTATGTAAAGAAACTATTATTTTTGTATTAATAAATATTATTTATATATTTTTGCAACACCCTGTATTATTAACAAATATTATCGAGTATTTAACATAACAAATAAGTGATCAGAAGGTATATTCTAATTATGGTAATACATGAAAATGCATCTTATTTCAGTAATTAATATTTCTATTTTTTGAACACTCTGTATGATCTATTTTACAAAGTGTAAGAAAGCATTAACTTACTATATACAAGTATAACACATGCCATAAGTTTCATGGGAAAACATTTATAGTGGTAAAGATTAGAGATGTATGTGAAAATATTAATGCTGCAATCCTTAATTTTGACTCTTAACAACTCACCCTTCAGAGCTGCAAAATTGAGGTCCTTAAGAAAGTTACCCTTAATGACCTCGAAAATACGTATTAAAATTTGAACAAATTTACCCAAAATCAATATAAAAAGTGCAGGGTCCTTTAATACTAATTATAAATCAATAATAACGAAAGACATTATATTCTACATGACAGTTAACAAAAATATCGTATTAAAAATTAGCATATATGAAATGAAAATCTCACCTTAAAGTTAGGGTAAATAAAACATCGAGATGTAGCTATCATAGATGTTGTAAGAGGTCCACTAACACCAATAGTTGATAAATATTCAATGATATTTGGAGTTAATCGGAATGGGACAGGTCGAGTAGTATCAAGTTCTCCTAAAAATGTTTTAAATCGTGATTTCCAGATCGATATCAAATAGAATTTGTTAATAAATAGGGAATCAGCAATTCAAAATAGAAAAATCTTTTATTCATGGTTTCACAATATTTTGTAAAATTTCATAAAAACTACTACTACTAATACTATATTTTGACTCAGGAGGCTCCTTACCAAAACGGTAACAAAATAGATAAAAATTAAATTCTTACCTGTGCTATCATCCACGTCAAATTTGAAATATGCAACATTCATTAATCCAGAATCTTGATGTAAATACATCATGTCAGGGTTTAATCTTGTCAAATGAAAAACATATTCAGCAAAACATGCTAGGGCCAACTGCAATGTAAACTAAAAGAAAAATAATTTGACATACATATGTATTCATTATTAAATTGCCTATTTTGCTAGACAATCGGCATTTTGTTATTTATTCTTTCCGAATTATTTGATATATCTTTTGTTACTGTCTGATTTAGATCCCTTTCCCAAAGATATTTTTTGTCCAATATTTCCCTATTTATTTTGTTTAGAGTTCAGTAAGCAATATGTTTGTTAATTTTACCAGTTTGGCTTATAATTGCCTTTATTTAATAACGTATCGACCCTGTTTTACTCTTTTTAGTTTCCAATAATTCTTTGTCGATTAAAGCCCTTAGTGTTAACCTCTTCGAATCGTAGTCTGGAATTTCCGTATCTCCATCTGAGGCTACACGAGTCCTATTTAACACCGTATCAAAAAAATAATAAAATTGGCACCCGTGTCTAAGGCATCACTAATCCCCAGTAAGAATTGATTTCTCTGGGACGAGAAAACCTCTTAAAAGATATTCGGAAATTTCTTTTTCGTTAAAAAGTACCTTTCGATTTTACATATACTACAGCCTATTAATTTTACGACTTACTATTTTTCTAAACTGCCAATAATCCGTCGCAGACGGGAACGTTTGTATTGCCCACTGTTTTATAATGGTGCGTGGAACTTTAGTTTGTTGCACTCCTTTCAAAATGTCCCTGTATACTTGATGACTGGCTTTTATACCCCTACTTTGCACCTGAGCCAGCCTTTCGTAGTAATATTGTATCGGATCGTCGTGCTCAATACCTGCAAGTAAATTATTTTATTTTATTTGAAAATCAAAGTAAAGTAGAAGCTTTAAAAGGACCAAATCAATAAAATGAGAACAGGTAATGATTAAACGGTTAGAAAAAAAGGGAATGATAAATTAACAGTATCTAGAAGAGGAATCAGTCAAATCTAAAAATAATATAGAGACAAACCTAATGTAGTACAACTTTTCTTAAAGACGTCTAATAAAGATACTGATGCTGGATTGTCTTCTACAAGTCTTATTTGTTGAGACAGAGCAACTACCCTTGGTACAGTGAAATGTAAGAATCTCCTGGCGGTCTCCTAAAATCATAAAAAAATAAAAGGTTGTCGAAACATTTCTTTATGTTTAAGTTAAGAATTACAATAAAATTGACTTTCTTAGCCTTATAGTCGGTTGCAAGAACGATCGTTAAATATTTATAGACTCATTAACACTAATGATCCACTAAAAATGCATTCCGATCCTCGATAGCTATTGAACGTTGTAAATCTGGCAACACGGTGCGTTTTTCGCAATATAACCAATGCTATATATCGTTATAAAGATTGCTCACCCTTTTCAAGTGTTCACGGAATAAAATCGTTCTGGCCCAAACATGTTTTAAAATAAAATTTCGGCATTTGAATATTTTGAAATAAAAAAAAGAATGACCTATTTTACTTCAAGACACGATAGTATGTAAGGTGTTTTAAACACATATTTTTTCGTATTGCAATATTGGTATCCACATCGTCAAATAATATTAAGAGATCTAGACAATTTTATAACAGGGAAACAGTAACAAAAACTACACAAAACACATAAAATCATAAACTGAGACATATTGTGAATATCTGAGCCATAAAATATAAAAAACACTGATTAATATAATAAAAATGTATTATCAATTATACAGAAAAAAGTTTTCTTGCTTACTAAATAAAATTTAATAAATTGCTGCCATCTTATAAATAGAACCACATGATATTTTTTGTCAAAATGGATATTCTAATTTCATAGCAACATCTTACATTAGTTTCAATTAACAATATAAACTATCAGTATCTGTAAGGTAGGGAAGGTTGATACTTCCACAGCACTTAGGCCCATTGTACATCATCCAGGGGTATATAAAACCTGCCTTTGAGAGATGTCTAGAGACAGCCGCATCTTCATAGCTCATCAAAGTCCTGCAGGTTATCAACCCGCCAAAACCCTGCTGGTTGACGCTGAGGGGTGTCTACAGACTACCATTTAGAAGATAATTTAGGGAGTGAATAAAGTTATGGGTTCATTAGCTAATGAGAGATTTTAACAATCGTTCTTGCAACCGGCTGTAAGAGTTGTACATGTTTGGTTTATTTCGAAAATATCTGAATCATAAGCTCTAAAACTACTTTTTTAGGCGACTGGTATAAAAAATTACATTTTTCGGATTCATTAACATCCCTAAAGTGACACTTTTTTGGTCACATTTACTTTACGGCCGCTTTTTATGAACACAGGTTTATCATACTTATCGTTAGTAACAAATTTTATTAGTTAAAGATGGATTTGAAACATTTTTGAATTTACGGCTTTTTTCAAAAAACAATAATGTAAAAAAATGAGACAATCGCCTAAAACATGTTGTGTGCACCTCGGCCCTATGATCTTTTTTAGCCTCGGCTAACGCTTCGGTCCCAAATTTCTGATTCGGTCAAAAAAGATCAACTTTACGGCCTTGATACACAAATAACTATTTTTTGAGACGATTTAATTTAGAATGACTCATTTGGATTATGTATACTTCTGGTTAGTTACAAGTATGTATATTACTCACCTTTTGTTTTCCTAAATACAAATTTAACATTCTCATGAGTTGCAAAACTCTTTCCTCTCGTCTTGCATCGGCCAATCCTGAATCGTTTACTACAAGATAAGGATATATCTTTCCATTATGACCCCTTATGTAAAGTCTTCTAGCGGCAGTGTTGTGTTTTTGCACCACATCAACTCTAGGCATAAACCTAGCGATCCTAACAAAGTAGTGATTGTGCTTTGGAATTAAAAATTCTCCTGGTAATTCAACTTCGGCTGTTTTTAACGTAAAGTTGGATAAGAAACGGCATTTTTCTTCGATTAGACTTGACCTAAAACAAATGTGTACTTACTACCTTGTTGAAAAATTTGAAATGAAAATTTCTATAGAAAATTAAACCTTATTTGCCTTTAATTTTTTGCAATAGTCATGATTTTTCTACTTACTGTAATAACATCTTAGATCTATCGTCCAATATTTTAATCCATTTCTTCAATTTGAATATCAATGTATGAAGTCTCATCGAGTTCGTTTGTGAAAAGTCAAAGTCCTTTGTAAATTCCTGCTTTGTAGCAATAAAAACGGGATCTTGATAAGTGGCTTCGGCTCGTCGTGCTAAACTTTCAGACGCCGTTGAATTGAAAGTAACATTTACAGAGCTAGATATATTCTCTACACCGATGCCGAATGTAGACATTAATTTTTTAACAAAGTTCAGTATGTGCGGTGTAATTTTTGCCTCGTTGACAGCTTCTCTGTTTTCAAAAGCAATAGCATAACATTTGGTTAGACCTTGGCGTAACTGTCTTAAAACTTCTTCGTACCTGAAAGGATTATTACAATAAAGTGTTTAGAGATGAATTAAATAAAGCATGAATTCGATGATACCGATTTAGTTTGTTCAATATAGATGTTTATTAGAAAATGTTTAAAATAGCTTCTAACCAACTTTAAGTAAAAATAGTCAGTCAAAGTTATCAAAAACGATTTTTGTATTTCCTGTAAAGTAAATCCTACTACTATAAATGCGAAAGTTTGGATGGATGGATGTTTGTTATTCAAACACGCCAGAACGGCTGAACGAATCTGGATGAAATTTGGCACAGAGATAGATTATAGTTTGGAATAGCACATATGCTACTTTTTATCGTGGAAAATGTACGATTTTTTGCATAGTGGTAGTGAAACATGAAAATTTTAAATACCGCTACTGGACACAAATAAATAAATAAAGGGCGCATCCGAATTCTGCCACAAATTAAAATTTTATCTGAATTTTAACAACTTAGTAGTGAATAGTCCGAACTCTGCCATGACCATTAAGGGGCATTAAGTTTTATCCGTATTAGGGATTAAGGATTTAAATATTTTTTCATACCTAAAGACCTTTCAGAAGAGGTACAAAAATTAAATAAGTAATTATTATTATATTTTCTCAAAAACAAAATTGATGGAATTCTTGGAATATTTTGACGACTGCTCAGTTTTAATATTTAGGGAAATATTTAGAAGGGGAAATAGGTTACTTGTTTCTTAATAAAGGTTTTATGAAACAGTTTATTATCTACCTTAGTTGAGTTAAAATGAATAACAGTGCGTCTACCATGTTTAATGAAAGAGGAAATAAATTAATTGTGTTAAATAATTTTAAGTTTTCCAAAGCTAATACTAGTAAATGTGGAAAGATTCGATGGAAGTGCTGTAACCCTAAATGTACAGCTAGAGTGTACTCCCACGTTTCCAATGAAGACGTAATAATAGAGGTCAAAGCAGAACACAATCATGGTGTTGCAATGAATCTTGCAAGAAATGCAGTGAGCAATAGTGTTAAAAGAAAAGCAACTTGTGATCCAGCTGAGAAACCAGCAAAATTAATAATTCGAGAGTTGCAATCAAATAATTTTGCGGAGAACATAAACTCAGAAGATATCAATCAAATAAGAAAAAATATGCATGCGGCAAGAAGTAAAATCTTGCCAATATTACCTAAAAACCAAGAATACAAATCGCGGGGAAGAATTTCTAATGGTGGCAGATAAGGTAAAAAAAATAATTGTGTTTTCCTATTTTACAAATTTAACATTTTTGTGTCAGTCAGAGTGTATTTTGATGGACGAAACATTCAAATTTTGTACAAATTTCTTTTACCAAATGTTTACGATTCATAGTTTTAAAAACGGTAATTATGTACCGGTTGTTTTTTGTTTATTACCTGATAAATCAAGTGAAACATATTACAATGTATTCCTCCTTTTAAGTAATAAGTGTAAAGCTTTTGGTTTAAATTTTAAACCAATAGGGATTGTGGTAGATTTTGAATTAAGCATTTACAACGCAATATATAAATATTTTGGGAGAGATCTTATTCTTTTGAGTTGCAAAGTTCATCTCTGCCAAGCATTGTTTCGGAAAATTCAAGAATATAATTTAATTCCGGAATATAAAGAGGAAAACTCTGTGATTGGTAGATATTTAAAACTTCATTTTGGTATGATGTACCTCAGTTTTGAGGAAGTTGTAGATTTTTTTAATGAAAAATTGCACTATTTGCTACCAAATGATAAAAGAGTAATTAAATTTCGCAATTATTTAAAACAAACATATGTCAACAATTTATCAATATTCCAACCAAATATTTGGGCAAATAGTGCAGATTTTTTTAAGAGGACTACTAACGCATGTGAAAGTTTTCATTCGCATTTTAATAGCTCCTTTTATAAAGCACACCTCAATATAATGCATTTAACACGTGTATTGTTAGATTTTCAAGTAGATACTTATTCAAAAATGCGGTCAGCTAACAATAATCAGAAAAAACTAAAAAAAAAAAAATGTCCAAACGAAAGTCAACACAATACAAGAAAATATTGAAAATATAAAAATAAATCTATTTCGCGGTTTAGGTTTGTTAAAATAATGTCATTTAAAAATCTTCCCAATGTCTAATTTCATTTTACCTGTAAAACTTTTATTATATTTGTAATTTTCAATTAACTGTGTATTGCAATTTTGTATTCTTGTGGTTTTTTATACTGTTTTTTTTTCGAATATTTTTATAATAAGTTGTTTTTCTATATTATTTCATATTTTTATTCATGTATATAGCTATGTAAGTACCACTAATAGTAAACAATATCAGCAATGTCTTGGATACCTTTGATAATATCTTAATCGGATCGGAGAGACCCTCTAATGATTTAGGAACCTAATCTCTAAAACTGTAATCCGTAGCAGAGTTCGGATATCAATTTTTGTTTACCTGAAGTTTGTGGCAGAATTCGGAAACCCCGTAAATAAAGACGTTTCTCGAGATTTTTGAATTTTCGTATTTTAAGGGGAGAAAGGGGGAGGGGTAAAAGTTTGGTTTTGTTTTTCACAGAGCAAGGGACCAGATATGATTTTTTGCAGTGGTAGTGAAATATGAACTTTTGAAATACAACAATTGGGCATAAATAAATAATAACGTGTCGAGAAGGGAGGGGGGGGGGGGTGAAAGTTTGTATTGGGGCATCGATTTGGGGTATCGATTTTTTTAAATGTAGGAACTTTAAAATTGGAATTTTAGCTACTTATCATAAATAAATATACATGTTTCAGGGTTTTTGGATTTTACATATAAAGTGAGCAAACGGTAGGTGACAGTTTGTATGATACTTTCTCTTTTTTTAAAGGAGGAACTTGAAAATTGGAATTGGAGCTAATCATAAATAAATAATGAAGTATTTTAAGGTTTTTAGATTTTTACATTTTAAGGAGGGGGGAATAGGGAGTATCGTAAAAATTAAAAATAAATAAATATAAATAAATGATATGAAAGTAAAAAATAAATAAAAATTAATAAAAAATAATCAAAATAATTAAAAATTAATAGAAAGTAATTTAATTGATAGAATTTGGAAAGTAAATTTGCCTAACACTTTAATAGCAAACTAATAGTGATTAGTGTAGTGAAAACTAATCCTAAGCTAATAACAAACATTTTTTGGTAAACGTACATGTAACAGGTATGTGCCAAAAGGACCTAAAAATATTTGTGCTGACTACATTAACATTTTTTTTTGTATACTATTTAATCATTCCAAAAAGTAAGAGGCAATGAAAAACAGTGACAAAGACATTATCATACTGTCAACGTAAAAATCGTTAAAAAACATAAGTGACTACAGTCAGTACTAATTGAAGCTTTGATAAGAAATGAGCTATTACCAGTTCTCTCTAAACCATTCCATTTGGTCAGCTATACCCTCTAAACTAGACAATACCGTCGTATGAAGATCCCTCTGCATTTTCATAATTTTCATGCACCTAATCATAGCTGGAGTAGCCTTAAACGTAGATCCTTCTGTGGGTACTACTGTAGGAACACTTGCACTGCTTTCTGATGAATTTGAAAGACTGCCTTGACTATTCGATTGAGTTCCAGTCTCATTATTCTGAGAATCCTGCGATTGTTGTTGCAAGGTAAGCTTCTGAAATAGAATTATAATTACTAATATCAGCATCTCAAATGTAAGGTGTGTTGAGTAACATTTTTCAAAGAAAAGTTTTATTTATTTATTTGTTACACCACCCAACAGTAATCACCATATACTGGGTGGGAAAGACAAAACATTAGAATATAAATACAAATACAAAATTGTTAAAAAGCTATACAATACAACGTAAACATCCAGAAAAAAACTAACCGAACACAAGATTAAAAAAAATGGTTGTCTACATTGCATTACATGCTTTACATCATTTTTTTACATTGTTAAAGAAAAAACACAAACACAAAAATGTACAAGCTATCTTGAATTTCATGATATTTTGAATAGATTGGTACACTGGAGATGAGTTCTAAACATTAGTTCTAGAAGCTGGCATGTAGAAACTTAAATAAACTCTTAAACCAGCACGGGGGATTTTTAGATTGACGTAATTTAACAAATCAATACTGTCGACTGAGCCATTTAAAACATTATTAAGTAGGAGTACCTGTTGGAAATTTCTGCGTATCACGAGCTCTGAAAAATTGAATCTAGATATTAGTATATCTATATTATATTAGCGTGGGTATATCCCCTTGTAGGGTATATACCATCTAAAATGTAGGAAGCCGATTTCATGAATTTTCTTTGAACTTTTTCAAGTAAGTCAGTATAAATGTTCCAAACAACAGAACAGTATTCAAGTTTTGACCTTACAAAGCTAATATATAGAATTTTTAAGGTGAATATGTCTCGGGATTCTTTACAGCTTCGAATAACAAACCCTAAGCTCTTGTTAGCAGCAGATAACATCGTTTCAATGTGTAACGAAAGTTAGTTCAAGAACAAAATAAACTCAGAGATCTCTTATACATTCGAGTCGATTTAGAACAATGTTCTGTAGTTTATAATCAAAAATTATAGGTGTTACTTTTTTAGTAAAGGACATCACGGAACATTTCTCACGATTTAGAGGGAGTGAATTATCAAGACACCACTTCAAAATGTCGGACAAACACTTTTGAAGTCGCAAGCAATGGTTAACAGAATTGATTTCAAGAAATAATTTTAGGTCGTCGGCATACATTAAAACTATGTATATCATTTATAAAAATTATAAATAAAAGAGGACCTAAATTTGATCCCTGCGGAACTACTGATGTTTGTTCGAAATTTTTTGACCTGTAACATGTAACATAGTGATGCCTACCCAACAAATAGGAACCAATCGAATGATTTGATCGCATAAACCAATGGAACTTAACTCGTGGAGCAAGATGAAATGATCAATTTTGTCGAAGGCCTTGGAGAAATCTGTGTATATTACATCAACTTGATTTCTTATATCCAAGGTTTCCGAAATGAATTGCGTCGAACATACAAGGTTTGTAACTGTAGATCTATTTTTCATGAATCCATGTTAGTCACAAGATATAAGACGGGAAACATGATTGGAAATACGATCGTGAGTAATTATTTCGAATACTTTAGCCAAATTGCAAAGAATGCTTATGGGCCGATAATTACAAACATTATTTTTGCTACCTTTTTTATGTACCGGAGTAATTCTGGAAATTTTACAGGCATTATGGAAAATACATGTTTTCAAAATTAAATCAAAAATATGTTTCAACGGAGTGGCCAAAATTAGTGCACAGTCTCTGACAAGAAACGAAGGAATAAGGTCAGTACCCATTGACATATTGGGCTTAAGCTTTTTTAGGGCTCTAATAACTTCATCTTGAGACAAAGAATTAAAGTTTTCTCCAATTGTGGATTTACCATGCCAAATTCTATCTAGTGGAAAACAGATTTAACTCCCTAGTTGTATCATTTCGCCAAACAATGACGAAACCCTTGGCAAGTCGCAAACCAAGTATTGCAAATTAGTGGCATTAAAGTCAAAATTTTAGGACAAAGTAAAAAAATCTAACACAAAATGGAAATAAATTGACCAAACAATTGACCCCAATATTTAGTAAATTCACCGTTTCTTTACATTTTTTGTGAACTTTAAAATGCTTCTTCTGGCAAATGTAGATTTGGTGAGTTAACACACCTTACCTCTGAGGTTTTGATAAATAAAAAAAGAAAAAAATCATTTCTAAAAATTCAACTTATATAGCACATTTCTATATCATTTCAAACATATTGTTGGCGGCCTGTGATCTTTTCAGAAAGACAGACTACCATTTAGATGAGGTGGCCGACACTAACGTACTAGTGCGCCTCTAAAGACCACCCAGAACTTCGCTGGGGCCTCCATTACTTACTCGTGGGACGAAACATAAATAAAAACTCACTCTTTCTCTATGCGTATTTATTCACGCTTAAACGATGGTGCCATGCAGGCAAAACAAATGGATTACATATTATAATGGCAAACTGCCGAAGAACTATAAACACTTAACTTAAATTACAATTTAACAAACATGGTTCTATGAGATAAAACAATTTTTTACATCTTGTCGATGGAGCGTCTGCAGACCAACTCGTTGTGTCTCTTTACAAAAACTTAGAGCGCACTTCCGTGATATGGAAATGGTAAGCTTACGTCATGTATTTTATTTCTGATTGGTTACACATTTATTGATTTTTATTTCGTGAGGCGTGGCTTCGCTAGTGAGATTGTTAGAGGTGTGACTTTATTTTTATGTGTAAAGGTGGTGTTATGTATGAGATAAATGAGATAATTGTTGTGTTGTCGCATGCTGCGTGAGTGTTCAAATGTAATTTGAACACATATATTTATTGTTTTACATTGTAGTTTTTTTCCAACATAGAGTATACCAAAGACATTACAACTAAGAGACCAAATTGTTTACATTTTTATGTGGCAAATCATTATTCCCACCAGATTCTCGTTTATTGCGTCTTTGCCGTCTTTATCAGTCTGTAAAAATTATTTGGAGAAATTGCTTTCGAATTTGATGTATCCTATAACTATAATTTTATATTATATAAATAAAAATATGTTATTAATCAAATTATTCTTTAAAGTTTTATTATAAGCTAAATTTTTTATTAAAAATCAATATTAATCTAAACAAAATATTGGGGTTGCAAAGAACTTCGTAAATACGGCAACGTGGAATATCTTATTTTACGAATTTAAAACTAGTACCTATTTTTATGAATGAAATGTAGTTACCGTAACCAGCCGCAACGTTGCCAATCGGGTCTAACAGCTATTTTGTGTTTCTGGCAGTTTCTGTGTGACTTATTGATTTATTAATTTATAAAATACTATTTTTGTGAACTTTTGTGAGAAATATAAAGAATTATGGTACATGCATGTGTAGTGTTCAATAAGGTAGATCATTTAAATCGAAATTTATTCTTTCATCGATAAGTATTTTTAGGTTAAGATATGTTGTTTTCATTTGAACCAGTGGAGTAGGGCACCCGTCTTAAGACTGTTTTGACTATACAATTTCTTGTACAAGATTTTATACAATTTCTTATAGAATTTAAATTGTATAGGATCACATAGTAAATTGTTTGAAAAATAATTATCAAATCTAATTTTTCAGACAATTTACCGCAGGTTTGATAATATACAATTTAAATTGTACAAGAAATTGTATCAAAAACTCGTGTAGTCTAAAACAGTCTTAAATTATTCTTAGACAAATAAATAATTATTGAATAGTGGCAAAGAAAATTTAACGCAAAATGTAGAATACTTTAAAAATTATTTACCTACTAGGCACCTATACATATTTTTTAATATTCTATTTAGGTTTCCGCAAGATCTTAAGAAAAGAAAACTTTGGTTTTCTCTATAGTAGGGATCTTTAAAAATGAGCTCCTTCGTAAAAACCCAGATTTGCGTTCAGAATACTTTTTTCCTAAAGATGTTTTGGTATGTGCAAATTGTGCTAAATATATCAGAAAAGATGCAAACCCCAGACGGTGTTGAGGGCTTTCTATTTTTGGATGACTTATCCAACAAGTAAAAATACAAAATATAAATTTTTAGTTTACCTCTACACATTATTTATTACCTATATGTATGTATATCTAATGTATGGGTTTTTTAGTTCTGATTCAACTGTTTTTGGAATACCACCTGCTGCAAAAAAAACATTGCAGTAAGTAATAACACTAATAACTAAGCATAAAAAAATTAAATGAAATTTTAGTTAATAAAATTAAGGTATTTAATATATTTAAAACGTTATTTTAAAATTTTTTGGTTTTTTACGATATTTTTTGCCATACCATGTTTTTTTATAATTATTTATTAAAAAATTATATATTTTTAGGACAGTGTTTTATTTAGATACCCCTACCTACTTAATGTTACATTAAAATTTTAAATAATTTTGGTTAACATCATACCAGGCAAATATATAGTAAATGCCAATAAACTATAAACCAATAAATATTAAAAATCGGAAGGTAACTTGAATTCTCTTGTATTTAAATTTACTTGTACTTGAATTTACCTACAAGAAAAAATCATCATAATTATATTACTAAAAAAATATACCTACTTATTTACGTATTTTTTTAACATACTACTCTGACAATATTGGTAAGTTTAAAACTCTACGCCACTGGCGAGCATATTATAGACACTGTTTACAACGTTGCCAGCCGGTCCTAAGAGATCTGTCGTTCTCTCTTCCACTCACTAACAAATTTAAAACAATAACAGTCCGTAATTGCATGCGATTTATGAATGAAACATTTTGTCTCTATGTTGTAATGTCTTTGGAATATACGTTATTTTCTAGTTAATATCTAGTGTTGTTACAAAATAAAATTGGTATTGACTAGCAATTTTTTTAATATTGAAATGTTACGACGTTATTTCTTAAATCTAAAACTATTTTATAAACGCTTACCTGTTCACTATTAGTTTTTCTAGCAACGGCAGCGCGCAAAGTGAGGTATAATGTACGAGTTGGAAAATAAACTGCTTGCGGGAACATTCTACCGACCTAAAAAATGGCGCCAATTAAAAGCTATACAAGAAAACATCTTTATTTTTATTTACCTGACACAGCAAATTTAGGATAACGTTGTCTTCATATTGTACAAGGCAATTCAATAATTGTGGCGTCCATGGCAACCAAAGTATTGGAGGAACTCCTATTGAATATTTATCCAGAGCTTCCATCAAACTGAAATAAAATATCATTTGTACTTTCAAATTCAAGATTGTAGATATGTGTTCATACACGTGGAAAATCTAAAAGGTGGGCCAATCCTTAGCTAATTGCAAATGAACTAGTTGCACATCAATTGAGGGCAGGCATATAACCGCGTTTCTTGTTTTTACAATCATTCAGTTACTAATTTAAATACAAAGTTGTAAGATTTTTAGAGAACATCCTAAAAGTATCTTTTTCTTCTTAAAAGTTAACTTACCTTGAGTTGTCGTCATCGTAACTAAGTAACCATAAAACTTTGGCCAAATATTTTCTTGCTTTTGCTTCATTCTGGTGTCTACATGCGTGTAATAAACAAGCCATAGCGTTCACTCCCAAATTTATTTGTCTTTGATCTCGTGTGAAAATCTGCTCCAAATAATCCCCATATAAAGCCCAGGCTTTTGTTGATGCATCATGCATTTGAACTGCAGCCGAAAACATTTTATTTGCCTCATCGGATTTATCTAAAAGCGTAAGCCATGTAAATTTAAAAATTTATCAACAATTAATTTTATTATGAATATTTTTTACCACCTTTTAAATTATCAATTTCTGTAATCTGTACAGAAATGTTAGGGCATTATTTTTGGTTATATTAACAAAAACTTACTACTAAGCTGATAAAGTAAGCCGTTCAATGCGTAGAATTCGGCGGTCATCTCTTTCGAGAAATATTGCATTTTGGTGCGACTGAGAACCTCCAAACCTTCATTTATTTCATTCTTATTCACTGAAGCATTTTGAAGATAGCATTTGACTTGTTGTCTCACTTTTTGGAAACAATCGACGATCGGTACACTAGAGATGCTATAAATTTTATTTAAGGATTCCAAACATACGTTTACCAACTTGTGTTTTCTTGCTATTTTGCCAAAATGGATACTAGACTGTAAAAAAAAACATACATTAATAATATGGTCAAAAAAATAAAAGAAAAAATGGACCTTCATTTAGATGTGAACCCTAGAAAGCTATTATTATTTCACAGCGATCGTTATGGATGACTTACAAATAAGGAAAACCTTACCTGTGCTGACGCGTGCACACCAAGCATAGAATGAGTAGGAGTAGTATCTCTATTACTATCATAATGGTTGACAATGACTTGATAATGATGTTGCCTCCAGGTGAAAATATCATTCCAATGCACCAGATCGTCGGCTATAACGGGTAATCTATTACGCCACGTTTTAACGATAGCCTTCATGTCATGTAGAGAACTTTGATGACCTTGTAATAAGCCCTTATGGATTTGATATGCTTCTTGTAATTCCATGATCTAAAATTGAAATACATTTTATTATAACGTACAATTCTGTGACGATTTACATAAATTAGTAGTAATGATTTAAATTAGTTATAATTATTATTAGAAACTCTTACCTGTTGAGCAGCTTGAAGATAAGGTAGATGAATGTGGCTAACAATATGAGGTAGCCGTCTCCATTCATTTAAACATAAAGCACTGGCACTTTCCACATAACGTTCAATGATTTTAAGAGGTTTACTCTCGTCAGGTTGACAGATAAGTAAAAATCCACCGTACATGGTAATTTTCCATCCGAGCTCTTTGGGACAAGTATATTCAACGTTTTGTAAAGCATCTTTCATGATGTCCCAATTGGGTATCCTCCAAGCACTTTCTAGCAGCAAATAAGGATCATAACAACCAGTTTTAGCGTATTCCATGAGTATTTCCCACTGATTTAATTCTTTAGCACATCTAAAAGACAAATGTATCTTTCAGTATCATTCAAATAATAATTACTAAATGTTTTACCTAATCCAATGATCTTTCCATAACAAAATTTCTCTTTGAGTATGTGTAGGTACAGGTCCCATGTTATTATCTGTCTTATGTTTCGCCATGGCAGCTTCATAAGCCCCTTGAGCTTGTTCAAAGAAACCATGTTGTTCATAGGCTATAGCGATACTAGTTTCTTTATAATGAGCATGTCGTTGCCAAAGTCCCGCCCAACAGTCTTCTTCACACAACAAATGATACAGCTCGCCCAAGCAATCTAGTAAATCCTAAAATTGACATTTAGTATAAACAAATTGAATTTTGTTGCACTGTTGCATTTTCTTTTAATAAAAATATGCTATAGACTTACTGTTTTTGAAGGTTCGCCCTCAAATTCATAACAACTGGCTGGATTTGTAGTTTTGGTTAAAGAACTTGGGTCAAATGCCATTTGTTCCAAACCTAAAGCCATTCTATGCCATAAATTGTGCGATTTGCCTAAATAAGTCATGAGAGGTCTAAAATGAAAAAGTAAAGATATATTTTAGATTGTTAAATAAAGGACAGATATATTTAGGATTGTTAAATAAAGGACAGTGGACAGAAATGTATGGGAAATTTCCTCACCCCTTCAATATGGATAAGTTATATACCAATTGAACCATATTTTTAAGGAGAACTTATGTTTTCATTGCTACTTATCTGTCCATTCATAGTAATTTCATCCTAAATTAAGTGCTTATATTTTGTTATTGTAGTGCTTATTACAGGCAAATAGTAATTATTATTTCTTAATAATTTAAAAATAATTATATTCACCGGATATATCTATCATATTGTTACGAATAAAAATAACGCCCTGTGAATAGGTATGTTATGATTTGTAAAGTTTTGTACAAGGGCACGCGCGCTAAACATATATTCAATAAAATAATAAAACGTGTAGTTGGACAAGGTTTTATTAAATCATAATATTAAAGTACAGGGTCAAGAAAGATCAACAAGGCATTCTTGAAAAATTACAAGTGAATTTTCGTGGAGTTCCTTTTGGTCTTTGTTGACGAGCGGTCGAAATTATTCGAATTAAGTCGATTCCTTTTTAGTGTCCGAAAGTAGTCACGGGTCGCGGTTAGTTTTTTTATAAAACCATAGTGATAAAAGTAACGTGTGCTTCAGCCAGCCCTGCAGCCCAACAGATAGAATATATTGCTGATGTAAGTAAATAGTTTTAAATAGCTATATTTAGTTTTTGTGTAGTCAGTAAAAACTACGAGATTGCGGAAGCAATACTAATTGTTTTTTATTTTTTAAATAAATCATAGTTATTTGTTTTACGCTTGTTTCAATTTTCTTTAGTTTATGAAAACTTACGATCATTCAAAGGCGGCGGTATTGGCTTAATCCGATCTCTGAGAGAGATACTGCCAAAGGGAATAGTACCTGTAGGGCAACCCCATTATCCGTCCTCTGAATCATCGTCAGGAAGTTAGGGTTCTTTAGGCCCATCCCGTCTGAACTTAACCCCCTAGTCGTGTGTTATCTAGAGGCCAAGTTAAATACAAATTGGGCCCCACTATATAACTCGTGGTTACCGCTAAGAGTGGACTTTATGATGCAGGCGAGGATTGTATCCACCACGTGTATCCCTTATCAAAGGGCGTCTACGTGATGGCTAGACGGCCCCACATATGCCCTCTAAAGGACCGGGTCCAATGGCCCAAGACTAAGGATTATGATTTTATTATTGTTTGTCCATTACCTTAGTCTCGGACCATTAGACAATAGAGAATGCATTAAACCTTATATTAATATGCTACCACTGTATCAAATCCATAATATAGAACAGGTTCAAAGAAAATGTTTACTCATTGTTACATATTTATATAAAATAGTGCGACTTTGAGGGTTATGATTGACAACCTGTGTTATTTTTAACAGGTCTGTTATTTTATAAACACATTGAAATAACCTGTTCACAAATAACGTGTCTGTTAAAAATAACATTACTTGTCAATCATAACTCCGTTTGTCGATATAAGTTAAGTTTCAATATAAATGTTGTCAAGTAAAGATAAATTGTAAAATAAATTAGAAATTTGAAATATAAATAGTGCTTAAGTATAAATAAATTAATAAGTACGTAGTGTAAATAAATTATGAATAAACTGTTTTAAATAAATAAACTATTTTTTAAATTAAACAATCGTTACATAGTTTAATTTTAAATTTTCAAAAACCTTACAATTTTAAACATTGTTGCCTGTACCGGACACCATGTTTCTAATATTGGATGGTATATAAAACTGGTAAATAATTGCGAAGAAGATTATCACTGCTGATACCTTCTACAATAAACACCATATCTACACATCACACAATTAGGATATTTTTCCATGTTTATAATAAAATCCAATCGAAAGGCAGTTCAACAGTTCAATATAATGAAAATAAAAAGATAATATAAAGACAATATACAGCCAATAAAAAGACAATATAAAGACATGTACAAGGAATAGCCTTATCAAATAATTAAAAAAAAAAACGTAAACAGCAACGTTATCACTCATAAACATCAGATGACCACTGGATGAAGTATGTACGCGCTAGCAGCAACGCGATATTTCAATAAAATATTAACGTTTTTCATTTATTTTTTTTACTTTAGAAAATAGACAAAAAAATATTTCGACTATCCTGTGATCTCTAAGGAAAAATCCAGACTGATGTGAGAATGCCGGAAACAACTTATGTATATGGCAGGACAGAAATAATAAAACATCATTTGTCAAGAAACACAGTACGAGTACAGGTTTGTAGGTGGATCAAGCATGAATGGAGGATATAATAGATACAGACGTCCAAATAAGGCTTGTTCCAACAAGCGCGAAAACGTTTTTCGTCACCAACTAATTTTTGGAACGAAGCCCGACGTTTTCTATCTTTTCTAATTCACACACCGTTTTGATCGGCTTTGGCAAATCTCAAAATAATTATTACTCTAGCTATCGCATATTTCGTCCAAACGCCGTGGTAGATATTGTAATTCTCTCTCGATGTCGGACGGTCACCGATGATCGGTTAGAACTCGAATACAGGGAGGGTGCCTAAAGCTTCATTCAAATTTATAGTAGTGTTTGCCTGTACTGTACTTACATTATATATGGTTTAACTTTAGTCATAGTGAACTTCATTTTTGTAATATAGGGAGTGTCGTAACTACCCGTTTTCTTTTAATTTTTTTGAACTTCTCAGTTGGTCAACCGTACAGTTAAAAATTAATTACTCCGTTCTAATTAATTACAGTTTTTTTTTATTTTTGACCTGAAAATTCAATTTAATTTTGTTTATTAGGAAAATATACTTTCTATATACCGTATTGTACATAATTTCCGACTTAAATATTTTTCCAGTATTAGTAAAGGTAATACTTACTTTAATTTCATTTAGTGTACATTTTAGTCTTATTTATTATTAAGTTTATTTAAAATTTATTTTCTATATATGTAAGTCTTATAACTTTTATTTCAATTGTTTTCTTATATTTTATTACCATCATATTCTTCTTTAGCTTTCAATTATAATAATGTATTTTTATTTAATTTTCCATATACAGGGAAACCGTAATTATTTTCCTGTAATCTCATTCAATTGTAATAATTTATTTTATTTAATTTTCCGTGTACAGGGGGAAATCGTAATTGTTTTCCTATAGTTGTTAATAATTGTAATAAATTATTTTTATTAATTTTCCGTATACAAGTGTGCCAATGCCATGCACTACCAGTTGTAATTTTTAATTTTATTTACTTTCGTGCCGATACCATGCACTACCACAGTTGTATTTTTTTGTAAATATATTTTATTATCTACTCCTATGTTTCTCTTATTGCTTGTTCTTAACCGTTTTCTTTCAGGGTACGAGGTGTAAAGGAGATAAGTTTTTTTTTTTGAAAACGTTAAACAATAACATAATTTTTAATATGTTAGTAAATCATTAATTGATAAACGATTGTACTCACGGGACAATTTGTATGGGATTTTGACATCTGCTTAAAGCTTCTACGAAAGTATTTATAGCACTGGGATGACAATCTTTTTGAATAATATGCGACCCTGAAGTAATAAATGGTAATATTTCTTGAGCTAAAATCTAAAAAGAAATGTTCATAAAATATCAATTCAGAGTGAGAAAGTTTTGAATGTACCAAGTTTTTAGGTATCCAATGAACACTGAAAGGAAGTTTCAAATTTTTACTCACATTTCTTTGGTCTGGATCTAAAATAGACCAGAGTTTGGGAAATAGCGACAACCATACATGTTCTGCTAAAGAAGTATCCATGTGACACAACTGTGCTGTAGCCAATAGGAATCTATCCGTGGTAATATTTCTAGCGACTTCGGTGGACTCATAATCTTTTTTAAGCATTTTGATTGTTTCTTCTCTAATGACAGGTTTTTCTTCAACGAGCGGATTCGAATCAATATTACTCAGATCAACATCCAAAACTTCCTCTTTAATTTCAGATGAATCGTAATCCGGATTTTGAAAATGATGTCGACTGAATTCTTCTTTCTTCTGTTTATCAGGAATAACCGACGTTATAGCTGGTAATATACTACTATCGTGCGACATGCGAATACCGTCTCCTGAAACATTTAAGACTGACATAATAATAATAATTATAAGATGATACTTTTTTAACTGTGTATAGAAGTCGTTATTATAAACATTTTCAAATAACTTTTTTCAAAAAACTCAAAAATAAGAAAGATACAGAATTAAAAATTCTTAATCCGGGCCTGGAATTGTGTATCAAAAATTAAGATAAATCAGAAGTCTGTTTATGTTCTTATCCGTTTTACTTTTTTTGGTTTTCTAATTTCACCGATTATTGTAATTCAGTCGCGTTTGCTTTAATAGTATGTTTATATGACAACAATGATATATTGTTTATTTATGACGTGTTTTCAAAGTACACACTTCAAAGGGCTGCATTGGTGTTGTACAGTAAATGATTTACCTTGCGAGCCTATCCTAGCCCCAGAACTTTCATTAGTTTAACTCAACGGACTAGGCACGGGTTATTTGCGGGAACATCGCTGAGGACGTGTAGGAAGGCCAATAGAAAAAGAAATCAAGTGTGTTCATGTTGAGGTGAATGGACAACTTTGAAAATATTATTTAAGTTAGATAGGACCGTACTGGAAACATTTTGCAAGAAATGAATGCGATTTTCTTATTTTTGAGTTTTTTTTTAAGTCGTTTCGTTTGAATGACTTCTATAAACGGTTAACAAGAAGTATTTACTTAAAATTTACCCTGTATAACATTCATGCCATGTGTATAGTATTAAAAATTATATACTAGTAGTAAGTAAACATTCCTACAAATAAAATCATTATTTATAATCATTGCTTACCTGGTAAAGCAGTAACAAGTAAAAGTTCTATACACTGTTTAATCCAATAGTGAGGACCAATGGCATCCCAATTTTGAGAACAAACTATGTACAGTAATCGATCATGAAGCCTTCTTCTCATAGATTCATCGAAAACTTTAAAAAACTTTGATCGTATGTGTGGCTGAGTACATCTTAGACCAGCTAAAAAGGCTGGCTCAAGTTTAGAAGTAAGTTCTGTGGTTTTTAAGTGTTTATCACTAAAATTAATCAGAATTATATCACATTAGACTACCTTTTTGATAAATAGTTTAAAAAAGGAGTACATAAAGTAGTTGTACTTACGTATAAACATAGTTTACAAGCTCTAAAAATTGGGCATTCAGATCGTTATCATCCTGGAATCGTTTTTCTACATACTGCATCATTTTTACAAGTAATATAGATTTTTCTCTTAAACTTGGTGCTTGATTTAACGTTACTACATTCTTACACTTCATCCATTCTTCTAACATCTGGCAGAACACAAAATTAAATATCAGATTTGTAAAAATATATTATTGCACTTGTAATTCCTTTTTTTTATAGATTATGAGGAACAGAGATACTTTTAAGAATTTTGTAGACAAATATTTTTAACTTACTCTTGTGATGGCTTTCATGACTTTAATATCTTGCGTTTTCTCAATCAATCCCACCAAAATAGCTCCAATGAACGTTTTTCTCATTTCGACACCCATCACAACAACTCTCGTTTTCACTAGATCTAAACTAAGTATCAACAACTCACTAGTCAATGCAGTGTTGTCGCTAGAATGTTGGAGGTGTTCTTTAGCCAATCGATGCAATACTCGCATAAATGGGGTTATTAAGCGATCGATGTAAGAGTGATTGTTCGCACAAGCGGCTTTAAGAATCATCACAGTGCCAAAAAGACTCGAAGGATTTTCCTTTTTCTCATAGCTGCTTAAACCTTCAAAAATAACCTTGCCTACTGTTGCGTATAGAACGTCTAGCTCTTCGTATTTACAGCTTAAATTCGCGTTTGTTCTTTCCATGGGAAATAGAGCAAACAATTTGGTTAAAAGGTTGTGAACTAATTTTATTATTCTGCTATTATTTGAGGTGATACAAGCTCCAATTCCTCTTTGTAAAGGTTTAAAACTCGCTAAAAGAAAAATACAAATTTAACCATACGAATAATTATAATTCCAGAGTTCAATCATCCCATTTAATAAACTTACATAAAATTTGGTCCTTATCAAACACCGTCAAAATATAGGTCAATAGTTCTAAAGCTGTGCAAATGTTAGCTATATTCGGATTGGGAGCTTCTATTGTCATTAAAATCTTGTCAAAAAAAGCTAGTTTTAAATCGACTGGTTGTGGCCAAATATCTGGTCTAAGCGCAGTTTTTAGGAGAATAACACAACGTCTGGACAGTACTTCTCCCGGACTATTTGCTACAGGATTGACGGGGTTAGTAGGAGCTGGTTCATTAACCTAAAATATTTAATCGTAATTTAGAGTTATTAAATAAGGAATAGTATTTAAAAATGGTTACAAAAAAATGTAGCATTACCTGACAAGCCAGTCTTAGCAAGAAATTTAGTACATTATCAGTGTGTGCCCTATCTATTGGTTTATTCACATTAGGTTCTGCCTTTACAGCTGCTACTGGACCACCAGACGGTCCTGGAACGGCCAATTTTTTTCTACTACTTTCTCCACTTTCTTCAATGGATGGTCTCTTGGTCGATCCATTTTCTGTAGTCTAAAATATTCATATTTTAATAAAAAAATTGAACCATTTTAATAACACATAATTTACCTCAGTAGTTTCAGACTCTTCTTTGATTCCATAAATTTCCCATTTAATGATAACTTCAGCTAGTTCTACAGCTAATTTTCTGTGTTCGAGAGTAGCAGTTGGACTGAATCCAAGCCTTTGAATTGAACTAACCATGTGCTGGACTAAATGATGCCGTACTGGGTAATAAACCTAAAACAATACATCAGGCTTTTTAAATCACCTTCTAGTCGACGATTGTAATATTTTCAAGTGTTAAATAATCATCTAAATTAAAATAATTAAATAATCGTTTTTGTAAAGGGTTTATATGCCTAATAAAACCATAATGATTACAATGATTACTAACCTTTACTTAGATCAAAGAAATATAAATATTGAACTTACTTTGTAATGTTTAACAACCAACTGTAAAATATGAAACAATTGTTGCATTGAGTGCCCTTCATCTACTATTATTTTTTTTGTCCAATGAGTAAGCATTGTATTCCCTTCTTCCATTCGGAGTGGCATTGAAGGGGTCAGAATTTCCAAGGCTTGACGGACGACACTTCTTGCTTCTACTGCATGAGCTTTTAATAAACTGTGGAAAACTAAGAAAAAAAGTTGAATATTTAATAGGGTATTCCAAATGGGAAAAGAAGACAATAAACGAAAACCTAACCCTCTAAAAATTATTATTAAACCGAAAATACCACAAAGTGAAAACAGAACAAAAACAGATTTAGGAACAAATATTAACCTAACTGACTTAAAAGTTGGAGTGAAACAATTAAAGATGGGAAAGAATAGTTCCGTTATACTTTCCTGTCAAATAAAAAAAGAAGCTGAAATTCTGGAAAAAGCTGTTCAAGATAAATTAAAAGATTCATATGATGTAGATCTGACGAAAATGAGAAGACCCAGAATGAAAATCTGCAATTTTACGAAGAATATGACCCAAGTAAGAAATTGACAAGTCCATTGTGAAATAGAATGACATAACAGGTGAAATAAAAACCACATATATCAGAAAAACGAAAAAAGGCTTCAATACTGTATACTGTGAATGTTCAGCAACTGCATTCAAACAATATAAACAAAGGAAAAAATATGTATAGGATGGGAAAGACTTCCGGTTTATGAAGATTTGGAGATACCCAGATGTTTAAAATGTTAAGGTTTCTACCATAAAAAAGAAAACTGTAAGAATGCAATCTTGTGCCACATCTGTAGTGAAGAACATGAAGCTAGCTTGTGTTCAAAGAACTGTAAAACGAAAAATATAAAACTGAGTACAACTACAACCATTCTGCACTGGAATTGACTTGTCCCTTTTTGAAATATCATCAAATGGTATTGCAAAATAAAACCGAGTATACAGATCAATAACATAACGTAACTAATATTTGTACACACATTCAAATAGTTCATGATTATTAATCAAGAAAATAATCTATTAAATTCTATTCAAATTGATTCGATTAATGAATCGTTGATGCTGCTAATATAACAAATAAAATTAATTTAAATGAAAAACTCCTAAATGTCTTACATTTCAATATTAGGAGTATTAAAAAGAATTTTGATGAGTTGTTAGTATTTCTAGAAAGTTATAAACTTAATTATTGTGATATAATAGTTTTGACTGAATGTTTCCAATTAGAATCTATTTCTCAATTTAACCTAGATGGCTTCACCACCCACTATAACAATGGTAACATTAACAGAAATGATGGTGTTGTAATTCTGGTCAGGTCAAATCTAAATGCAGAATTAAACATAGTTAAACTGGAATATTCTGATATTTGTGTCACTAAAATAAATCTAAAAGTCAATCATCGGACCATTGGCATTACAGGTGTATACAGGTCTCCTCAAACCTCTGCACAAGCATTTATTTATTTAAAAAATTTCATACCAAATCACCTAAATAGAAATATTGAAATATTCATAGGGGACATTAATATTGATCTCCTAAATGTAACCAATCAAGTAACTACTGATTACCAAGCAACTTTTTACTCCCATGGTTTCATGTCTTACATAAACACTATTACGAGGCTACAAAGTAAAACATGCTCTTATGTAATCAGCTATGATATGACTGATCATGATCCTATTATGATAAATATCTCCCAATCTGCCAAAAACTACCATAAGTTCCTACAATACATATATAACTATAACTAAAATCGATACTGATAAATTAAAACGAAAATTCGAAACTGTAAACTGGGAAAGTGTTTGCAATGAAAATAATCCAGAAATTGACAACTTTTTTATGACACGTATCTTAATATAATTGAAACATGTCAAACCACTCAAAATATTAAAATTAAAATCCATAAAAAAATAAAGCCATGGATAACAAATGGTTTAATTAATTCTATTAAAACTAGCGAAAAACTTAAAAAAGATCTACAAAAAAACTAAACTATTAACAAACAAACTCACTATAAAACATTTAGAAATAATTTAAACAAACTAATAGCAAAAACTAAAAATGACTATTATAACAATAAAATAAACCAAAACAAAAATGATCTGAAAAAAACTTAATTAATCTCTGAAGCAACTAATGAAAATCATATTGTTAACCAAGATAATGAGGAATTTGAAAATGATAATGAAATGGCGAATTACTGCAATAACTACTTTTCGACTATTGACACTAATATGTTCACAAATATCCCTGAATGTAATGTGATTTTCCTGTGTCACTAAAAAATCAATGTTTCTGAAACCGATATGCGAAAACGATATTAAAAAACACATAAATAGTTTAAAAAACAATAGTGCCCCGGGATTTGATTGTATAACAGTAAAACATCTGAAACTACTACATCCGTATTTACTGGAACCTTTAATGCATATAATTAATTGTATTTTTATTACAGGAATCGTACCTAAACAATTTAAAACTTTAATTATAACACCTATTTACAAAGCTGGTAATCCAAAATTAATAACTAACTATAGACCTATTAGTTTAATTAGTAATGTGGCCAAAATATTTGAGAAATGTGTGAAAGATAGACTGACAGATTTTTTAAAAACTAATGACTTACTTCCCAAGCACCAATATGGCTTTACTGAGGGTCTTAACTCAGGAGATGCTATGCATGAATTGATTTCATATGTTACTGATGAAATGAATACTGGTAACAAGTGTATAGCTATATTTCTAGATCTAGCAAAAGCATTTGACACAGTGCCACATCAGAAGCTCTTAAATGTTCTTGAACAGAATGGAGTAAGGGGCATCGTGTTGAAGGTTTTTGAAAATTATTTGACACACAGACAATAGAAGGTAAAGGTCAGAGACAATGTGAGTAACTCTGAAAATATACAAATCGGAATGCCTCAAGGGACTATTCTGGGACCTATACTATTTAATTTATACATTAAGAGCTTAACTCAGATTGATATTCAAGGTAAAGTTGTATCATATGCTGATGATACAGTGCTAGTCTTCTGTGATAAAGATTGGAAAGCCGTCAAGACACATGCTATAGCTGGAATGGAACATGTCAAAAACTGGCTGGATGTTTTTAAATTATCATTGAATGTAAACAAAACAAACTACATTGCTTTTTAAAAAACAGTGGCTGATCAACCTCAATTTAGGATACAGGAAACAGAAACATTCAAATATTTAGGTATAATTATAGACCAGCACTTAAAATGGAACTGCCATATAATATATATAGCAAAAAAACTTAGATTTCTGATTTATAAATTTTATTTTCTTAAACAATTTCTCAACCAGGATCTACTAATAAAATTATACTACAGTCTAGTAGAATCTATACTACGGTATGGAATTTTAGTATGGGGAGGCATGTATGGAACTACATTAAATCAGTTAAATGTTATTCAAAACAAAATCTTGAAGTTAATATATAAAAGAGATAGATTGTGTCCCACCATAACTTTATATAACGAAAAAATTAGATGTTTATATATTCACGCAGTGTGTTGTTATATACAAAAAAATTAATTTTTAAAAAACCCTTTAGAACATAGACATAACACTAGAACTGCATCGAACATGTGCATTAAAGTACCAAAACCAAATAGTGAGTTTTTTAAAAACAGTGTAAATTATCTAGGGACAAAGTTCTATAACGCTCTACCTCTTCATACAAAATTATTAAACAAATATAAAAAATTCTGTTAGCAAAATATACATTTTCCAAAATAATGCAAAGTTTATCAGAATATTCCAAGAATAACGGACCTAATATATGAATTTTTTTTAAATAGTTTTTTCTTCTGTTTCTTGCATAAGTTGTTCAAGTTTTATTTATTAAAAAAAAAATATTTTTTTTTATTTCCTTTATAATTCATTAAATATAATTAAAATAAAATTTTAATTTTTGTCAGCACATACAGGTGTTCTCACCTAGGTGCTTGTTATTATATAATTGGTTTCCATTATTGTACTTTATTTATTATTCTAACTCATTGTAACTTATAACTATTCTACAGCGGAATTTATTATTATTTTGCTCAATAATTGGGGGTCAAATATTAATACTGATGTGTTAAAGTTATAAAAATATTTCAGTAATGTTATATTTCAGTTTGTTTTTTTTTTTATACATAAACTTAGGTTTTTTGATCTGATGAAATCGAATAAACTATCATTACTTGAGTATTTCAAAAACTAAAAAAAGTTAGACCAAATCATCATAAAATATTTCCTAACTGATTTTTAATTTGAAACTATATCTCCTTACCTTGAAGAACAATTTTTCTGTGAATCGCAAATTTGTCAATAATATGGGAAAGTAATAAATGCCCATGGTATCTTGTAGCGGGATCTATACAATTCTCTACAAGCAGACAAGGCCAAGCAAAAGTCATCAGTCGTCTGAGCTTAAAACCTTGCGCTTTATTGCTGGCATAATAGTCGTGAATATGAGGACTGGCTTGTTCAACAAGTAAACAAGAAAATTGGAGAAGAGAAATTCTAACACAGTCGGCAGATGGAAACGGATTTTCAGGATCAATTAACTGCAAATAAAATGTTGATTTGCAGATATAAATAAGTTTTCTTTAATTTTAACTTACTTTATGTATAAATACAGAAACGACGTTATCACTACTGTCTTGATTAGGCGCAGGAGGGCCACCTACTAGCTTGTTTGTTTCGCCTCTTTCAAAACTCACAGCAAAGCAAGGTATGAGAATTAATTGAAGAACTTTTGCTTTTAACTCCTAAAAATAAATATAAAATATTTTTTTTATTTATTGCAAATTAATGTAATATTACAAAAATTACCTGTGACATATCATTCGTAGGAAATAGTTCGACAAATCTGAAAAAAGCAGATCTCTTCCACTCGACTGTATAATTCTGAGCAACTGTATTTTCTAAAAAGTCTCTTAAAAATTGAAAGTCTGGCAAAAACCTATCCACAGTAGCTCGCAACAATTGAAACAGCAGATCAATATCGGTAGGATGATGACAAAAATAGTGGAGTAATATTTTCACTACAAGTTTTGGTTCCTTCCAATGAGTATACTCGAGTTGTTCTAAATTTTTGTGTCTTTCTTGGTAAGAATTATCACACCAAATTTGCTTTAGAGCATCCACTAACTCATTTTGAGTCGACAACCATTGGTCATCAAACTTGATTAATAGGGAAACGATTCTTATACTTTGATATTGCAACTCGTTTCTCTCGTGAAGTTCCAAATTCGAATTCACATAGTTAGAAAGCATCATTGTTATTAAACGCTTCATCAAATTATTTTGAATGAAATCTCTGATTAATTTTCCGTCTTTATGTTTAATTAAAAACTCCAAATATCTACTGAACTGCTGATCTTTAATATACTTATCACTCAAGAACATAGATAGAGTTTCGGCTGGATATCTTAAAAGGAACTTCATTAGGACATCTCTGAATGGACTGCTAGCTTCAATACCCATTGCTTGTTCAGTTTCCAAAATCAATTGGCACAAAGGAGTAATGAATTTAGATGAGGCGGCAGGAGTTTGATGGAAGATACTAATGATAGTGACAATTTTTTGCTCCTCATCGCCTTTTTTACATAACCCGTTTCCTTAAAAAAATCATAAATTTAAAACATATTATAAATATTTTGATGTTTACACTAACTTACCTTGGTTGTTCTTGTAATTTTCCTTCAAAATCTCCATTATCTTTTTTTGGAATTGTAGCAGTTGTTCGCAAAGTTTTTCATTAAAAACATTGGGGAACAATTGAGTTAAGTAAGACAACATTTTTAATCCATTTAATGTCAGATTTTTGACGTCATCTAGTGTCATCAAAAGAGGTCTGACTGTCTGGTACACTAGCTTGTTCTCAACTGGATAACCCGATATGAATTTTTTCATGCATTCAAATGCTGTTTCTTGAAGTTCCGCATTTGGCTTTTCTAATGTATCATAGAGAACCTGGAAAATTTTACCTCGAACTTCTTCTAAATAGTAACAAGCAGCCAAAACTCTAAGAGCACTAGTTCGTAGCGGAATAAAGTTTGTGATGGATTTGTAACACGAAAAGGTGTTAAGTTTATTGTCCTCAGAGTTACACAAAGCCAGAAGATCTTCAATGAAAAGACAATGCTCTTTTACGCTCATATCTGAAAAATAAATCAATATTGATTACATAATTTATAGAAAATAATGGATGATGTATCTACAGTCCATTCAGTTACTTTTTAAATCGGGGGTAGCGGGTAGCTATGAAAGTTAAATATCGCTGACTCTGTATAGTAATATAGAGACTGTCAAAGTTGTTTTTCTTTGCTAACTGCGAATCAAAAAAATGTAATGTTGCCATGTCACGTTCCATTTTAAACTTTTTCATTGGCGAACCTCATATTTGAAATTTTAATTAATTAAAATATGGATATTTATTGTACTACAAGGTAACAGTAACATCGTCAAAACATTTTATTACTTTCCTATCTGTATACAGATATAAGGAAAGTATAGGAATCATGATTTTTTCGACCTCGAGTTTTCGACGGATTTTTACGTTTTGAGGTCCCCTGAATCTGTTTTGACTATTTTCGCGATGATGTCTGTGTGTGTGTGTCTCTCTGTGTGTGTGTCCATAACTCATGAACCGATACACAGAAAAACACCAAATTTTAAACTTAAGCTTTATTCCAGCGTCCAATGAACAGACTAGATTTTAGGCAGAGTCGGAACATCTGGGGGGGTACTTTATAGGTGGTCATTTTTATATTTTATGGAATATATCTGTTATTTACGTTTGGAGAAGACAATTCTTCAAATAAAAGTTACTTCTAATATTATTATCTATAATTTTTGTTCTATACAAAATTCCTAAAATGGTCCGTATTCGAGAAATTTGACAAAATGTAAAAAAAATATGTTTTTTATTAAAATTGTTCAAATAAAAGTTGTTTGTAAGATAATTCTCTATAACTTTTATCCTATACATAATTTCTCTAAAATGGACCGTATTCGAGATATTTGAGAAAATGTGTAAATTTCGAATTTTGAAGAAAACATTAAATTTTAAACTTAAGTTTTATTTAGGCCTGACGTAAAATTATTAGATTTTGGATAAAGTCTGGACATCTGGGGGGTACTTTATGGGAAGCCGTTTTTATATTTAATGGAATATATCTGTTATTTATGTTTGGAGAAGAAAATTGTTTGAATAAAAGTAACTTCTAATATTATTATCTATAATTTTTGTTTTATGTCAAAATTTCCTGAAATGGTCCGTATTCGAGAAATTTGACAAAATGTGCAAAATTCTGATATTTATGAAAATAGTTGAACTAAAAGTTGTTTGCGATATCGATCTCTATAATTTTTGTTTATACATGATTTTTCTAAAATGGACCGTAATGGAAAAATTGTAGGAAAAGTGCTAAATTGAAATTTTTCAATATTTTCGTTTTCAATGAATATCTATAGAAAAATGTTTCGAGGTAAATGTATGTGGAAAATGTATATATTTAGTTTATCCTCTAAACATTTATAGAGGTGCTGCAATAGGTTGTACAAAATAACCGGAAAAAGCCTATAATAACTAGATAGGAAAGTCATGTGCTGGACACATCAGATTTTTTTTTAGTATCTACTTGAGCGCTACATATGGAATTATGTTATGGGGGCAAGTACAGATGCTATAGATATTTTCAGGACTCAAAAGTGAGCTATCCTTGTAATGGAAATAATGAATTTTGCCGAGTCTTTTTTGAAGAATTTAAATCTACGTTTATGGCACAAGACATAAGATTTATTATAAACTTTCTACATCACAAACTATCTGGTTATGCACGAAATGTTACAATTATCTGCATGTAGACATTAAATCTAACACATTAAAACAAATTAAAAATAATGCAGAATTGAAAATATTCCGAAAATGAAAAATCCGTAATTCCCCTACGAAATTATGAAAATTAGACACTCATATTCTCAAAGTAAAAACAAACCAAGGAAAAATTGGAAAAAGCTGAGAATTAAGAAAAAAATGCGCGCAAGTTCAGATATCAGCATGTATGGGTAAGGTGGCTTATTTGGTTATCACGCAAACGGCTCAAGTCTGAGATTCCGGCTTCGACTCCCGGTTTTGCAAGCATTTTTTCTTTCTTAATTCTCATCTTTTCCCAATTTTTCTTTGGTTTGTTTTCACTTTGGGAATATGAGGGGAATTTGGGATTTGTCATTTTCAGAATTTCCAAATTAGCTTTTAGTTTTTCGGATCTAAACAGACTTTCTCACTTTACTTTCTAAAAAAAAAATAATAACAAATATTCTGTGCGATTTAGAACTTTATTCCATCTAATTTTCTAAATAGCAATTTAAACGAATATCGAATAGGGAGTAATAAAACTATATTTCAATGTTTTTTTTGACTGAATTTGTATATATTTATATGTACAAAACCAGATACAGACCATAAAAGAATTGATAATTAAAGACCAATCACCCATCTTCCAGTTTTGGGAAAACTATTCGAAAAACTTATTAAGGTCAAACTATCAGCATTAGTAAACGAACGAATTCCGCAATTCCAATTTGGGTTTAGAGAACAAATCTCCGCTCTGGTACCAACCAGTCTGCTGGTTTCCAATGTGCAAACAACAAAATTGAACAATAAAAATCTGCCATTCTTCTGTTGGACATTAAAAAAGCCTTTGACTGTCTGGCACAACGGCCTCCTATTTAAACTAAAACTTCTTAATGCGCCTGAAAGTCTTATAATACTTATCAAAAACATCCTTCAAAACAGAATTCTAAGAGTTAAAAAATAAATAACCACACATCTCCAAGTTTCATAGTAAATCAAGGTGTACCGCAAGGGTCGCCACTATCTCAGCTCCTTTACAACATATATTGCTTTGATTTTCCTTCAGGTCAGTTACACCTCAATGCAGTAAATTACACACTCCAATACGCAGATGACACGGCCTTGATATCGCATGGAAATACGCTGAATTAAACCATCACAGCACTACAAAATCAATATAACGAAGTTGCTTAATGGCTCAATAAATGGAGATTACATGTTAACACACAAAAATGTCAATTAATAATACCCTAATGATCTAAGACCGACATCACCTACACTCATCATATCTAACCAACCAATTTATCCCGTATCCTCAGTGAAATACCTATAATTGATAATAAGCTGAACTTCAATGAACACACCCGCAGACAAAAAAACAAAATCAAAACCAGAGCCAAACATTTCCGCTCTTTAACATACAAAAAAGAAGGTATCAACATCTACACGGCCACTAAAATCTACAAAACAATTTGCAGACCTCTTCTGGAATACGGTCACACTATATATTTCAACTGCAGGAAACCTGCATTAAAAAACATTCAAGTGGCCTAAACTTCTACACTAAGAATCATTACCAAGATGCGACATCCTGAAAACCCCACTCACCATCCAGCGAATGAATATCTTTACGAAAAAACTAAGATTCAGCGTATCCTGGAAAGAAATAGAAAACTGTCAAAAAATTTCTCGAAGAAACTAAATAATCACATGCTAATAAATATTTTTGCAACGACAAATTGGTCAAGCAAAGTTTAAATACCCAGTGAGATCAATAACAGAAATCTTAAACGAATTTGCCGATGAACAATAATTAGTGACACATATTGTTTTTTTTTTTGGTGTGTCATCGGCTTCAACTGCTAAGGTTATTTCGCCTCGTGTTCTGTGTAGGCTTTGTTACTGTTTCCCAGCGCCACTTCATGAACAGCACTGTTAATTAGAACCCAACAGTGAATGGTCGAGTGGGGACACATATTGTTGTTTTTTTTAAGTATCTTCATATTCGTATTCATCTTACACATATAGCTTGTAAATCCTCATACATACCATACAAATTGTACTGGCTGAAGGACCTAGGTCGATGGCTATTTGGTTGTAATATGCATAACCAATAAAGTGCTTTTATTATTATTATTTATTATATGTACAAGTGCAATAAACTATTTATTTAAGGCAAACGCCAGCAAAAAGGAGAAGCCACAAGCCATACAAATCACCACCAAAGTATAAAAATAATTAATTTAAAATTTATTTGGCATTTTTTGTGTAGTTATTGTAATTCAATAAGAATTCAGTGTTAAATTGAAAATGCTTGTTGATCAATGAACAAAAATTACACAAAGAAAGCTTTTTTCACCCTCGAGGGATTCCGGCACCATTTGGATGCTCTACTCCTTCTCATTCATCATACATTCATTCCACGTCATCGATGGTTAACCGCTAGTCGGTCTAGTGTTCAGGCGTCCAAGAGGTGTCGGAGATATCACTGCTAACTGTCTCAACAAGATTTTATAATAAAATAAATAAATCACGAAGCCATGTCACAAAAAATACGACCGCCCGTTTTCCTTCGGATAACAACTACTCCAATATCGCATTAGTTATGCGTTATTCATTTTAACAGATATAATATGTGACAAGTCACTAAATTTTCATTTAGTTTAATTATGAAAATGTTTAGTTTAAGTTAATTTCCGCATTTTAGCGTTCTTAAAAACCCCGATATTTTTATTTATTTAAAATTCCCGTTTTTGAACATTTACCAGAGCCACCGTAGTTGAAAATAAATAATTATTTACTGAAATTCGAATCCAGCTTGAAACTTTCAAATCCTGGTAAATTATCTGGTCATTTTCGCAAATGTCAAAATACATTTTTCTTCATTCCTCAGATTTATAAATATTGGCTACTCCCACTTCGAAACTTAACTAGTCCGAGCGTAAAATATAAGGCCGGCCTCCTCGAGTAGTTTTTCTCTTTGCTGCTTGCTCTTTTTTCCGTTGCTATTTCCGCTACTCTTGTGCCAGTGCCGAAGTAATACCGTCGTTTTATTTGTCGCCTGTGTTGACCTGTGGAGAACGAAGGTAGGAATCTTTCACTAGTAACCTTTCTATAAAGAAAGATGTATTTAAATGTTCTCTTGATCGACCGCCGCCAGTCAAATATTACCAAGAAATTATTTGCTATAGTCCGAGAAAAATTAGTCTTTATTAGTCCAGAATTTTGGGTCGCGTGTAGGATTTTTGAACTTTCGTAAGACATGTCAGTCCACTGATATCGCAGTCTGGTTTCAACGACGGAACTTCTTAAAAGTAATAATTAATTTATCAACTTTCGTCAGGTTTCATTTGTCTGAAAATCCGACCATATTCACTGGGCTAACACCGCTTTTTTATTTTTTATTTATCGCCAGAAAATGTAATATCGTTTTTCGATATTGAGGATGTTAGAATGATAGTCATCGTATTCAACCTGTTGAGTTTGAAAGTACTTCTGTCACATTCAGTACATTATTAATTAGCTGTTATTTGGAATACCGTGGGGACAGCTGTTTTACACGTATTTATTTTATTGGCAAAAAGTTTCCGTACAACGCATTATTATACAGAGTGTGTTCCTAAAATTATTTTAAAATTGCGAATTATTTATTTATATAATTATTTTATTTATGTATTCTTTCAAAGCTTTCCGTTTGTAAATTACAACTTTATGGAGAATAAATTAATTTGTATTTTCCCCATATACATAATCGAATATGCTCTTTTGAATTAAAATAAAATGAACTCTGTGCAACTTCCGGTTATACCGGAAGTGACCACTAACTTCGTTATTTTAAAGGGAATACTCCATATTTTTTTTTAATTTTAGATTCAGCTTGAAATTCTGTAAATAACGATACCCCATTTGCCTATTCTAGTTATAGCGGATTTGGCGTTATTCAATTTTTTTCTACATTTTTAGTCGCCGGTAGACATTTTCTTAAAGTCGTCTATCTCAGGTACTATATCTATCAGATACTTAAACTTTTAACCAGAGGTAGTAGATGGGATGTACTTCTTGAGAATATTTAGTTATTCATTATTTGCAAATTATTTTTAAAAATGAAATTTTTTAAACATAAAAAACTTTTTTATTTTAAAGGGAACACCCTATATATTTTTTAAATTTAGGATTCAGCATGAAATTCTGTAAACAATGATACCATATTTGCCTATTCTAATTATAGCGGATTTGGCGTTATTCATTTTTTTTTAATTTTTAGTCGTCGCGCCGGTAGGCATTTTCTTAAAGTCGACTGTCTCAGGTACTAGTTCTGTTGGATACTTGAAATTTTAGCCAGAAGTAGTAGATGGGATGTACTTTTAAAAACATTTACAGTTTTCTGCAACAAAATATGTCGTTTAAAAAGTTTAAATTTTTTTAATGATAAGGTACATACTAACTAAAAACAATTTTTATTAAAAGCACATGGTTTAAAAAAATCATTTTATCAAATGTTCAAAATGCCCCCGTTAGCTTCTAAACATTTTAACAATCTTTTTTCAACATGATTAGTTGTTGCTTTACGAATCATTTCACCATCTAACTCGTTAAAGACATTCCGAACTCTTTGCTCTAATTCTTCTTTAGTATTAATTTGGGTAGAGTACACTAAATTTTTAATATGACCCCATAAAAAAAAATCAACAGGAGTTAGATCTAGCGATCTTGCAGGCCAAAGCCAAGGATCATTTGGACCTATCCATCGGTCTTCAAAGAGTGCTGTAATTTCTTGATTTACATAGTATGTTGAATGTGCTGGGGCACCATCCAACTGGTACCAAAAATTATTATTTGGTAGCTGGTTTAAAATGTCGGCAACTACTTCTCTAAGAATTCTAATGTATCTTTCTGAGGTCAGTCTTTCATTATGAATGTAATAAAAAGCTCTTCCAAAACCGATCACTGCAAACACATTAAAACTAAATTCTTACTGAAATTGTGCTTCACGATAAAAATGTGGATTTTCGTTTGCCCAGAAATGACATTGCTTGCGATTGATGATCCCTTTACGTGTAAATTTCGACTCGTCTGACCACAAAATTTTGTTTAAAATCTCGGGATCTTCTTGAATTCGTACCAATAACCATTCGCATAATTCAGTTCTTCTTATTTGATCACCATCTCGCAACTCATGAACTTTTCTTTGCGCATAGGGATGCCATTTATTTAGTGCTAAAATTCGTTGTATTGACCCTCGACTAATATTTAAATTATCTTGAGCCATTCTAATGGAGGCGTGAGGATACGCAGTAAAATACCCTAATACGTTAATTAGATTAACTTCTTCATCTCGGACATAATGTTGACGGTTTCTTCCCGGGTTTTGTTTAAAATTATTCAAAAAGTTAGCTTCGATTCTATCAAATTTATGTCTGTTCATTGGTGGTAAATGAGGGTATCGTTCATTAAACATGCGGCAGGTTCTACTTTTGATTCGATTACATTCTCCATGAATGTAAAATAAATTAAGAATATCTTGGTTGGTATATTCTTCAATATATTCCATATTTTCCATATTTTGAACGCAAAAAATACACAACTTAAATACATAGAAATATGACAATTCAGTTTGTTGACAGATTGTTGTTTAGCATATTTCCACGGCATACTAAGATAAAAAATTAAAATGTAAAACTATACTATGTTATGTAGGTGCATGCGTAAAATTTAAATTTTCTTAAAATTGGCGAGAGATAATTATAGGGAATTAATAGTGCAAATGAAGATCAATGAAGAATAATTTTCTAAACAAAATGAAATAAAAATATACAGGATTTTCCATTTAAAATAAAAAAAAATTTCATGTTTAAAATATTTATTTTTTAAAATAATTTCCAAACACACAGTCGAACAAACGATGTACAAGTAAATTTAAAAAAGCAAATGTCTGCCGGCATATAAAAGTTTATAAAAAACTGAATAACGCCAAATACACTATAATTAGAATAGGCGAATGAGGTATCATTGTTTACAGAATTTCATGCTGAATCTAAAATTTAAAAAAAATATGGGGTATTCCCTTTAAAATAACGAATTTAGTGGTCACTTCCGGTATAACCGGAAGTTGCACAGAGTTCATTTTATTTTAATTCAAAAGAGCATATTCGATTATGTATACTCAGAAAATGGCGAAAATACAAATTAATTTATTCTCCATAAAGTTGTAATGCCCGCCTTACGTGGGACACGGTGTATATTCTGAAGATTCAATTATACTGTTAATTGATTTAGAGTTTTTCACCGTTTATTAGGAATTTCTATCTTTACCGAATTATATTTAATTTCTTTATTTTAATTTATTTTCACTAGATTCAATTAGACAGTTAATTGATTTAGAGTTTTCCTACCCTCAAGGCCACGAGAGCCATGGTGGGGCCCCGGGACATTAAAAAATCAAATGCTGTCTATGTTACATTTCTACAAAACCAGGTGTGCAAGAAAAGAACAATTTGTTTGTTGACATGGAGAAGAGATATGAAGATATTCAAATATCTGATGTACAAAATATAACACTTACTTATTGTAAACAATCGCGGACATAACGTTGTACAAAACATGTTTCCGTCCATAAGACCCATTTGAGCTATTGCTGGTTGATGTTTGAGAAGGTGTTTTGTAGGTGGTACCATATCAGCTAAAACATCCTTAAAAGGTTCCATAACTGCAGTTATTGTCTTATTCTGCTTTTCAGCTAATAATCGCAGTGAAGCCATTGACTAAAATCAAATAATATTATCAACCAGTTGTGGCAGAAATTTGTGTTTCTATCATGTATGCAAAATTAGTACATAGTATATATTACAAGTACTTACTTGATTCCTGACCATAGTATGAGGACTAGTAACCTGTCTGACCAACTCGTGTGTCACTTTATTCAAAGCGTCTTGTTGCAAATTTCTCGTTGCTTGATCTGAACCGTCTGGAGGCGCCGTAACGCATACGATTAACATTTTTTGAAGATTGTCTTTGGCCATATCTAAAGCGCCACTAGAAACTTCCCCGGTAAGATCCATCATGACGAAGAGTAGAGCTTTGAGAAACATGAACATGTGTTCGTAAATCCATTTGAGCGCACAACGTTCGAACATGAATTTTATCGCTATGCAACCGCCGAGTTTTGCGTACCAAGCTCGCTCGTAACAAAGAGCACACATTTTTTCTGAGAGATATTCAATTAAAGGTAAACGGCAGGCCTAAAAACAACGCTGGCATTACTTAATAACAAGAATAGATCATGCATATTTTAGTTTCAAAAAAACGATCTTGTTGAAACCAATGATTTTATTTTGATTTAAGAGGTTATTCAAAATTGCATGCTAGAAAATTCTGAAAACATTAGTAATTATAGTAAATACACAATGACATTAACATTTTTGGCAGACGCTGATCAATGTGAAACATTACTGTGACGTCAGTGAGCCAAACATAAACAAACCATTATGTCATTGATTTTAAGATAAAAGTTTTGAATTTTTTTTTAATATGTATTAAAAACAAAATGGTATTCATCTTCTCAAATGTGGTCAATGTAGTAACAAAATAAATACACAAAATCATATTATACCACATAAAATTTATTAATGAATTAAAACGGCAACCGGTTTCGGCTAATTCGCCATCATCTCATAAAAATAAATGAAGATAAAAGTAAAAAATCAGCAAAACATCGCGACGTCGAGGGAAGGAAAGTATTTGAGAGGATTAGGAAGTAAAGTTGAAAGAAAAATAGGGATATTATATACCTGATAAGTAAGGATCGTTTGTTGGTAGAATGATCTCCAGGTGTTTGTGAAATAAATACTCCTAAGTTTAGAAAAGAAATTCGAAGGTGAATTCTTAGCTAAAAAAATCATTAGAGGGAAAAGATATGCCCCAAACAGAAAAAATATCTTCATGTTAAGTGGACCAAGTCATACTTATGATAAATATACTGGTAAAAAGGTATACTAGAAAGAATATCAAGGTGCCGTGAAAAAGGAAATTTGTTGGAGAACTGTTTCTAGGAAACGGTCCAAGGAGGAGGTGAGGATATTTGCATTATTACAATTTAAATTTTAATAGACTGAGCGAATGTTGTACACACACAGAAAATACAAGATACTTGCTTTCTGAAAATAAATCTTTAAAAACGTACCATTTCTTTACTTCCTAAAAGCGTAGATGCTGTGTCCACGATTAAAACAAGACCCAAATGTCCTGGTTTACATAATTCTCTTTCTTCGTGTCCCATTATAATAGCCAATGCATCAACCAACACAAGTGGATCCAATGTTACTTGTTTATTTGGCCTAAACAAATTAGGTTTCATTCATAAAAAATATTAACATGAAAAAGTAGCAAAAAAATGTCTGTACAAAACAAAAGATTCATTTAGATTAAACTAAATTAATAAGTAAAGTTTTTAATGATTGCAAACGTCAAATAATTTTTAAAATTCCATAAATTATTTCAAGGTAATTTAATTATTCAAACTGCTTTAGTGGGATTTAAACACTGCTGTTTGGCAGTTAATTTAGTCTTTTAACTATATTATTTTTTTGTATCCATAGACATGAAATTGTACACTTACTCTGCACTATAGGCGAATGCGCCTGATTGCTGTGCAACCGCAACCATAGTATAGTGTCGCACCAATGACACCAAAGCGGGAATAACAGTTTCCCTTAACTCTTTAATTGCAGCACCAACAAACATGCCTGAAATAAAAGGAACATGTTTATTAATTACACGGCACAAAATATTTAGAGAAACACTTGTTTGTATTTTGATAGCTTTTTAGATGCCACCAGTATACAATCCTACATATCTTAAATATTCACATTTTAGTCAATAAAAAAAAACGACAAACAAGGGGATGGGTGGCTCAGTGCTTAAAGCATGAACCATTTGTCCGTTCGAATCCCACCAGGGTTTTTTTTTTTAAATAAAATAACAAATTAATTCTAATGTATAGGTAGAGGATTCTCATCACTCGACCAGTCACTGTTGGATTATAAGAGATAAAGAAGAAAAAAATCTTTATTGCTGGTAATTTCAAAGGACTATCATCCGGAGTTGCAGTATACAGAGGATTTCTGGGGTAAAGGAGCTTTATTATTGTTCTTAGACATGACCTTTCCACAACTTTAATATTGCGGATCTTGTTTGAAATAAAATGTATCCATATTCGATGAGTGGTCTACATATCATTTGATATATATTTTTTGCTATTTGGATGATGATTCCCCTTTTTGTAAGTTAAAATTCTGAAGTGTTTGGGTTGGATTATAATTAACAGTGGCAATGCCTACACAGAAACAGAGCTGGGCAGAGTACTGCGTTAAAGTACTCACGTGTACTTCACAATGAGTAGCGTACTCATAAAATCATAAATATCTGAGTATGAGTACTTATGCAAATTTTAAAGAGTACTCGTGAAAAAATCAAGTAAAGAGTACGAGTGTATTAAATAATTCTGGTTAGAGACTAAAGTTTAGAAAGAAGGAATTATAGTAATTAGCAGTAGTGGGTCACTAAATAACAAACAAAAACTTATCTTCTAACAATTAGTTAGCCATTTTAATGTTAAAGTAAACTTATAAAGGTATTGGGTGGGGGGAGAGTTACAGATAGAGAATACTCAAAAAGTGGTATATATTTTAAAACGCGTATACACGTGTATATTGTCATGATTCCGTTATTTGACATATATGGTCTTATGGTTTCTGTTCTTTATCGTCGTCTTCGATAAGTTTTTAGGAATTTTCTAGGGTTGTGACGGCGATGGTAGTGGGAAAATTAATGAAATTGTCAGATTTTGGGAAGATTGTAACAGGGTTTTAGAATTGAGTGGAGAAATTTAAAAAAAAACTCAGAAAATATTATATTGAAGTTAAGATAGATAAATATAAAAGTTGAAGATTTTATATCGTAGAGATACAATAAAAAAAAAGAATGAAAAAAGAATGAACCAGGAATGAAAAAAGACGGAAAAAAGAGTAAAAAAAAAAGAGTAAAAAAAAGAGTAAAAAAAAGAGTAAAAAAAAGAGTAAAAATAAAGAATAAAAAAATATAAAGAAAGTTTTATTTAAATTGAAGATAAGTGTGAATCGAATAATACTTAAGCACTATTATACCTCATACTTTCCAATTTATTTATTACAATTTATTTTTACTATACAACTCTTATATTAAGACAACTTCTATCGACAAAGTCGCGATATTTATATAAAAATGTATCGGCCTAGAAAGAACCAATCCTGCTAGAAGTATCTCGAAAGCTTCCTACACGCGTCTAACGCCAACGCCTAAACATTAATAAAGAACAGAGTCGGCTTCGCACGACAATATGAACATGGGTCCCGGAATGCTCCGTTTTCATGATACGGGGTGTTTTAACTTTTCCGTCTTTAATAGTTTATTTTACATTTATCAATAACCCGTTCAGATATTGAAATGAGTTTTGGTATCATGAAAGGTCACATTTACATTTACAAAATTGTTTTCGTGCGACAAGTCTTTATGTTTAGCGAAAATAAACTGTACACCACTGGTTTTTGTAAAAATTAGTGTCGCTTTCTCAAAGTCAGATTAATTATGCTTAAAAAGTGGTTCGTTCTCCGACTTTTTCGTTCTGACCCACCGTTTTTCGAAATAAAAATAACAAAGACGGAAAAAGTGGGAGGGTTGGCTCAGTGGTTAGAGTCATAGCTTTGAGATCGAAGGGTCTCAATATTGAATCCCGCTGGTGGTAGGAATTTTTATTTAATTTAATAAATTAAATATTAATTCTAATGCATAGGTAGGATTCCCCAATCAACCATTCACTGTTGGGTTCTAATTAACAGTGCTGTTCCTAAAGTGGCGCTGGGAAACAGTAACAAAGCCTACATATAACACGAGCCTAATAACTTAAGTAGTTGATGCCGACCAAATTAAAAAAAAGACAAAAAAGTTTAAACACCCTGTACCATGAAAACGGTGCATTTCCGGACCCATATTTACATGAACTTGTTTCAAAATTTTAGATGTAGAATCTGCCATTAAATTTTATTCACAATATTCTGTAACTCCCTGTAGAAAGTCAGGAGTTAGAGCAGAAAGCAGAAGAACCGGGAGCAAGAAGAAAGAAGCGAATTTATCAATTAGTATTATTTTTAGTTATTTTTTTATTTTTGCAGGAATCCAAAGGAGCCACAACCTTAAAAGCTCTAGGATATTGGAATTGTTGAACCTTTGCGGGGTGGAACCATTACTATATATGCGCGCGTCGGTACTCATACTCGTCAGCCGTAGGAATCAGAAGTACTGAGTACTCCAAAGTGGAAAGTACACAAACATTTTCTAGTATAAGTCCTATTAGGATGAAAGTACTTACGAATACCAATTACTGATTACTTTGAGTACTTAAGTACTGCCCAGCTCTGCACAGAACACATAATATTAAGAGAGAAACACCAAAACGACACTGATAAAGTAGATACTGCTACTGCCAAAACTATAAAACTGACTTAATAAAGATCAATGTCAGACTTTCGTTCATTTGTCATATGTGGAATCCTTACAAATAAACTAGTGGATATAGAAGAAAGGTATCTGAAAATGTCATTAGTATCTTTTATCAACAGTTTTGCAGTTAGAATTATTGCTATTCATTTTAATTCTTACAGTCTCTTTCAATAATTGTTAAAGAGTAACGCAATATATTATTTTTTTTTTTATATAATTTATAGAAATAAAATGCGAGTGTTTAAGATGTACACTATTAGCTTTGTATACCTGTAGTATTTACGAATTATTGAGATAAAGTATTTCTATTATTAAAAAAAAAATACCTGTCAGGGCCGTTTGATGTGTTTCTCGAGCTTCTTTGTATATAGATTTATAGGTGGAACCCTTAATATTAGGAATAGTATTTGGATCATGGAAACTCGGATGGAGGAATAGATTAATAAGAGTATTTTCGTCATCATCAAGACTCCTGGATGCTGTTAGATAACAATTAATTACTTCCCATGCTTGTTTTCTATAAAATGGATCAGTACTGCTCTGTTTTAAAGCATTGAAAGCTGTTTCTATGACCTAGAATTAGAAAAAAAAAATTAAAATTATAGAGAACAAAACATTTATTTTACAACTAACCTTTGAAACAGGGAATTCGATTTCGTGTTCTTGATCATTAAATCTAGCCAATATAGCAGGAGGATCAAACTCTGTAGATACATATTCTAATTTTTGAGGTTCTATCATCATTTTCCTGTTACCACCTCCAAATTTACCAAGAACCCTAAAAATAAAATATATTAGCATAACGTGACTGTGTATACAGCAAATCAATATTAAATTGGAGTATTGACTTACTTAAATGCTACTTGTGCGACCTGATCATTATTTCTCAATGTTCGCCACAAAGCTTGCATTAATTCTGCTCTCACTGGCTGTATATGCTCATACAAGAAATCATGTTGTAAATTATCAACACACAGTTCCAACGTTCTCAATCCCTAGAAATAAAAACAAAAATATTAATCCTCACACATTGTAGAAACAAACTACACCTAAATAAATGGGAATACAAGTGAATTTAAAACCCAACATGATCCTGAACAAAGCATTACCTGGCTGATCAAAACATGAGAACCATTTAACGCTGATACTAAGGGATCCATTAGCATAGGTAAATAAGGCAATAAAGAACTTAATCTCACAGGAACAGTTAAACATAACTCGACGAATAAATCTTTCATGTGCTGTTTGTGAAGTCCACTTTGCAATCTGTTAAGACCTGAAAATAAAAATCATGATTTGAAAAATTATAATTTAATTTTAAAATTACAAACAGAGTTTCTCGCCTATAATATAGACAAAAGAGACCGGAATAATAATTTCCGGAAAGTTTTGAATACCATTTTACTCACAATCATATCATTTTAAACCAAAAATAAAAAATATAAAGAGTGTTTCAAAGGTGGCCCAGTTGCTAGGATAGGTAGAACACAGCACAGGGTATTGAAGAAACAAATGTATATACATTTTTTACGATTATGTAGAAAATACTGCCAACATTGTAATGCAATTTTGTACGAAAATGTTTTGGGCTCGGAGTTTTGGAAGCTGGCACATCTAGGGTTGCCAACTTTGTTTTTTAATTTTTCTGGACGATGGTAATTAAAATTCAGGACATTTTATTTTTGCAAAAACAACAAACTTAAATAAACAATTCGACAAATAAAAACGAAGTGATAAAAACAAGGATTGTTTGGGTAAATAGAAACTAATGTTCAAACATTTAATTTAAAAAGAACATAAGAAGAATATAAAAAGTTACAGCTATAGCACAAGTAGAAGATGGAAAGGCTTTTGGTAGGTAGAGAGGGGTGTAAACGTCAAACCACGTCGGACGGCTTCAAGAATTTCGGAGTAATGTTTACCTGACCGTGTCGTTTCATAGAATAAGTTATTTTAAATTTTTACCGGCGGAACCGGATATTCGCATGTATTTATGGACTATAAATAATTATTAAACATGTATTATAATATTCAAATCATAATTTTACAAAATTTTAATAGCTATTCACAATTTATTAAACTATTTACTTAAAATTGTTATTAACATTTATAAAATAATTTTGTACGTCAATGTATCGCGTCCATTTCGGTTAGATCCGCCGAAAACTTGTCAATTTATGTGTATAAAGTGGGAGAACTGGCAAAAGCCTTTCCAACTTCTACTTGTGCTATACTTAACAGTGTCAAATGTTTTGCTTTTTGCAGATACTATTAATTTCTTGCTAGCTTTTAAAAAATTATAAAATTCTTTGCAAGAATAAGTATAATTATTCTTTATTTGAAGTTCAGCCTTGATGTGCTCAATGAACAAGCGATTACGCGCCTCACGCCACGAAGTTTAACATATTGAAAATATTCTTTTAGTCACCATTGGACCGAAATATTAAAAATATAAATTACAAAATAAGCGACGATGCCAATGTGACCATAAAATATAAGAAATTGGAGATATTATTTGAAACACTAAAATTAAGTACAATAAGCGTCCTGCTATGGGTTGTTGCAGGACACTGGATAATACACCCCAAATGGTGAACGTCCATCGAAATGCAGGACGGTTGGCAACCCTAGACACATCGCATAAATTTGTACATGGTTTGTACGGAGTAGTTTTAATCATAACTTTTTTGAGGTTAAATTTTACACCAAAAAGTTACTATTGGTACATTTAAAGATTGCCTGACATTTTATAACTAGTTAATTATTTTTAAAGTGTGAAATAAAAAAATAAAAAAAAATTGTCAATTAGCCGCAAACCATGACTGGTAAAACTGGAAATCGGCCATTTTAATTAAGTATAAGAATCAATTCAAAATTATGTAAGTATGTTTGTTCAAAATTTTTATCCAAATCGCTTAATAAATAAAAGACCCTAATCTCATTGTCAACCTGGTATACAGTATGTCTATGTAAGTTGGCTACATATGAAACTTTTTTATTATTAGTTTAATAAAAAAAAATGTATTCGGCATGGAAAATTGATGTTTGTTTACTTTAAAACAACAGTATATTTATTAATAATTTATTTAAAACACTTATTTATTTTATAACACAACTATTCTAATTTATATATACTTTGAATGTCTTTAAACTGATCACTATTTATATTCACCACTGTCTATCTACTAATTACTATTTATCTTCACTGTCCATATAACAACTGATTCTGATGGCTCATCCACCAATATTTATATACAAACTTAAAAAATTTGCGGACGTTCTAGTAAGTTCACATATTCTCTCCAATACACTAGAAACATAAAATATAACCACCAGATATCAAATTTTATGAGTCGTATACGAGGTGTGTTAAAAAATGATTTTTGCTAAAGAGTAAAGTACCTTTATTTTTGACAAACCTGATAAAATTTGATAATAAATGATTGAATTTTAAGTTTTAAGTCATGAATAACTTTTTATGAAGAATAAATTTTTTCCTAAAATTAATAATAAAAAAGTTTTCCATAAGCCACTAGCTTGCGTAGAAAGTTGGCAGCATCTACTTTAACACCCTGTAAGCTTTTTACTATCGTTTTTTCATAAGTTAGCTTAAATCGACTTATTCTCGACCCCACAAACTGTGTTTAAATTTACTATACATCTTTTTATTACACCCTGTACACAAACAGTATAAGAGTGGTTAAAAGAAAGGCCATCAAAAAAAATATTGTTTTAAAAAACTGACAAACACATGTTTCAAAAATTAAGGTAGACACTTCGTTATTTAATATTTCGTTATTTAATATTCAAAATGTTTTCCCATTTTTTTAAATAAAACTTTCAGTTTAACCAGAAATTGGATGTTGCGACATCTTGTGAACTTTATAAAATAAATTCTTAGCTTTTGTAAGAGTCAAAATTATGGAAGAAAAATCTGGTTGTACCAAATATAAAGGATGGAAATACGAATTTAAAAGGCTCCTTACTTCTCACGAAAGAGTCAATTATTTTAGACTTTTCAAATAATATCGGAAGTTTAGTACTTTAGAGAAGGTCATGGTACAATTCACACTTGCCTTTTTCTTTTTAAGTGTCAGTTTGGATTTAATTCAGACCTGTTAAAATGCTGCCAGTGGGAACTGCCAGTTTACATGTGGCAACCCTGTGGGCTTGTCGAAATTGACAGGGTCAATGTTACATATATAGTTATATAGATTGCTTAAACAGGTCATCTGCGAGCGGTCATATTGCCTGGCAAGTGTCCATTAACGTGAATCGGTTTAGCAAAAATGTGCTTTGAAACCAATTTCCAGCCTTTAAATATATTAAAATAAATAATTACCTACATTTTTAACCGACTTCAAAAAAGAAAGGTCATCAATTCGTCGCGATATTTTTTTTTATGTATGTTCAGCGATTATTCTTTAACACGGTGACCGATTTCAATGATTCTTTTTTTGTTAGAAAGGGGGTACTTCAGGGGTGGTCCCATATAAATTTGGTCATAATCTAATAATTGGGTCCATGAGAAATTCCTCAAACTCTTCATTTTTCATATATGTTTAGCGATAATGCTTTACCACCTTGTCCTATTTATATGATTCTTTTTTTGTTAGTAAGGGGGTACCTCAGGGGTGGCCACATATAAATTTGGATAAGATGTGGTGACGGCATCTGCACGTTTTTGAAGTCGGTTTTTTTAAATTTTTAATTTAGATCACTTGTTTATGTATGTTTAGCGATAATGCTTTACCACCTTGTCCGATTTATATGATTCGTTTTTTGTTAGTAAGGGGGTACCTCAGGGGTGGTCCCATATAAATTTGTTTAAGATGTGGTGATGGCATCTGCACGTTTTTGAAGTCGGTTTTTTTTAAATTTTTAATTTCTAATACTTGTTACTACAAGGCATAAGCTTATGTTTATTTTTAAAAACATTGTGACCAATCTATATAACTAGCTATATCATTGAACCTGTCAAATCACCAGGACCACAGTGTTGCCATATCATAACCTATCATGTGCCTGTCATTACCTGCGGGCAGGCATTTTGTTTGGAATGCCCAATTGACAGAATTTGTGAAACCAATTAGCACATACTTTGATTTTCTTTTACTATACGGAGAATGGTCGCACTGCGCAGCTTTCTGAGTGCCTTTTAAAAGGAGATAGAAAACTCCGCCATTTTGAACCCTTATTACGTGTTGCCTACATCTTGGCGCAATATTTTTAATAGGTGCGTTTTAATCATCCGCTTCTGCTTAGGAATTGTCGGTTTTCTTGTTTTAATCTGACAGGTTAAAAAGGCTAAACCGACAATTCCGGAAGCAGAAGCGGATGATTAAAACGCACCTGATATTTTGCTTGCTGCTGTCAGTGTCAGTGAATATTATTTTTGGAGTCACAGTTTATTGCTAAAGAATCAGTTAGCTCACTCGGACCAGTTGAAAGTTCCAAAATAACATCCACTCCAGGGATATAAATCCAGGATACGCAGAAGACTGCTGTTTTATTATAGGCTGTTGTCATATATTGTATTATCCAAGTTGCGCAGTGTATAAACTGGAACATTGAGATCAAAAGTGCCGACGCAGAGTGAGCGATCTGATTCTTTAGCTATAAACTGTGTCATAGGAATCAAAATGGCCGCGCCCTATGTTGGGCGTGTCGGACCTCTCTCTTGCCCCGTATAGTAATCAAAGTATGTGCCAATTAGGCATTCCAACGACCTGTTCAAATGGCTACCAGTGGGGACTGACAGTTTAGATATGATAACCCTGTTGTCATTAACAGGGCCAATGATACATTATATAGTTATATAGATTGCTCGAAGCTGGTCGTTTGCTAGCGGCCATATTGCCTGGCAAATATTTATTAATTTGAATCGGTTTAGCAAAAATGTGTTTTAAAACCAATTTTTAGCCTTTAGATAATAAAAAAAAAAAATAATTGCTTACATTTTTACTTCATGTTTATTTTGAAAAATATGGATGATCAATCTAAGTAACTATTTCATTGACCTTGTCAAATCACCAGACTTACAGGGTTGCCATAATTTTGCCATATCATAACATGTCAAAACCCACTGGTAGCCATTGAGTTTGGAATGCCTAATTCTTAAAAAATTGGCTGTTGAATTGTATTGCAGAATAATTATATATAGTTGGTCAATGTATGATATTACCATTTGTTATTTTTTAGTGAAATTTCTTGAAATTTACAGTGGCCTAATATTTAAAATGAAGAGGTTTCCTGACGATTCAAAAGTATTGATTTTAAATTTTAAATGTAGTAAAATATTTTAAAGGTGAACTTAGTTTAAACTGTGAACATCGTTGTATAATCATCAGTTATTCTTACACATAGTTTTAATAATGACATTTGTACGTTGAATATAACCAGTTAAAAATTAAACTTCTGTTAGCTAAACAAACTGATTTTGCAGCACTCTTTGTTTAACAGGCCCTTAGCATTAAAATATTTTGGCAACTTCTCGACATTAAAAATGCACCTACGTTTAATAAAAACAATTTTGAAAATTCCAATAAAGTAATAAAAACTATAATATTCGATGAATATATCTGCACAAATTTAGACAATTTCCATTTTTGTAAAATATATTTCAAATACACTGAACTAGTTTCAACCTCAAAAACGAAAATACCTTACCTTCAAGTAAATTTGGCAACAAAGGTAAAAATTCTTGATACAATAAGTCGTGACTACCGCCACCAATTGATCTAAATAATGCCCTCAATAGAAGAAAGTAATTATAGGGTTCCATTGCACTCATAGCTAATTCCATAGACCTAAAAAGAAATGTGAAAAATAAAACTTATTTTTATTCTAAAATACAATAAAAATTCGTAAACAATTTGTTTAAAATTCCAAGTTTATTAATAAACCATTTATTTCTTATTTAACAATTTTCTGAGAACGAATTTGAATAAAATAAAGGTTTACCTATTAACAATCTGATGTAAATGAGGTCTTAACATATTTTCATTTTCTTGTGGAAACAACGACACGCTACCGAAAACTAATTTGAATAACCTCAAGTAAAGGTTGCTTCTTTCCAAATTTGAACCCATTTCTTCCATTCTTTCCAAAAGGTATTCCACTAATACTGTCGCAAAAATCGGACTTGTAGTCGGATTAGCTAGAAGAGTATTAGGTACCGTTTGTAAAGTAGGATTTTTGTTGACTCTTTTCACCAAATACTCAATTGTCGTTGAGAAAATCTCGTGGAACGTTTGAGAATTCATCATTGAAAACTAAAACAAATAATCTATTTATGAATATTTCTAATAAATTCGACCTTTTTGTGCACTAAATCTATAAACGTTAATATTTTTTCTTACCACTCCACTGAAATGTTCCAAAACTTCTTTTTCCTCTTTACTCCGCACATTCTGTTGATTCATCCTTTGCGGTAAACCTGCAGGTTGCGGTCCAATATTTAGTGTATAAATATCCAACGCCTGCAACGCCCATTTGACAAGTCGAACGAATACAAGGGTCTCATTTGGAGCAAAATGTTTGGCTGGCACCGCCGCTTGAGCTGTACTACTAGTCTTACATGCAGAACATCCCCACGTTATGGTTTTCACGCCGCATACTAAAGTTTTTACCAGACTTCGGTAATCGGCAACGTTGCAGTTGTTGTTTTGTGGAAAACCGAACTTTGATTTTTCTTCTTTGGGCTGCGAGCCTTGCGCATTTGCAAGGACGGATTCTAGAAGTTCAGCAGGATTCGGTTTAACATCGGGGGCATCTGTTTTTTCTTGCACTGTTTGGGATTGCGGTTGTTGTGTTGTTTGGGCTTCTTGCTTGCGTTGCTCGCTAAAATTAAAATAGAATTGAGTTTCTGAAGAACATTGACATTATTTATTTAATAGATTTACTTACCATTTACTAATAAGTATTGGCAATTGGATTTTGGCTATAGTTTTAAATTTTAAAACAAAAACTTCCAACATTCGCATTAGTAACTCTCTTCCTTCTGTGCTGTTTTCTGCCTCCGATCTTATCCTTATACAGTCTACCAAATTAAGAAGTAACTTGCATGACATTGTTTGTATACTAAAAAATATAAATAGACTTTTAGTTAAACAGTGATAACTAGAGAAACATAAATATGTACTAAATTTTTAACAAAACAATCTCTTTAAAGAAGTCACAAAATTTTCCTATCTTTTAATAGTAAAAATCTTTAGTTCAAGTTAATTTCTGCCTGTTAGCGTTCTCAAGAATCTTAATAATTCCCGTTTTTGAACATTTTCGAGAGCCCCCGTAGTTCAAAATATATAATTATTTACTGAAATTCGAATACAGCTTTAAACTTTAAAATTCAGGTAAATTATCTGGTCATTTTCGCAAATATCAAAAGGACATTATTTTCAGTTCTCTGATTTAAAAATATTGGCTACTCCTAGTGTCAGATCCGGCCGTCGGATTAGGCCCTCGAAAACAACAAAGAACCAAAAATGAAGAACACCCATAATGCGTGCATGGTATCCTTGGAAAAATCATCTGTTGATCCACTGTCGAAGTGGTCAATCGCAGCTAAGTGAAGCGGGCCTTCCGAAAATCGAATATTTTAGTTTTATAACCTATTGACCAGGGGCGGCTCGTGACCAAAATTTTGGGGTTTCACAGTAGCAAAATATAGATCCCGGTACATTTATAGGTAAAAAACTGTCAATGTTTTAGAAAGGTATATTATAAACTTTCTAAAACACTGGAAGTTTTTTTATACATCTGTACTGATACCTATATTCTGTCACTGTGAACCACCCCACGAGCCGCCACTGCTATTGACCATGTTTGACCACCCAGTAAAGTTTTTTGACCACCTTCAGAAACATAAATATTAAAAAAATTTAAAGACAGAGTGCACGCTAGCCCCCGACATTATATTTTTCAAATATGCATATGCACCTTTGGATTGATTCAAAGAGGTTTAGAATTAAATTTCGACGTTCATCAACCCCTAAAATAATTATAATAAGCCCAAATCCCAGTATAATTAACGATACAGTAGCAGCAGTTGGGTCGGCTCCGATATTCAATCGACAAGAATGGACAATAAAAATTCAAAGAGGTTAAGAATTAAATTTCGACGGTTCATCAATCCCTAAAATAATTATAATAAGCCCAAAGCCCAGTAAAATTAACAATACAGTAGCGACAGTTGGGTCGGTTCCTTTGGTATCGGAGTGGTCAGATTTTTATTGGCATTTGACGTTTTTGCCGCTTATTTCTACACTGAGAAAAGTAACTTCGAAATATCTTGTCTCTTTATCTGTTTGAATAAAATATCACACAATAAATGGAAGAACAAAACCATAGTTTATAGCTAAAGAATCAGTTCGCTCACTCTGCCTCGGCACTTTTGATCTCAATGTTCCAGTAAATACACTGCGCAACTCGGATTTGTATCCCTGGCGCATACATAATCAAATCATAACCAATTCAACATATGAAAACCGCCTATATTCAAACAGCAGTCTTCTGCGCATTCTGAATTTGTATCCCTGGAGTAGATGTTATTTTGGAACATCCAATTGGTCCGAGTGAGCTAACTGATTCTTTAACAATAAACTATGACAAAACTAAGTCTAAATATAATAATAATAATAATAATAATATATTAAAGTGTGAATTACAACCAATCAAAACAATGAATAACCATTAATCTATTGACAATCAACATATGCCAGTTTGACGTATTTGCCGCTTATTTACGGACATGTGCAGAAAAATATGGACCCCTCATAAACATAGAACTGTCGCAACTGTATTACTTATACTGTGCCCAAAAAGTTTGAAAGTTCGAAAAATACAATTTTTCTACAATTACTATCCAAAGTAGGCTTTTGCGCTTTAAAATCCAACTGCAAAGTTGACATTTTCCACGAACTAACATTAAGTGACAGCTTTGTCTTGACAGCTTTGTTGTTCGATTTAAATTAGTTATAATAATTTATAAGTTTTATAAGTTATTTGTAAGTAGTTACATGTTTTTTTGTTATAATATCCAAAATAACATGGACTTTAAAAATCAACTGCTTTTTTCATGATTAAAGTAGGTATAGGTAACACATGATACACTACTTACGTGTAAAAATTCGAAAAATACTGTTACTAACCTCTACTTATCCTACAAATGTTTATAACTCTTGTACCTATATAAAATTTTAATAAAATCTACAATATAATTTTAAGAAATATGTCATTAATAGCAAACTGTCTGTGGAAAACAGTATTTTTTCGCTAGAACATTATTTTTTTTTATTAATAGGTGGGCCTTTCTCCTTTCCGGACCGGTAGACCCTAGAGGTTGGCTACTCCCACTCCGAACTAGTCCGAGCATAAAGTATAAAAGCGGGCTCCCCGAGAATTATTTCTCTTTTCCCGTTGCTCTGTTTCTAGTGCCGAAATAATTGCGTCGTTTTTTTGTCGCCGCCTGTGCTAACCTGCGAACTTAGATTAAAGATACTAAAGATGTAACATACACCTGTGTTTAACCTGCGCGAATGTTGCAAATTTCTAAAGAAAGATTAACGGAGTCGGGGATCTGGGAGGAGACCCGAACTCTGTGGCAGGGATGGTCTTGGTTTATTAGCATCATAATGAACTCTGATTTATTTAAAATATGTTTAATGGAATGTTGTATTATGAAAAAAAATTAACGTGATTTTTTTCTTATCAAACAGATGCAATGACATTTTATGTAAATATAAGACAAAAGTTATTTTATATAATATTTCGTTAGAATTTATTGTTGAAATAGAATATTATTAAGCAAGCAAGGAATGGTACTCATTGCCTACGAGTATTATAATGGCAGTTTGTGATGCAGGCGAATACTGTAAATCAAACCACTAGGAAATGAGCCATCCTTGCGAGTTAAACATTATGTTTTTTACGTCTATTACATAAAATTAAAAATTAGCCAAAATGAGAAAATGCTGTTTTATATTGTAACCCCAGAAAAAGGTATATTAAAAGCTTTTTTCTTTAGGAATACTAAATACATCCTTTATATTTAGTATCACATGAAACTCTAGAAAAGCATATTTCTGAAACCAGATAAAATTTTAAAATTTTAAGCTAATTAATTCGGTCGCTATGGGTGGGCGATTAACGAAATAAATTATCGATTAAAGAACTAAATTATCGATTATTGAACATAAATGATCGATTATTGAAAATAATCGATTATTTTCAAATAATCTATTTTTTCTTATTTCCTTTAAAATCGATTATTCGATTATCTAGGAAAAATCGAAAATAATCGATTAACCAATAAATCGATTTTTCTATAAAAATAACCGAATTATTGATTATTTTAAAGATTCGAATTTTTTCGATCAATCGCTTATTTTCAAATAATCTATTTTTTTCGTATTTCCTTTAAAAAATATTTATCGAAAACAATCGATTCATGAAATTATTCAATTATCTTTGAAAAATCGAAAATATTTGATTAATTAAAAAGCGTATAAACCGGTAAATCGATAAAAAAATAATAATTTCATCAATTATTTTAAATTACCCATTTTTTGTATTTCATTTAAATCGATTATTCGATTATCTTTGAAAAATCGAAAACAATCGATTAATTAAAAACCGATAAATTGATTTTTCTAAAAAAAATAACTGAATAACCGATTACTTTTAAATAATCTGTTTTTTTGTATCTTTTAAAATCGATTATTCGATTATCTTTGAAAAATCGAAAATAATCGATTAATTAAAAAGTAGATTAACCGATAAATCGATTTTTCAAAAAAAAATCCGTATTAATGATTATATTAAATATGTAATTTAGTTTTTTCGTATTTCCATTAAATCGATTATTCGATTATTTTTGAAAAATTGAATATAATCGATTAATTAAAAACCGATAAATTGATTTTTCTCAAAAAAAAAAAAAAAAAAAAACTGAAATAGATTACTTTTAAATAATAATTTTTTCCGTATTTCTTTTAAAACTGATTATTCGAAAATAATTGATTAATTAAAAATCGTATAAACCGATAAATCGATAAAAAAATAATCATTTCATCAATTATTTTAAATTATCCATTTTTTGTATTTCCTTAAAATCGATTATTCGATTATCTTTGAAAAATCGAAAACAATCGATTAATTAAAAACCGATAAATTGATTTTTCTAAAAAATATAACTGAATAATCGATTACTTTTAAATAATCTGTTTTTTGCAACTTTTAAAATCTATTATTCGATTATCTTTGAAAAATCGAAAATAATCGATTAATTAAAAAGTAGATTAACCGATAAATCGATTTTTCAAAAAAAAATCCGTATTAATGATTATATTAAATATGTAATTTAGTTTTTTCGTATTTCCATTAAATCGATTATTCGATTATTTTTGAAAAATTGAATATAATCGATTAATTAAAAACCGATAAATTGATTTTTCTCAAAAAAAAACTGAAATAGATTACTTTTAAATAATAATTTTTTCCGTATTTCTTTTAAAACTGATTATTCGAAAATAATCGATTAATGAAATTATTCAATTATCTTTGAAAAATCGAAAATAATTGATTAATTAAAAATCGTATAAACCGGTAAATCGATAAAAAAATAATCATTTCATCAATTATTTTAAATTACCCATTTTTTGTATTTCCTTAAAATCGATTATCTTTGAAAAATCGAAAACAATCGATTAATTAAAAACCGATAAATTGATTTTTCTAAAAAATATAACTGAATAATCGATTACTTTTAAATAATCTGTTTTTTGTAACTTTTAAAATCTATTATTCGATTTTTCAAAAAAAAATCCGTATTAATGATTATATTAAATAATTTAATTAAATCGATTATTCGATTATATTTGAAAAATTGAATATAATCGATTAATTAAAAACCGATAAATTGATTGTTCTTAAAAAAAAAATAAAATAACTGAAATAGATTACTTTTAAATAATAATGTTTATGGTTCAGGCAAAGAATACATACCCAAGAAGCGAAACTGAATGAGTTTTTCTATGTACCAAAGTAGCAGCGACCTTGACGTAAATGGGAACTTAATACACTGGGAAACGTATAATTCCAATCAATTTTTGTTGTTTGGTTCATGAGAATTAAACACATATTAAAGTTAAAATGACGGAAAATTCTTACTATGTTCAATAGATAATGTTAATAATAATAATAATAATAATTTTAGTAATAAGTACTGTAGGTAGCTGAGAATGTATTTTGATTGCATGATCCTGATAGCAGCGACTTGGTTCCTCAGAGTGAGTCTGTCATATATATTACTGTTTTAATCCTTACTATAAAATTGTTTATATGTATATTATTTAATGGATTAAATCGATCACAGTCCGTATGGTTTGAAAAACAAAATAGTGATTTAATTTTTGGAAATAGTCGAAAAATCTGGGGGTACTTTGTAGAAGGTTGTTTTTCTACTTTATGGAATATATCTGATATTTACGCTTGGAGAAGAAAATTCTTTAAATAAAAATTGCTTGTAATTTTATTCTCTATAATTTTTGTCATTTAAAATGGTCCGTATTCGAGAAATTTGACAAAAAAGCAAGATTCTAATTTTTGGAATTGAAAAATGTATTTCTTATTTAGTTCATCCTTAGATTATTTTGATCAATAAGCAATAAGAAACATAGCAATAAAAAAATGTCTAGGCATCCTCAGACGTACCAAAAACCAGGATTGACAGGTGGGTAATTTCACATTAAAGCGACATATACATGTCTTTCTAATTTTTTCAAATATATAATTATTTTATATCTTTAAAATGATATCAACTACGAGAAATGAATTACTATCTTTAAAGAACAATAAGTTTTGTTTCCAAAGAAGCAAGATTATTTTGAAAAATTTCCCTGACACGTCCTCAAGCCATTCATATCTTAAAAAAGGTCATAATATAAAAGTTATTTAAAATTACATTATCAACATTATAATACAGTTTTATCCAAGTATTTTCCATGTGCCAAGGCCCTTAAAAGCGCAAAAAAATTATTTATTTCGAAAATATAATAAATATTTAAATTGTCCTCAATGTCTTATGTAATTCAATTTGAGCTGTGTCCAGGCCGTTGGAGTCTATGCTGGTCGGCGTAGCCAGATATGGGTTATTGTTTTTTGGTGGCGGCGAAGCCACTTTACGATTTATCGTAGGGTGGCGGCTACGATAAGTCCTTGCTTTTTTTCTTGTTGCATATTTATGGACCGGTATGGGCAATCACAATTTTCCATTAACTACTAATTTTATCACAATCTGGCAACGTTGCAATTATATTTTCCAAATTTGACATTACGAGTGTGGAAAGTGACATTTTTCACACAAGTGGGAAATATTGTCGCACGAGGCACAAGCTGAGTGCGACTATCACACGAGTGTGGAAAATCACTTTTCACACAAATGATGTACAATATTTTTTCTACGACCACAAAATAATGACATCAAAAAATGTAAAACCAGGTTATTATTACTATAATAATTAAAATGTATTTAAAAAAATAATCAACAATAATCGTATTTATTCAATTTTCACACTTTCTACACAAAAAAAATACTAAAAATAAAAAAAGAACCAAAAAAAAATTCTGGCCCCGCCAAGATTTGAACGCGGTCGCTCGCCAAGTCTCAAATGGCAAAGTTAATAAATTCGACGTTCTAACCATCTGAGCTAATAGCACTTACGTCAATTGAATGATCTAATCGGTTATCCATTTAACCAGAATAAAAAGCAAACATATCTTAGTTATTTTAAAATTATTTTAATAATAATTGTTAAAGATAAATATCTAGGATCTAATTTACAACAATTTCAATAATTTAACAATCATATCGATTTTAGTATTAATATGGACATTACATAGATCAAAATAGAAATATGTTTAACATTTTCTGACAGTTACTGCGGAAAGTAGCATATTCGTACACGGGTGGAAAGTAAATTCTTATTCATACGCGTGTGATATAGGGCACTTTCCATAGTGTGTCATTATCCTAAGTGGTCGTAGGAAAATATCATAGCTTCGTTTGCATTTGGAGAATACTGTGGGTACAGCATTGTCAAATAATCGTCTTCTATAAGATGTACTGTTTGAAAAATATTTTTCTTCAAAATGTTGTTCACATATTCTATATGAAGATAAGCCACTAGGAACTGTGAAATTTAAATCTTCACGATTACAAGCTTTTAACCAGAGTTGAGCTCTACAAAATTATATTTATTAATACTTAATTTTTCTAAATAAATTTGAACAGTAACATTTCAGTACATACCTTATGGCATCTCCTGTGAATTTAAACATTGTTAGCCCTTGTTCTGAAGTTGTAACACAACCACGAACAACGCAATGTATTTTTTTCATTGTAATAAAAACCTTTAAACTATCTAATATATAATTACTACTTTTAAATAAACCTACTGAAATTTTCTCAAAACGCTAAGAATAATATACCAAACGTCATACACTACATGAACTGACAACTATATTTGACGTTAAACTACCTCTAAAACACTGAGAAAACTTGGCAATTTTTTGTCCACGAATCGCCCATTTAGTGTCGCTTCTTGGGTAGGTATTCTTTGGTTCAGGGAAAACCCTGGAAACTGAGATAGTGAAAGAAGCCTACTAAGCTATTGTTTTAGTTGACACATCAAACTAGTTTAAATTTTGGATTAAAACATACTCTTCATTAAATCGTTTTTTCTAGAAAACGAATGAAAATATCGAAAATGAACAAGAATTTCAGATTTTAAAACCGATTTATCATTAGATAATACAGACTGAAAAGTTATGATCTAATTTATCATAGCGACAGGTTGTAAGTAGCGCCCTCTAAGAGCAACATAAGAAATATTAACATAATTATTACTATCGAACGAAAAACCGCAAAGCTGACAATTTTCAAGTCGATAGTCTAATAAACACGATGATAATAGTAAAAAAAGCAAATAAAATTATAACTTTGAACTCCCTGTATTTCCTAAACCATTAACATTTGGATAAGGCATGTTTGGGCCAATCATCATTATTTAACGCGTAGTATCTCCAGTTAACGGGTGTCCCATTGTTAATGAAACATCCTGTATAATAAATATTGCAAAAATATACATTTTTTTGTAAACAGATTGTTTTAGAGTTGTTTAGGGTTTTATAATGCAACATTTTATTAACAATGTGACTAACTCCTGTAACTTTAGTATTTATTTGTTTTTAAGAATTAAGGTTCAAATTTCGTTTCTGATTTGACCGGAAATAATATGAACTCTGAAATTTCAAGTAGGCCATTCTCAGTGGCGTATTCAGAAATTTTTCATGGCAGGGGTTTCTGAGAACTATGTGGGGGGGCTCCATCAACAAAGTGAAATATTTTAGATAAGATTGTACCCCCGTGGCTAAAAATATAATTTCGTTAGCAATTATGATTTTTTACTTCTTATTTGTGTGCCAGAAAGGGCTAAAAACTATTTTTAGTAAATATTCTTATAAGACTAGTTTTTAAAAACAAAATTTCGTTGGCAACAATGCCTGTCTACTTCTTATTTACATATTTTGTCCTTTCTTAAAGTACTATGAAATCTGTTTCAATCTAAAGTATTCAGCCCAAAGGAGCATTGCGGCTTCAAGCCAATACATTAATAAATATTGACCAGTGAAAACGAATATATTTCTTATCTTTCATAACATTGGCATTTATATTATAAGTATATACAATTTTTCACCGTACAGATATTTTCAACTTGAAATGGCGAATAGCACAATAATTGTAAACTAATACTTACGTTGTGGCTAAACTATCATCATGAACATTTTTACTAAACAGATGCACCGCTCTTTTTAAATCCGCCAGTGGTAGTTGTTGTCTAACATGGTGAACTAAATCGGCTAATGTCGAGTATGCTAAAGGTCTTAAAGATTCATGAGTAGTCCAACCTCTACCCAATAGTACATCTTCGTCAAAGAGCCTTTCCATATGTGGGACAAATTCTAAAAATTATATTACTCTTTATCGTCAAAAACCAATGAAATTAAGCCTGTATAATTTTCAATGCAAAATCCTGTTTAACAAATTAAAGAAAATATTTGACAATTCAAAGCTATTTACCGTATAAATACAAGAAATTATTAATTTAGTCACTATAGTGCGGGCCACACTTAGAATGCAGTGTGAAGTCTTATAAAGCGCATCGTTGCCAACCATTGCTATGCTGGGATTGGCCAACAATTAGGTTAGATTCTAATGGGAAACGGCACCACAGGGTACTGGTTTCCCATTAGAAATAGATTGCCTATGTCATCGTCAAACTGCATTCTCAGTGTGTGCTTGTAGCATTGAAAACCTACTAATTAGTTCTTAACATGAGAATTAAAACCTAAAAAATTGTGTCAAGTCAAAAAAATCTCACTTACTGTTTCTTAATTCTGTAGCCAAAATGTGTCTGGCAGCAATCAGAAGTTCTCTTCTAAGATGAGCTACTTCCATCGGACAGAGTGTCAGCAGACCTAACATACCTTGTACCATCATCGTTGAATGATTCTGTACGACTTCTTGGTAAATTTTGATAATATAGGCCAGAAAAGACAGAGTCTTAATTTGAGCCCCCATAAAGTCGACGAAAATTTCTTTATTAAATGATTCGGCTTGTCTTTGTTTCAGCGTAGGTTGCAATGTTATAGTGTTCATAATAAGAGGAATAAAATCACTTACATCTTGATGAACACTTTGCTTATATAATTGATACATTAGAACTACTATAATTGGTAATTCTTGGAGAACTTTTAGTGATAGAACAGCCTTTGGTATTAAATAGTACTAAAACATAATCATTAACTTTAGAATTTAACAACTTTGTTGAAATTTTAAAAACTTACTGCAATTAATGTTCCATCCTCGTTCCTATCTTCTGTTTGTATTACAGTCATGGTAAAAGTTTCCTTAAGTAATTCTTCAATATTAACTTCTATGAGTTCCTTGACCTTTATAGGCGGTTTTGGCTCAAAAATCTTATTCATATGATTCGGTAAATTTGAATAAATAGATTTCACGAATTTTAAAAATTTTTGAATCTGCAAATAAAAGTATAACAAAATTAAATAGTCACTTAAATGTACTATTGTACGCAATTGTGGAAATGTGAAAATATAATCCTCAATTACCCCTACGAATTTAAGAAATGTATCCCCACATCCCCAAAGTGAAAACAAACAAAAGAAAAATTGAAAAGCTGAGAAATAAAAAGAAAAAATAAGTATGACAGATTTTTTTTCACCTTCCTTTCTTATTCCACGTTTACGGCGTTCGTACATGAAAACTTAACACTGACAAATGAAAGAAGAACCTTAGAATGTATTCTAGTACAAGCTAAGCTTGGCGACCTTCAACGATGTTGCAAGGGTGGCTTTAAGAAGAATTGATAGAGCTGGGGAGAGAGGAGAATGTTTATACAGAAAAAAGTCGGAATCTGATTAGGTCAAATTTATAAATTTGACTATCGAGGGAGGGGTTGTATGTAGTATAGCCATTGCTTTGTAGCTTAGATTGCTTGCTTGTCCGCTTGTAGGTAACTCTTTCTGCATGCCAATGGAGAAATGCAATCATCGAGTGTCTGCCTCCTTGTAGCACCGCTGGATACGTTAATATTGCTGCTCTAAGAACAGCACTATTAACTAACTAAATGGCACTCCATCGATACCCCCAAGCCAAGATGTAAGGCAACGTGCTGAAGGCAGAATGGCCGCTGGGAAAGCGGTTTCGAATGTTCCTCTGGGGGCACCTGGCGAAACCCTCTTGTATCCAGCCTTGCCGGCACATGCGGGGCTCTGCGATGGTCGACTTTTCCCTAGCTGTTCGTGGGATTTACATGGGCAAGAAAGCTAAAGAAAATAAAAACCGGCGGGACTACATCGCCTCTAAATCTGATCAAACGGAGCCTGCCATCTGAAGCAATCAACCTTCCTCAACCTCTCAAGTGAGACAACCTCACAAGAGAGAAGTGGGAGAACAAAAGAAAGAGGCGAAGGGAGAAGAGAAGAGGAGCACCATCGCTCCATCTTCTCCATCCCCCTCTCACGAGGGAAGCTCCCCTCAAAAAAGAATCCAAACGGAAGCTACCTTCCCTACCTCCACTGGGACAACCTGGTGGAAGGGACGACCCACTGAGGCATGGACTCAGTGGGACAGGGGTTCGGTGATATCTTCGCTACCTCGTTCAGGGCATGACACCGGAGGAAGCGAAAAAGCTATGGAGCAAAAATCCCAGGGAGAGGGAAGTAAAACCAATCCTAAGGATCTGAAAAGAAAGCGGGACGGGAATAACACCACACCACCGCAAAGGAAAGTGGCCGATACCTCTGCTTCTGGCAGTTATGCAACTGTCGTCAAGACGGAGCGGGTCGCGATCCTACCTAAGGGGTTCCCTGAGACCGTCATCAGTGCGAACGAGCAAACCTTGGTGGAAGAAGCCATAACAGAAAAGATGTTCTCTGGATGGGAGCATAAGCTCCAATTCGGAGGCATCCACTTCCGGCCAGGAATGGTCTTAATCGACTGTGAAACCCCACAGTCAGCAGAATGGCTCATGGCAAAAATTCCACACCTGAGCAACTGGAAGGGAGTGGAGTTGGAGGTATGAGCCGGGGACGACATCCCAAAAGCACATACAGCCACGTTCTTTCTCCCAAGAAGTCAAGGGCAGCCTGTAGAGAAGCTTCTACCGTTAATAGAAGCGCAGAATGTAGGGCTATCGACCACACTGTGGAAAATCGTCAGCCAAAAAGACGAGGGCAAAGGCCAGATCCTTAGGTTAGGAATAGATGACAAATCCTGCCAACGGATCAAGGATAATGGATGCACTATCCACTATCGATTCGGGAATATCCCCGTACACGGCCTTCAAAAGAAAGAGGAAATAAAGGAACTGGGAGAAGAAATAGAACCAACTCCTAGTACTTCCAAAGATGAGGCTGATGTGGAGAGCATAGAGAGCCTTAACCTCTCAAATATCTGCGTTGACTCAGGTAAGAGGACTTGCATGTAAGGATGCAAGGGTAATTTATTACACTAGTGATGAAGTACCCAGAACATGCATAATGGTAAGAAGTAATATTAAATATTCTTGTCTTTCAGAATTCATGACACGTGATCTTTTTGTTTCAATGTGTGAAGGTGGGGTTTCTAGTATTTTAAAATTTTTAAACGGTTTGTAATCGTACCCATGTGTTTTTTAATGTTTTTAAATTTTGACTGCACCCGAAGATGGAAACAAAGTTTTCCGAAACATATATAGTGCGGTGCTAACGATATTAAATAAAATTTATGACGAATACACCAAGGAAATTTTTATTTTTATAAAATCTAGAGTTGTAGGTGTTTACAGTTCCAGAAACTAAGGATTCGTAGCAAAACCTAAATCGAAAGGATCTAGTACCATGGGCGTTACTTGGGATTTTTCTGTTCTTGCTCAGCTTTTTAAATTTTTCTTTGGTTTGTTTTCACTTTTGGGGAACTGGGGATACATTTCTTTATTTCGTAGGAGAAAATGAGGATTATATTTTCACATTTCCAAAATTGTATATTTACTTTTCGGGCCTATAATCGATTTTATCACCTTCTTCCTCGCACTCTAGTATGTTTGAGGGCATTCGAGTATTACGTAAACAAACTTTCAATGATTTTAGAACACCGAAGTAAATATAAGGAAATATGATAAGACGTAAGAATTTTTTCAAAAATATGATTATTAAAAATTAAAATTTACTTCTTTATATCAGTTTAATATCGTAGTATGTCTGGGGTTCCCCGAATTAAACATCGGCACATTTAAAAAGACTAGACTACTATACTTAGCGCTATGTCAAATCTCTGAACATTCATTTATTTATTATAAAAAATATGAAAAAAAATTCAGTATGACCATAATCAAAATGGTACCTATTATTAATTTAAATTAAAAATATTATTTTGAAAGTATTTTCATTATTTGCTAGCAAAAATAAAGAAACTTGAACCTCCCGCCCCATAGACCTGCTTATGTAGTACTTTAATGACCCTGTTTTTAATATAACCCGAAAACTATTATTATAAGCAATTAAAATATTCTAATTAAAATTATGTTACTAAGAAAAATTACGAATGATTTTCACAAATGATTCAAAGATGAGTATCAACCAAAATATATTATATTCCTTATAAAGGGGATGCTTACATAAAGTTATTTGTATTAAGTTTTTTTTTTTAATAATAACGAAAAGTATTCAAAAAACAAAGCACTAGGTTTGAATATGTTAAATGAATATGATGATGGTGGGTGAGGTTTTCCTCACCTGTAAGTCAAATGACACCATCAATCATCTTTAAGTCGCCCCGGAGCGCCACGGCAAATAATAATAATAGCCGTCCCTGCCCCTACACAAGTCGTTCAGTCGACTTCAGGGGTTGAAATTCACTCGTAAGGGGGTGAATTAGAGAGAGTATTATTATTATTATAGTTACTGCATTATAATTGAAGCTTCTTTCTAAAAGGGCAGTAAAATAGTGTGGCATAGTTAACGAATTAAACCTGTTATTCCAATTAAGTAAAGGTACTGAAATTCGGAAAATTAATTTTTCATTCACTCCTTTTTCCTCTCGACTAAAGTAACATTCCATATTTTTGTACTATGAAGATAAGAATATTGTTCTACATAGGAAGAACAATAGCAATATGATCCTGTTGAAGGAAAATAATTTTTTAAGCTTTTACAAAAATTAATTTGTTTATCAAGTTCCTGAAATACCGTCATGCAAGATATTGCAATGCATTGCACTTTGGTTCTTTTATCATATTGTGTGGTGAACATACTTCCTGTTATCTATAATAATTACAAAAATTTACTTTAAAAAATTATAATAGTTCCGATAAAGAGATGTTTCGTTTCGCTATAATATTAGTTCTTTTTCTTTCTGAAAAATGGGTACACAGCCAAAAAAGTTTGAAAGTTGACCAGTGTCATGAAGTGCGATACACAATTTTCACAAATGATGTACAATTATACTATTCATGTGATGACAGTGTTAAAAGTTGTAGCAAGAGTATTTCTTTCAATGTAGCGTGCCCTACTAGACAAACATGCAATATACCTGGTACAGGTATAAAATTGAGTAAAAAGCCAAAAGACGATATGGTATATGGTTACACTGGTAAATCTGTTTTACAAAATAAATTCTTAATATTACCCTCTGACAACGAATCATGTTTCTACCAGAACGAGCAATGTTATGATTCGGTACTTAGAGCGCATGTAGTTTGGAAATATGAAAAATGCTACAGAAATATCATATTCGAAGGGAAAGTCAACGAAGGAACGATAAACAGACGAGAATTAGATTTAAGATTTATCAGTTTCGAATATGAGAACAAAAATTATAGCCTTCAATTGCTCACAAAACACGAAGAATGCGAAAGTTGGGAAACAGATCAAAGCAACGTATTCGTATCGGTATCTAAAAATGATGAAGATACAGATAAAAAATCGACAAGTTTTATTTTGTCGAAACTAAAACCTGGGAGAATAAATTCCATGATTTTTAAATGTGGTATGAACGGCAGTTATAGTAATAAAGATTTGGTGACATATACGATTATTTCGAGTGCAATTCAGTTGAGTTTATTGATAATAATGTTGATATTAGTTATTATTTTGATTAGAAAGATCTCAAAAAGAAGCAAAAATAATGGAAATAAGACAAACAATTATGATATCAAGAAGCATTTGAATAAAGAAAGTGTTGGTGATGAAAATTATGAAGTTATTGATAATGATATTTATCGTAATGAATAATAAAAATACATAATAATAGCGACTTTTTTTACATAGTCATTAACCGATTAAATTACAAACTGTACATTTTGATATATAATTTTGCAAGTTTATTTTATGGAGCTGATTAAAAATTTATAAAGCTTTAAAGTGTATTGTTTTGTTGGAATTTGAATACATAATAATTTAATAAAATTAAATTTGTATTACAGTAAGTATTCCTTCATTTTTAATATCTGTACGAAACAGGATATTTCCAGTTATATTAAATAATTAGTAAGACCCTAACATTAAAGTCAAAATAGTATTATTAATTTAAATTAAAAATATTATTTTGAAAACATTTATCAGCAAAAATAAGAAAAACTTAAACCACGTTGCCCCCTAAAACCTGCTTACATAATACTTAACCTCCCACAATACAAATTACAAAATACTGATACTATTAAGTCACTACTAACAAAATCGGTAGTGACGGACCTTATTAAAGAATATTCCCTTGTGAAATTCAAGGAAAAATGGGTTGAAACAAGAAACTGCAGAGTTGCCAGGGAATATGCGCCTAGTCACAGGCATTCTGACTGGTCATTGCCAAGTACGAAAGCATCTCCATATCATGGGGCTGTCAGAATCCGCAATCTGCAGAGGGTGCGAATAAAAAGATGATACCATCGATCATATCCTGTACGATTGCTTGACGCTCTCAACTACATCAAATCTGTAGGCTGGCTCACGAGCTAGGAGGTGCCCATCATATTAGGAGGATGCACAATGGGCCTAGTGAGGCCTAAGTACCGTGGGAATAAGCCACCCTCGACACGTTACAGATATAGATACTACTGTCTGTTCGCTATACTTAGGCGGGTTTCGGATTAAAAATGTTATGAGTATTTCCAGGTAAGTACTCGAAAGTTTGACCTGTTCTTTGGGGAAATATCAACTGGTTAAATGAAATGAAAAATAATGTACAACTTTTTAATGAAATAATAATGGAAAATCTTTTGGATAATTGAGAGCAGAATTAAACTTCTTCATTAATGGAGTCTAATGTGGCTATTTCAAAGGTAATAATAATTTTATATTACACTTCACACAAAAAAATATGGTCTATGTATAATAAGAAGGTTATTTAGCTCAAATAAAATATTTTTTAACATAAAAATTTGTTCCATGTAGAGAATTTCAAATGAAAAATAAAAAAAATTGAACTTGCCAACAAAAATGAAAATCAGTCATTATCATCCAAAATATCATAATCGTCATCATCATCACTGTCATCACCATTAATTGTTATTATGATTGGACTTATTTCGTTTATTTTATTTTCACGAGTCCACCAATCTTCTATTAGTTTCTCGCACTTGGATATACAGTTCCGCCACACTTCTGGAGTTGCAATTAAAAGTGTTTTTCGCCAAGTTTCCCGAACTGCGTCGTCACTATAACCATTATGCCCAATATGGTTGTCATAATATTGTTTTGCTATTCCCCATATACAAGGTGTTTCAAAAAGATTGGTAATAAATTATACCACATATTCTTGGGTCAAAAATAGGTCGATTAAACCGTACTTACCTATATACAAAAGTGCACCCAAAAATAGTTACAGGATGTATAAGATAAAAATTTAAATAAATTTTTTTAACATTGCTCTTAAACCGTTTGGCATTTTTTCATAATATTTTATATGACGTGTTAGATTACCATGACTAATAATAACGAGGAAGAGGTAATATTTTTTTCTTGATTTTTATAGGTTTTTGGAGGGGATCATCGCTCTTTTCTCCACTCAACTTTTTTGTAGTATAAAATTTAATTACAAATGAAATGCCACTGGAATGCAACATCCATTTGGAAACTTTTTTGTCTCTTAGTATTTGTTTGTAAAAAAATTAGTTTAGACGATACAGCCATTTAAAATGACAACTTAAAAATATTCAATGGAAATTCTACGTATGAAAAATATCAAAATCAAGTTTATTTTTAAATTACAAACTAATATCATCAAAATAAAAAAAATTAATTTAACAGGTGTTTAAAATTACATTCTCCTCCTACTACATAGTTTTAACAATGAAAATCGAATTTTGATATTTTTGCATACGTATAATTTACATTGAATATTTTTAAGATATCATTTTAAGTGGCTGTATCGTCTATACTAAACATTTTACAAACAAATACTAAGAGACAAAAAAGTTTCCAAATAGTATCGTTCGATTTTTAATAAAATTTTATATTACAAAGAAGTTGAGTACGGAAAAGAGTGGTGGTGACACCCTCCAAAATCCTACAAAAATAAAAAAAATATATTGCCTCTATCTCGATTTTGTTAGTCATGGTATTCCAACACGTCATATAAAATTTCATGAAAAAATGTCAAACGGTTTAAGAGCAATGTTAAAAAAATTCATTTAAATTTTTATCTTATACACCCTGTAACTATTGTTGGGTGCACTTAGGTAAGTACGGTTTAATCGACCTATTTTTGACCCAAGAATATGTGGTATAATTTATTACCAATCTTTTTGAAACATCCTGTATATTCGATGGGATTAAACTGGCAATGATACGGTGGCAGACGTAAAACTTGATGACCGTAACTTTCAATAATCTGATCCACAACAAAAGTTTTTGGTTTGGCGTGTATATTTGCCAAGCGTAATAATTCTGATTTTAATATATATTGAGGAAATGGTATATATTCCTTTGTCAACCATTCTTTAATTTTATCAACAGTCCACGAATTCGTTGGACTTTTGTTTAATACTTCAGAATGGTAAGCTGCATTGTCTAAAATAATTACGCTGGGCTCACTTAAACCTGGGAGAAGTTTTTCACGCAACCATTTTACAAACATTTCTCTGTTCATATTATCGTGATAGTCACTGGATTTTGATTTAGATGAAAATATTAAAACAGCACCTTCTATAAAATCTGATTTCCCTCCTGCATGTAAAATTATGTATCGCTTCCCTTCTCCATCGGTATGTTTGATGGACTTTACGTTATCATCTTGCCATATTCTCTTGGTTGCACCCCTAGAAAATATCTGTGTTTCGTCTAAATATATAAAATTCGCCCCTTCTTCTTTAAATTTAGAATATTTTCTTAGAAAGTTAATTCTCTTGTGCACGACAGAACTTCTTTCACAAAGGGCCTTTCTGTTATCCTCCTTTTGAAATTTGAAACCCAAGTTATGTATCACTGGCCATAGACTTGTTCTGCCAATGTCGTCAAATTTTCTATTAATTCCGAGAGAATTGTATTTAAGGTCACATGTTCCTTGTTGGCCCTAATTCGATAAATGGTATCACGAATTTCCAATTTCTTTCCATCTGGAATATCTTTCGTTTTCAATGATGGGCGAGTTTTGCGGTGATCTTCTTTCGGCAGTTCACTATTGTGATTTTGTAATACTCCTCTTAATTCGGTTTCACTAATTCCTAGAGCATCGCATACGCGTTGTTGTACAGACATTACCGATTTTAAAGGACCGCCATTTTCTTTTTCATCCGTAAAATACTTATGTACACTACAAATTAGACTCTCTATATCTAACACACGTCTAGGCATTTTCAAAATTTCCACTAAATTTACAATATACATACAATGTCAACACTTGCAAAGAATCAATTCAACTGCAATATTTGTAACAAATTTAGTACCTACCCTAATGTTATTTTAATTTAAATCTGACCATTAGGGCAATTTTACCTAATTTCTTGGGAAGAGGCTTATTGGAACTGGTTGTCAATGACTAATTTGCATAATTTTGTTAATCCGAAAGCCGCGTAAGTATAGCGAACAGACTGTATTAAACATTTCAACAACCTGTCAATCAAAAGCTGCCAGTGGGAAAGGCTCGTATATCTAAGGAGATTGCGACGTGTTCCATCTTTTACGCTATTTTTATTCGAAATAGTAGTCGTCAAGCCTACCAATTTAAGAAAAATGTATAAGAGTTTTTTTTTTTCAAATATATTTTCATTATGTTTGACATAAAATATATAAATACCAGGCCTTCCCACCGACAGTTATTTTGTTTGGAATGCCTAATATTATATGGATTGCTATTGGAACTAGTTCCAGTGCTAGTCGATAGATAAAAGTATTGATAACATATTTCGAAGACATTTGTATTTAAATCTACTTCATTTTTGTTATACTTACTTCAGAACTAAACGCCGGTTTGTATTGTTTGTGCAATTCTATAATGATCTTGAGGCATACCAATACATTTTCCTCATTATCTATTTCTAAGAGCTTCAACATAAGTGATAAAATTTGTTTTACATATGGTCTTAAAGTTTCGTTGGTCGGTAGTCTATATAACATTTCTAAAATCAATTTCCTAACCTAAAAAGATGTTAAATTAGACACTATAACAGATTTTTTTTTTTAAATATAATCGCTTACCTGTTGAATATTATATTCTGCCACAAAAAGTGGATATCCTTCATCCAATATTTTTATAAAAATGTTTATTGAATGGTCCAGAAAATTTGAATAAAGAGCAGAATTTAAAATTATCTAAAAAAAAATATATAAAACAATTAATGTATATAATTTTTTGATGCTTTAATGATTGTTCTTCAACTCACTTCAAAATGTTTGCTAAGTTCTTGAGTAGCTTTTAGCTTAAGAACGTCTTTACATTCTGGATCAGCTAACATGGTAACGTAACTCTTGAATTGATTCATTAGGGCTGTATGGGGGTGAACACCCACAGCCCCAGTACCAGCTGACGTAGACGCCTGCATTTTATTAATGCAATGATCTGTGTCGCATTTGGTTTACAATCTGAAAAAAATAATAATATGTACTGTTACAGTGTTAGTTAAGAATATGTATAGATTCGGTAAGAAAATATCTACAGAATACACCGAAATATAAAGAGCAAAAAATACCACAATAGCAATATATGACCAGATAACTAAGAGTGATACCACTATTGACACGACTCGATGTTCAGCATTAGCCCAATATTACTTAAATATTTATTTATTTACTACAACAGTGAACAGTTCAAAACCAATTACAAGTTTGGATAAACATAAATTAGAAAAAGGACTTATAATCATGAGATACATCACAGTATAATGAATTAAAACAAGATAAGAGCATCAGGTGTCCCTGATCATGAAAAAATAAAAACTTTTTTCAATGAAAACAATTTCAGTTATATTTGACTGCTCATAAAAGCATAAAACATTGTAACGGTTGAAACCGTTATTTCGGAACAATCACCGCTTACTCAAATGCATTTGTCGCCTATGCTTTGTGTCAGAGAAAGTGAGATTTTTATTTGATCTGAGAGACAGCCACGAATAGATCACTTCAATTTTAATTTCGGTCATCCGAAATATTAATTATTATTTATTTATGTTAATGACCGTCTGATTTTATAAGGTACGTTTTGTTAATAATATGTTATAGCACTGCAAATTTTTACCGTTATCTGATAACGAAATGAAATATACCCCAAAAGCATGTAAAAACATTGTACTTTACCAAATGGCACCTGTGCCTATATCTTTCCTGAGCAAAGTGGCTTAAAAAATTATTTTGTATTAAAACAAATCACATAAAGCATGACAGCGCTAATTTTGTTTGCCCTTAAAGATTTCCAGAAAATAATATTCAAATATATCTTAAAGGGAAACATTTTCTTCCTCCTAACATGACACAAAAACATCTAACCACGATTAGTAGGTAAAAATCATTAAAAATAGAAATCAATTTGTGCTGATTTAAAAATTTATTTGTATGCCTATTGTTGTGATTCATTTTTATAGGTTGCCATAGAAACGACAAAAAAACTACTATGATTATATAAAATTATTTATTATTTTTTGGAATAAGATATTATGCTTTACTATATTTAAATATATTAAATAAGATTTTTCCTTTTCATTTTAATTTTAGTCTCTGTGAATTTATTCATTTAATAGTTAAAGCATTTTATCTAAATCCTTTTCAAATTTCCTTTCATCTATTATAATATTTTAACCCTTTTTAGCCTATGGCAATCTCTAGACGGTTCAGGGCTGGTACTCTGTGTCATGTAGAATTCTACTTATCGTTTTCTACAATAGAAATCGATTACTTTCTTTTGTGGCACTCTGTGTAACATAGCGGAAAACCAACGAGTATATACTTACTACAATAACTAGTTTCATAAGAAACCACATTGCGATATTTACCGTGCGGTTGATAACGTATACATCACAAAAGAAAGTAATCGATTTCTATTGTAGAAAACGATAAGTAGAATGGGCCATGTTCACATGTGAGATATGCTGTTTTATAAACTATATTGTAATAGTTAGTCGCTATACAAGTTATTCTAAATAATCAGTTCGCTAAAAAAGCTAAAAGTTTTTAAATTAAGCCCAATTGAAATTTAAAATTTGAAATTATACGTCATCGGGAATAGACCAATCAGCTTGTGTCGAAGTTTTTTTTGTTTTACAAAACCAAGCCAACGAACAAACCTACATACAGAATGTCGAAGTGAACGCACATCTAAGTGACATTTAAAAATTGACAGCACCTAACAACTAACCTTAGTTTTTTGTTTTGGTTTAATTTTATTATTAATCAGAATTTATCTGGGTAAATTATCCTGTGGGATATAGGATATATAAAGGAAGAAGAATATGAATTTATCAGCTGTATTTATAAAAGTTGAATCAAGTATTTTTCCCATTGTAAACGAAAATATGATTACCGAGATGATTACTGCATTTTTTAACAATACTCAGTTTCCAAAAGATAGAAAGGTAAAACTTTATTTATAAATTGTTTTAATGGTAGGTAGTTACAGTTTATATGAAGCAGTACACTTTATAGTAAAACATATTTATCTCAGGTTTTATTTTTAGATCTGCCAAGCAAGAATATGGAGATATTTACTTTTTCCATAAGAGAGAAGGAGACAAATTACACCTAAACATAAAGTACAGCAAAAACCTTATGATGTGGCTGTTTTTTAGTGCACAATGCCTAGGATATGTTGAATCTCAAGGTTTGTAATATTTATTATGCTTTTATATCACATATAATAAACAGTGTATAAGGCCCTTTATTCTTATAAATATTTTTTTTCTAATTTTGACATAAAGAGACATTTTTTGTAATCGCAGCAAGTGTTAAAATAATCTAGAAATAGATTTTGTTAGTGAACCTAGTAATAATTATGATACCAAAGAATGCTGCAGAGCACCTATGAAATTTTGAGTTAAATCATGCCATATTTTTATACCCTTTTCAAAAATTTTATGCTCCTCGTTTTATGCAAAACTTAAAATGCTCTGATAGCTTCGAACGAAGTCAGCAAAGCACCTCTGTTTTATAAAGTTTTTTCTGTAAAAACAGCAACACCATATATTTATGCACTTGAAATATTATATTTTTAAAAAATACATGGTGCTTGCTAACCTTCGAAAGAAGCCAGCAGAGCAATTCGGTTTTTTAAAGCTTTTTTCTAAAAACCACACCCCATTTTTAGACTCTTGAAATATTGTAAAACTTTACTAAAAAAATTGCTATTTTTAAATAATACAGGGTGCTTTATTGGAACAAAGTCAGCAGGACACTTCAGTTTTTTAATATATAAAAACAACTACTTATGACACATGTTTAGGCTGTTTTAAAATCCTAAAAATGTGGTAAGTATATTTGTTTTCAGAAAAAAACTTTGAAGTCAGCAAGGAATTGCGAATTTTTTTTTAAAATGTCAAATTTCGAATATTTTATAATATTGTAGGAGCCAAAAAATGTGGTGTGGTTTAAAAAAAACTGGGGTGCTCTGCTGGATTCGTTTGAAGCTAACAAAGCATCCCGTAATTTTTTATTTTATAATACTCAATAGCCTAAAATGAGACATAGCTGTTTAAACAAAAATGGTACTTTTAAAAATAGCAGTTTTTTTCGAAAAGCTCTATAATATTTCAAAAATGTGAAAATGTGGTGAGCTTGTTTTTTTTGTTTTGAAAATCAGAGGTTCTTTACTGGATTCGTTCAGAGCTAGTAAAGTGCTCGTCTTGTTACATAAAATAAGGCATTTTGTAGCTGGTTATATAGTTATTTTGTAACTGCATATCTAACCCTGTTATTTTTTCAGGAGGTTGTAAACATGTGGCTTCATAGAAGAAGTGAGGAACCATCTGTAACATCTACTCAGTGTTATTGATAATGATGTACACTTGGCTAGATTGTTAAAGAAACCTCTTCATCCACTACAGGAAAATAAATCAGTACTTTTATATTCTTAGGATTTGTATATATTTTATATTTGTAAATAAATTGTTTTTTTACTTCATTTTTCTCATTTTTTATTAAAAGGTTAATAAATAAAATTTTCACAGATTTTTATATTTTTGTTTGTAAACAATAATTGAAGTTTTTATTAAAAATCACCAATGTTAATAATAATAACTTAAGTCAATATTATTCTTTCTCCTTTTTTAAAGCTACTATTAATAAAGGTATTACTTTAGCTTGACCTATGATCAATTTTTAATTTTGCGATATATTTGGTTTGACAGAAAAAAAATTAAAACCCTTTGACATTGGTTGTTTTTACTTAGATTTTCATAAAAAATAAACGGAACTGCAAACATGTTTTACTATCGTAATAACGAATAGCAACATGAAATTTTTTTTTCACATTTATCACTGTTGTCATTTTCATAAGAAGGCACACTTTCTGGTTTTTTGAAAAAGGTGGCAAGAATTGTGATATTTTTAAATTTATCACCAGTGATGCCACATGTAGTTACCCGATTTATTGGAATATAATATAGACTTTGCTACCACATTCAACTGAACTTGGTTTTTAATATTTATCACTGTGACATAGGCGTTTTTGTTAAAATGTTTCATTTTAAACTGCTGTAAATAGGTGCCTTTGTTTTGGTAGTTTTAGTCCCAAAAAAATCTATGCATATACAGGTACTCATTCCTCTTCGATTTGCTCGAAAAGTTAAATTTTTATCAAAAATTACATTGGCTGTTTAAAAACTCATTATAATCCCTGAAATGTGATAATTAGGTAAATTAACAAACAAACAAAAAAGTTTATTAAATTAATATTTACTCTTACAAAATAGGTTCTTGTAAGTTAACAAGCAATTATGCAGATATTACTAAGTAAATGTACTTGCTTAAAATTCACACACGAATGTGGTTTTAACATGTTAAATTAACTAACCCTTCTTATAACTCTTTCCACATGTATTCTTAGAGATGCTATTCTTTTACTTAATTGTACATCTTCTGGAGAAGTTTTTTCATTCTGTGATACACTAGGTGTGGCTTTACTAAAGTGTATCCCATGTTTTCAAGTAGCTGATTATTCTGAAACCCCTATCTGCCATTATATGGGATCCAGAAACCAGTTTGTTTAAATACCCACATTTTTCCATTATTTCTTTATCACTAGTTCTTCCACAAAATGATGAATAAATTCGGTATCTTCAAAACTTTCAGGAGATTCTGCATTTTCTTCCAGAAGGGTTTTTAGGTTATACACCTAAGAATTTATAGTAGCCTTATTTTCAATTTCCTGAAGGGGACAATTAGCAGAAATTGCTGCTACATCTTGATAATCCGGTGTATTTTTATTAAAAAGTTCACGAGAAACATCGCTAGTAGAAGGTTGATTTTCTTCTTTCCAAATTTCTAGGAACACTAATAAATATTTTTGAAGATGAATGTGAATCATTATCACATTCTGGAACAAAACACTTTTTCGTAG